CTATTCTCGTTCATTTTTCTTCGATCTTCTAAACCTTCTACTTCCAGGTAATTCACTTTTGATTGATGATACATACTACTTATATCTATCGACATCAGTAGCACACACCACATTATCTTAATCCTATTTTACTATTATTCTAACATAATTGGAGTTTTTATCATTAAAAACAATACTGTTTCTTTGTTCAACAAAATTCTTTCGACAAAGGTATTTATTGTAATCAACCGATATATCATTATAGTTAATAGGGTAATAAAAGAATGAACAAAAATCGAACATGGAAAATATTTGTTCTTTTAAAAGCAAAGATGGATGTTGGCTCACAGTGGTATCCTGGAGGAGCGTCTCACCCTACTTGAGAGTCACCAGCTGGATCCAACTACATCCGAGTTGATGTTTACTCCGGGACTTGAAACTATTATCTTCGAATGTCATCGCGTTATCCATTTAGCTACTGAATCCAGATAGCCACTAATTTGTGCAATGGAAAGATTCAAACATATCATACATAATGAATTTCTTCTCGTGTTCTAAATATGGTTATGACTTAGAACTCATTTCTAAAAACATTTCAACTTAATAGTCTAGTACTAATATTTCACACTGTAGTACTGAGTGAATCCATTAGGCTTCACTAATTTCATAAAGATTACAGATATATCATGTTGATAAATAGAGAATTGAACGGAACCTAATTCCATTGATTTCTTTCAATCACCTTCAACCATTAGCTCATATGAAAACATAATGTTTACCAACCAAAATTATTTAGATCATCTGGCTAAATTTCAATAAGTTCAATAGTCATCAATCGGAAGTGAGGACTAGATAAAGATGGAAATTATCATTATGCAACAGAAATGGATGAAACCTACCTAATATTGATTTAATTTTTCATAAAACATAGTATACCATTAATCCTACTGTTAGACTAATAAAGTTTATCAGTCAATCCAGTTATTAGTGTGGAGGGGGAGGGTTGTAGAAACTATGAAATTACTTGGTATATTCCACAAAATGATCTTAATTAAACAACCAAAGATGCGATTCATTCTAACTTTTTTTACAACCTCAACATGATCTCTAAGCTGAGGACCTAATCATCTGAAAGTTAGTCCAGTATCTATAAACTACTGAACTGAACTGGTGAAAAATTGAATTGAATTTTTGATACATTCTACTTATTACAAATTCTAAAGATTATAAATGATATTCATTGTAGGTTTACAACAGTGTATGCTTGGTTATCAATTATTCATTAGAATCAAAACACATATCGGCTTAGTATCCAGTAGTTTAAGCGTTCGCGCACAAAACTGAAGGCTTTAGGTTCGAATCTCATGAGCAGAATTGTGGATACGCACTGGTGAGGAGCTCCACAATAGGACGAAACGGCCCTCAAGTACTTCCAGGTTTTCAATGGTGATCTAACATCAATCAGTTCATGATCTCAATCAATAATCCTACTTTAATTTTTGATGTCATTTTTTCAATTGATGTCTAGTTATATCGTAAACAATCAATGATAATCTCTAATTTATTGTATATTAGACATTAACACCGTTGGATGCCGGCTCAGTGGTCTAGTGGTTAAGTGCTCGCGCGCGAAGCCAGTAGGTCCTGGGTTCGAATCTCGCAGGGGGCGAGATCGTGAATGCGCACTGCTGAGGAGTCCCATAATAGGACGAAACGGCCGTCCAGTGCTTCCAGGTTTTCCATGGTGGTCTAGCTTCAACTGACTCATGATCTTAATCAATGATATTGTATATTAGATTGAAGATAAATAAAAGACAAAGAAAAAAAAAACATTACTGATGAAATATAATCTTTAGTCACTTGATATTGTTTACTTATATCTTCCTCATTGCATAAACAATTAGCTAATAAAATTCAGTAACTAAATAGATAATGCAATAATATTTGAAGCGAATGATATTAAGTTCGAATCCTGTAGTTGATCACAACTCTAGAATATAGGTACATTCAACTAATGAGTTTTAAATAGGAGACAATGTGCCTCCTAGATTCTATTGGTAACCAGTATAGTATTTATTTTTAACTCAGATGTAGATTTCTATGTTGATATTACCGGAGATTAATTTTTTTTTTCTTCCCAATATTTAAAAACAATTAATTTAAATAAATGAATCAATATTCAATAATAATAATAATAATTTTCCTAGGCTTCTCATTAAAAATTTATTCATTTTTAGATGGTAGTACTACTAATACTACTACTAGTAATAATAATAATAGTAGTAATATCAGTAGTATGTTTTTCTTCTTTTCTTTTCTTTTTTTTGTTTACTATCCAACTCATACATTTTTAATGAGGCCTATAATTATCTGGTCAATAATATTGGGATGATATTAAGATGAATGATTGATTTTCACTTTTTTCCTAAAAGGAAATAGTTTTATTGATTTATTGATTTATTTGTAAGGCTTCATTAGTTCCCTCTCCCTCCTTCTTATTTTTCCATTGTTGATACTAATCGACTGTAATTGATTCATTCTATTGAATAAGTTAATAGTGCCTCGTGTGCGAATGCTTAATCTCTAGACGACTGAACCGGCATCCAATGGTGTTAATGTGTAACTTCAACCAATCCACGAAGTTGTGCCATCGTCACCATTGTCTTCAGTGAGCCGGCTCAGTGGTCTAGTTGGTTAAGCTCCTAGCGTGAGACTGATAGATTCTGGATTCGAATCCCGCGGGGGGGGCGGGTTCGTGGATGTGCACTACTGAGGAGTCCCATACTAGGATGAGACGGCCGTCCAGTGCTTCCAGGTTTTTCATGGTGGTCTAGCTTCAATTGACTCATGATTTCAACTATTGTAATTGACTCTATTTGATCCATTCTATTGAATAAGTTAATAGCGATTTGAACCAAATAGATGATCAAGGAATATAATGATAGTTAAACGATTAGGTACTTAGTTTCAAATCTTGATATGAATATCAACTTGATAATCAAAGGATATTTAACTGATAATGTTAAAGTAAAATGAATAGCATGATCTGAATATCACTGTTAAAGATCTGAGTACATTGTTTAGTGAATATTTAATGCTAAGATTTATCGTGTCTTTGAACTAATATATATACAGTATGGTGTCAGTCATCACATTGTTGCATTTGTCTATCTTTTTCCTTGGACAATTGACACACACACAGATAAGTGATATTCATGGATAATTTCTATCATTAAATTACGTCAAGTGCAAAATTATTGATTGTTAATAGGTACTAAGTAATTGATTCATTTTGGCTCTAGACTTCTCAGCAGTATGAACCCCGTGATCATATAAAAGACTCAATTTAACATCTGCATATCCTTCAATGGCTATAGTACAACTAATCTACTTAGTAGGAATCAAATAATGAAAATTTTCTCACTTTAACTGACTCAGTAATGTAAAACGATCCTCATTCAAACTCTCATCATTTCTAGTTAGTAAATAGTTACTTACTAACTTACCTACCTACTTACTACTATTACTCCTCGTGGAGGAATATAGGTCACCCACCAGCATTCTCCATCCAATTCTGTCCTGTACAATCCTTTCCTGATTTTTCCATTTGATATTCATTCATTTGATGTCTGCTTCCAATTCTCATCGTAGTATGTTCTTTGATCTTCTTTTCCGTTTCTCTTCAGAATTTCAAGTTAATGCTTGGTTTGTGATACAGTTTGTCTGCCTATAACACTTCTAAGATTATTACTACCGGTCCCAAGCCCGGCTTAAGGAAAAGGGTTAGACATGGGATCAGCAACCTCGATAAATGGTAGTACTTACATAATTCAAAGTTTTTTTTGAATACTTTTCTAACACTGACAATGATAAATCATGGAATTGAACTGTTTCTTTATTCCATAAAGATTGTTTTCAAAAGTTTGATCAGTTTCATTTGTCTTTGTATCCTTGTTGACTGTCATATTTACTTGATTCCTGGCAATTAGATAGGTTGATCTTCGCAGTGTAGATTGATAAATAGGGTTTATGTCTAAATGTTTATTGTTTGGAGATTGATTTAAATTGTACACTTATAGAAATCTTCTTAGAGCTTTACAAAGTTTTTCTATCCAGTCTACTGCTTCATTAGCATCCATTAAAAAACATGAATAATGCTGAAGAATAGTTGTAGTTCAAGATATGGGTGTTGGATATATTGCGTTCATTGAACTGAATTGTTTATGCATGATTTCTCTCCTGGACAACATATTCAGAACACAATTCAACGAGCAGAGAGCTACTAAAATTTGTTGTTGTTCGTAACTTTATGATTGATATTTCTGTGTTTATCTAGAATATCTTCTTTCTTGATCTAATCTCCTCATCAGTGTACATCCACGATCCCGCTCGAAGAATTTGAACCCCCACCAAATAGATATGCGTTACACAAATCATTCGATTTATGTAAGGGCTGGAATTTTGTCCGGATACCCAAACTGAAACAGGTGGTTTTATCAGGGGGCCACACTTGGAGCCTTCGACCTAAAGGTCTGATCCGAAAGGTAGTGGAGCAACGTAAGGAGATGCAGTCATATGATAGTCGGTGACCAACGATTGGTTCATACGCCATTAGTTCCATCAGGATCCTGGAGCCCATGAACTCAGGGTTTTCCAACTCCCCTAGATGAATCCCTCATATCCACCTACCCAGTTAAAGCGCAGGAAATTCGCTGTTTGTCCTCTCAATCTCATCAACAACACCCCCCGTCATGAGAAAGTAATGAGTAGAACTTCCTTGGCAGTGGTTGTATGCACGTGGCCACTTATGAGCATTTCGAGAGAGAGAGCTAACCCCCCCCCTCCAAATCTCGGCCGTACCAGGGCATTTGGAGGCAAACTCTAACAAATCCACGAAATTTTGCCATTATTTCTTAGTAGGTATCTAGCTAAAAATTACTCTTTGACCTAAATTAACTTCTATTTATTATACATTAACTATTGCCTTTACATTCTATGCTTTGTTTTTCTTAACAAATTAGGCACTATTAAACTCTGCATTAAAGGATCAATTGGCTGAATTAACACGAAAATTAGGTGAAATTGAAAAACGTCAGGTTAGTTTAAAAGTCCTCTTATTAGTTTCTATTAAAGTATTATCATTTCAAGCCATAGTATCATTATTCATAATTACTATCGTAATAAATGTTATTTGTAAGGTGAAGAAAATCAAAATAACGGTTTAAGAATACAAATAGAATAAATTCACTTGGTATTGTTCACTTGAATGTTCCCATTGATGTTTAGAACTGCATATTGCCTTGATACTGCTTTAAGTCACAAACATTATAAACAAAGATGGATAGTGGCGAGTAGTGGAATCCAGAAAACACGTGTTTCGTTTTATTTAGGACTTTTCAGCTGGATGTACCTGCATCTCAGAGTTCACGTTCACTCTGGGACTCGAACGTAATATCGCTCGCTTCAAACAGTTTCAGTACAGTTTCCAAAGAACAAAAACCCATAACTTTGCTTTAATTGACCGAAAGACATAATGTTATGGTCGTTTACTTCTCTTTAATGAATAGATAAGTAAATCTTTATTCCTTTTCACCTATTTTAAAAAAAAACTGAACGCTAAATAATCACATTGTTAGTGATTCATAGGATGATAGAAGTTTCTATTGTGTCTAGTGCTGGTGTTGTCTAACATTAGTTCCCTCAAGATTACAGATACACCTTGCTGACAAGTGCCAAGTAGCACGAAACCCGGCTCCAGGGTTTCCTGTCGACTACCCCCAACCACCATCTAATCTCAACATAGTGCACGCAGTGTCGAGTCACCTAGACTGGTGGCCACATTGCAACTTGGTCGATAGCATTCGATCTGTACTAATAAGGACTTGACGCACATGACATTGATCACCACCCGGTGATCAATCAATTATAATTTGATGATATTGATGCAAATGAAATAAATATTATCCTATTTGAACATCAATTCTGGGATGCAGGTACATCCAGCTGATAAGTCCCAAATAGGACGAAACGCGCATCCTGGATTCCACTGCTAGTCATTATCCATCTTTGCTTAAAAATGATTTTGTATACGTTTTGTCAACTTTACACGTTTAAAATAACGGTTTATCTACAAAAAATACTTGAATATGAATTGCATTTAAGATACATGTATTTCAAACATGTTAATCCTGATAAGCAAAAAGAATGATGCTGAGATTGTATAAAGTATTGAAGTTCGATTATACACTGACTCGGCGAATAGTAAGTGGACTTATTTTTCATAAACATGAAAGAAATACAGGAACCGGATAGAGATGTATGTATGATTATACAGGAATATAAAACATAATCAAGGTTACCTGTGAGTAATTTAACGAGGTCAAATATATGATTGACAATTAATGGAAGGATAAAATTAATTTACTATCAGTTTCAAGTTGTGATAATTGTCGGATTTCATAGAAATCACGAACTGATCAATGTTAGACAATCATTGAGAACCTAGAAACACTGAACGACCGTCTCATCCTAGTATGACAGTCCTCAACAGTGAGCACTCACGGTCCTGTACATAGAGGCCGGATACAGGACCGTTAGTTTTGCACTCAAGGGCTTAACCTCTAGACCACTGAGTCGGTATTCAACAATGTTAGTGTCCAACTGAAGAGTCCCGTACGTTCATCCAGTGTTTCCAAGTTTCCAATGATGATCTAATTTGAATCGACTATGAAAATAATACAATCTCCACAAATTCCTATATATATTAATTAAACTTATCATAATTGTACTACTATTATCATTTTCTTTTTATGCTAAAGAATCAAGAAGCAGCTCTTTTACAAAATGTTGTTCATATGGATGCATTACGTGGTTTAGTATTTTGGCATACATTAGGCAAATCAATTACTGGTGTAGATTATTTAACTGCTTATTCACAACTTAATACTACTACTAATACTACTAATGATAATAATAGTAGTAAATCATATCATGGCAATACTATTGATAGTAATCTAATGAAAGATGAATCAAATCGTTTAACAAAGTGTTTACCAGAAGAATTTGTAAGTTAATATCTTATTCTATATAGAGTTGTATCTTTAATTTTGATATTGATTATAATAAATGATCGGTTGCTATGTTCCTCTTTTTTTTAATTTTTTTAAAGTGATCCATTCCCTCTTTTTCATTTGAATTTTTTTAATAACAAAAAACCACTGAGCCAATATTCAACGGTGTTAATGTTAAACTTCAACTAATCCATAAAATTGAGCGTCTGTTGTGAGATAGGAATTCATTGAAGACAATGATGGATGTATCACTCTAATTCGTGGATTAGTTGAAGTTAAACACTAACACCGTTGGATACCAGTTCAGTGGTGTAGAGGGTGAGCGCTAGCGTGCGAGACTGATAGGTCCTGGTTTCAAATCTCACGAGGCGGGATTGTGGATGCGCACTGCTTAGAAATCTCACAATAGGAGAAAACGGCTATCCAGTCCTTTCAGGTTTTCCATGGTGGTCTAGCTTTAATTGACTCATGATCTCAACTATTAAAAAAAGACTTAGTAACACAATTCTTTTTATCATGATTGTGAAACATGAATTCGGTGTTCTTCTTGTTGTGTTGATGAGATATGACAACTTGGACCGATGCATTTATGAGTCTGGTCCTACGTTGTAGCTGATTGATTGACTGACTGTCTAACTGAAACATGGTGAATTTTTGATAATGAACTGACATATTTGTAATATCCCCCTTAAATAAATATAAAATTTGAAGTCTCGACTATTGTATGACTTCATGTATACCTCCTCGTCAATGAATGAACAAATAACCAGATTGAATAAACATAAATTTTTTATAGCAAGAAGGAGCAAAACAAATAGATATTTAGTATCAGAAGGGGTTTTTGTGGATATTATAGTAATTTAACAGTTGAGTTCATGAGCCAATTGAAGATAGATCACCATGGAAAACCTGGAAGCACTGGACGGCCGTTCCGTCCCACTGTGGGACTCCTCGGCAGTACTCATCCACGACCCCGTCCCGCGAGATCCGAACTCAGGACCTATCAGCCTAACCTCCAGACCATTGTGCTGGCCGGCATTCAACGGTAGTAATGTCTAACCTCAACCGATCCACAAAATTGCGCGACCATCTTCCATTGTACTGAGGTAGTTACCTGTCTCTACCCAACACGAATTAGCTCCACAGGTCACGGTTTCTCGCTAGAACGCCGAAAATTCCCTCACGGGATCGTGAATGCGCACTGCTGAGGAGTCTTACAATAGAACAAAACGGACGTATAGTGCTCCAAGGTTTTTAATAGTGGTCTAACATCAATCGGTTGATGATCTCAATCAAAAAAACGTTGATTCTGAGTTGGATGGATTTTTTGTCAAGTGTTCATTGTCTTTCTCGACAACATTATCAAAACGCCTTTCTGAAGTATTTCTTTGGAATGATTAAAATTACAAATCAAACTGTTTAGTTTAATTGTATAAAGAGTTTTTGTACTATGTCGTTTGATTTCATTAAGTGTTGATAATTTTTCTTAGGACTATCAATCAATGAAGAATATTCAATCAAATTCAAGTTCGACAAAACATTTCTATCTGACTTGCCCTGTATTTCTTTCTCTCTCTTTCTGAGCATAATCTATTTGACCAGATGGCTTACGTACACTTTTACATCTCAGTGTAGTCGTCATCACTCAGTGTTCGAATCCATTTCTATACAAATTGTGAAATCGCAATTGATAACTTGAAATAACTTCGGAATACTTCTTCTCAAATGTATCTGATATTAATTAACTTTTATATCAGCGTAAACAATCTCAATTTCTAAATTCACTTTATAGTGTTTGTTTGAATCTTCCTATTGATGTTTAGGACTACAATTGATCAGTTTATCTTATTGACATATGTGCATACTATACGTATTACCTCGATATAGCTTATCAGGACTCAGTAGCTAAATGAACTTTACAGGGTTTAAGTTCCAGAGTGAACATCAACTCTGAGATGTAGGTACAACCAACTGACGAGTCCTAAATAGAACAAAATGTGCCTCCTGTATTCCACCGCCAACCGCTATCCATCTTTGCATGTCATATTAACTTCTATCCTTTTTAAATATTTCAACTTTACTAAATATCACTTGTTTATACATATACATGTTACGTCAGTAGACAAAAATGTAAATGTATGTAAGAAGAAGAAGAAGAATTTGACAAGTAATTACCAAAGAGTACAAAATTGTTCAGAATATAAAAACCAAAACTATTATCAAACTATGTATATGATTACGTAACAAGTGGTATTCACTATCTGTTTACATATATGTATGTATGTATGTATGTATGTATGTGTTGTATTGCAACCGACAATGACAACAATGTACAAATGATTTATGATCTGTTTTCTAATGTTTATGCTTTTCATTGTAGTTTTCTTTTTCTTTTTTTTTCTTTTCATGATTATAGTTAATGAGTAACCAAGGCATTTGTTCTGTTATACAAATATTTATTTTGATTTTCTTCCATAGTATACTTGACATTTAAATGATAAATGATCGTTTTTTCCCATATGAATAGACAAGTGATTGAATATTAAAGATCACTAGAAATCTAATCTATGTTTAGATAATCTTGTTTTAATTGAGATCACAAACTGATCAATATTAGATTATCATTGAAAATCTGGACAAATTAGTTGGTCGTTTCGTCCCAGTATGAAGCTCCTCAGTAGTTAGCATGCACGATCTTATACGTGGAATTTCTGAGGAGTCCTATGCTGGAACAAAATGGCCATCAAGTGATTTCAGGTTTTCAATAATAGTCTAACATTGATCAGTTTATGATCTTAATTATAGATAGCTAACTAGATTTTAAACTGGAATCGGTTAATCTATACACTAATGTCAAATGATTAAAAGTTATATGTGAACTGTTGTGTTACATGGAAACATGATCATTGTGTTTTCATGCCTGATGATCTAACCACAACTTTTCAGTTAGATAAAATTTACATCTGTCAATATTCTAACTAGTGAAGGAAAGCTGTCGAATCCGATAATGATTTACTTTCTAGATTCAAAGCAAAAGTAATCGAATTCAGGCTTAATATGTGATTAAGTCAGTTCAAGGTTATGGAATCCGTTTATATCTGAATTCACATTCCTATCACTGATACGTAATAATATGAAATCAAAGTATTATACGATATATATATATACATGATCAATTTGTTCATTTTCTGTTTATCATCATCTAGCTTGAATGTCCAGATCCGGATCTATCGTCTACACTTCGAAAACTTGGAAATGTAGCCTCTGGATTTGATTCAGTAGTTAATCGAATTGAACAACTTGAAGTAAATACACTTAAAGTTTTACTAATGTTTTTTTATTTAATCTTTGAAAAAGTATTATTATTACTAATTTTACTACTTATAAGTAGTAACTCAATTTCACCTTCTACTAACTAGATTATTAACTTTTCCTTAACGAATATTACATATGACCTACATCCATGGCTGGAAGTTCTGACACTGAATGGTCAACACAACTGCATCTGTACACCAATAGTCAGTGAGACCATGAATAGAACAAACTGATTTACACTGTACGTTCTACAGAATTATTCACCCATGTCCCATAGAATCATCAACATTTAAACTAACCATTGGTATGTGTGAATATTCAATGTTACTGATAATTCTAGTATATATTACGTCATTTCTGTATTTCTTCAAAAAAGAATACTTCATTTTTAATGATTTAACATATGAGATGTTTATCAGAAGAAGGTGAGATGTTTGAGCGACGCCAAAGTGATATTGAGAGTATTTACCTACGTACAAGGACTAAATGAGGGTTATAAAGCAGTTTAAAGAATAAGGATTATGATTCATAATTGATGATTAAAGTTAAGAATTAGATTTATAGTTTTTCATCATGAATTGACATCAGCTATGATGCTAAAATGCTATTTTTAACCAAATGAATGAATGAATTTCGCGCCAAAATCCGAGATCCGCTACTTTAAATCTGATTGGTTCATCCATAGAATGTACTCTTGCTCAGAATCAACATTACTTATACACTAATAAAATAACTCTCATCTCCATATTATTTACAATAAATAATGAAACAGTAATGAAAGACATAATCAACAATCTTGACAAGCTAAACTCTGTCATCTGTGGAATTTATCAAACTGAATTAATATGATCAATATTAAATGAAAACTAGACTGTTTAAAGTATATCACTTAATAACATAGTCTTAGATTGTTACCTAGAAAATTCTAATATCAAACTCCAAGAAGAAAGAATTGAAACTATTCGGTACTGGTAGAGAAGATTTGTAGCTCAGATGGATGATTTTCATGGAGTTTTGTTCTCTGAGCTCGTAGATTGTGCTGATGATGTGGTTCAGAAGAACGATAAAAGCTCTACGACCAAACCATCCATCTCAGGGAATAAAACTCCATCCTAATCATTTATTTGAGCTGAAAATCTTCTCCACTATGAATATCTTCATTAAGAGAAAAGACTATGCATGTTATGCTGGATAGGATATAGATTAACGATTAACAATGTGGTGCAACAACATTTGGGTATTGGTCGTCAGTTATTCTTAAGTGACACTGAACTAATCGATAAAGAGTATGATTGAAAGAAAAAGAAAAACCACACTTAAATGTTTTGTCATGTATGATCAACATCTTGTTAATGAGTTAGTATATATGGCCTGTTTGAATATCTGGTCTACTTGTTCCCGTCATCTAGATATTTCAACAAGTTGTTTTTGTTTGTTTGTTTTAACACATCACTATGTTTGTTAATCAAGTAACCTATTGATAAGTCTTGCAATTTGAACGCTGTACTCGGTTCCTAAGCTATTCTTGTAACCCCCAAGCTAGAACTATACAGCGACCTGAACACGAGAGAGAAGGCGCAAAGTATGCGAAAAGTACTTTACTCCAAGGTTCATTTTAATACAGAAAACAGAGGGTTTTTATAATATTCTAAATGTCCTTGGGTTGCTCGAAGATTCTGAAATGCTACTAAACATAGTAGCGGTATAACAATCAGCCAATCAGAACCTCTACATTTGATGTTTCACATCGTTGATGTTTTCTGGCTAAACTCAAAGTGAACGCTGATTGGATGAAATGCTTCTTAATGTTTCCTGATCCCTGCGTGTCTTTTGCGAGAATTTTTCTGGATCATCCCAACACCTATTCAAGTGTATTTGTGAAAATTTCACGATATTTTATTATACAACTTACAAAAGAGCCTAATTAGAAACATCGTGGTTGTAATGAAAAGAATGTACATTATTTAGATGTTAGTTGACGGCGAGACTCTAATTTATGGACGAACCAATCAGAAGCATTTGAGAGATTTCAAGGTCACGGCGCCAACTTCAGTGATTAATGCTAACGTACGATTGGTTTACAGGGAATTTTGTACAAAACGTGATAATTGGGCGGCTATAACAAATAAAATGACGAGACTATAATTTGGTGAACTATTCTGTAGCCATCTGGATGAGTTCCTCTACTGCATGCATTACGATTTTAGAACCTCTGAACCTCTTTCTAAACATGACAAGTTTTTGAACCATGTAACAGAAGTGTATCCACTTTATTTCCTTGGTTTTGTATAATATATTTTTACTCCATACTGACTGTCTGCTGATTTGCTAATATTTATCAAGGTCACTTAAGATTCGTTCAAAGGTCGTCCATAAATTATAGTCTTCCCGTTTGTTCCATGTATGAAGAGAACACCCTTACTTACTTACTTACGCCTTTTACTCCCAGTAGAGTATAGGCTGACGACCAACATTCTCCAACCCACTCTTTACTGGGCCTTCCTTTCAGATTATATCCAATCGTTCTTCATTCTACTCATATCTGTCTCCATTTCTCGGCGTAATGTGTTCTTTGGTCTTCCTCTTCTCCTTTGACCTTGAGAATTCCATGTGAGGGTTTGCCTTGTGACGCAGTTGGGTGCTTTCCTCTATGTTTGTCTTATCAACTTCTAACGCTTCTTCCAAATTTCTTCCTCTACTAGGATCTAGTTTGTTCCCTCCCGTAGAAACCTAACTCGCTAAAAAAAGCGCGTAAGAACCTACTTAGTCAGTGACTTTATTAAGTAATGTTTCATGTTAGCCTTACTTACTTACTTACTTACTTACTTACTTACTTACTTACTTACTTACTTACGCCTGTTACTCCCAATGGAGCATAGGCCGCCGACCATCATTCTCCAACCCACTCTGTCCTGGGCCTTCTTTTCTAGTTCCATCCAATTCTTGTTCATTTTTCTCATATCTAGCTCCATTTCTCGGCGTAATGTGTTCTTTGGTCTTCCTCTCCTCCTTCGACCTTGGGGATTCCATATGAGGGCTTGTCTTGTGACGCAGTTGGGTGTTTTCCTCAATGTGTGTCCTATCCACTTCCAGCGCTTCTTCCTGATTTCTTCCTCCACTGGGATCTGATTTGTTCTCTCCCACAGTAGGTTGTTGCTAATAGTGTCCGGCCAGCGGACCTGAAGTATTTTGCGTAGGCAACTGTTAATAAACACCTGTATCTTTTGGACGATGGCTTTCGTGGGTTTCCAGGCTTCCGCCCCATACAGAACTTTCTTGACATTTGTATTGAAAATTCTGACTTTGGTGTTGGTTGCCAATTGTTTTGAGTTCCAGATGTTCTTCAGTTGTAAATATGCTGCTCTTGCTTTGCCAATCCGTGCCTTCACATCTGCATCAGATCCACCGTGTTCATCGATGATACTGCCCAAATATGTAAAGGTTTTTACATCTTCCAAATCTTCTCCGTCAATTGTGATTGGATTGGTGCATGCTGTGTTGTATCGAAGAATCTTGCTTTTTCCTTTGTGTATATTGAGACTCCGCCTGGAGTCCCTTTCCGGGGGCTACTGCCGGTCCCAAGCCCGGTTAAAGGAGGAGAGTTGGGCATGGGGTTAACGACCCCATCCCGTAGAAAACTAACTCGCTAAAAAAACGCTAACCAGAAAAATTATTCATGTTAGCCTAGTCATTTCTAATTTGCTTCACAACCTACTTTTATATCAATCAAGGTTTATATTTGTTACGTAATTTGACATGAATCAAACTAACTTAAGCATAAAAAGTGATTTTTTTCTTTTATGGAAAACTATTTAAGTAGAAAACCAATTCCTATTTTAGATCTCTGTTCATCAAGACACAGATTTAGAAAAGGTTAGTTAATGTACAAACATGTGCACACATCTATAAACAGAATACTTCATACCTTACATGCACACAATCACCAATATATATTATTGTGCCTGGCACTACGTTGTAGCTGACTGACTGACTGATTATCTTTCTTATTACTGTCATTATTGTTGTAATCTTTTGTTGTAAATCATTTGTGTCGTTTTCCATATAACAGCTATTTGTCTTGATTGAGTTGATACCAGTTTGAGTGTGATTAGAAATCTGGGAATAATGGATATTTGTTTGACTCTGTTTTACAACCCTATCAGTCTATACCCGAAGCATTACTAAGAGAATGAGAACCTCTAGGCTCGTGGCAATAATGTTACTGTTTAAATCACTGAATTGGGATCTAGCGGTCTACATTCCTAACTTTATTCATTATATACCTGAAAATCGAGTTATTTTCACTAGTAATAAGCTTAAAGATGGATGTCTGATGTTCTAGTAAGAAAATAATGGGATACAGTAATGACACTGTATAATGGTTATGTAATATTTTAAATTGATTAGAGTTAAGAGTGTAAGTCACTGGATACAAATATAATGATCTAATATTAAAAGGCTCTTTTAAAGTTATGGAAGTTTCATTTCCGACTCCTGGCAGTGTCTTAGGCGCACATTCTAGGGGAGTTTCTAACAGGAACAAGGTCATTATCAAGTCCTTGCAAACCAAGTACACTTCGAATAGTATCTATCTGTCAATGAAATCACTTATAAATTAGAGAGATATCCAAAAAATCTTTAAAATTATTAACTGACAAACGAGAAGTTGGTTAAACGTTCGCCCATGAAACCAAAAGTCCTTGGTTTTATTCCCGTGTTCAGGGTTGTGAATGTACAGCTCTGATCAGTCCCATACTAGGATGAAATGGCAGTTCAATGCTCCCAGGTTTTTAATGGTAGTCTAACATTGATCGGTTCACAATATCAATAAAATCCAACAATCTTCTCAACCCCATACTGAAAAATAAATGTTTTGTCGATACTCAATAGTGCATGAACACTTCATATAAGATAAGAAAACTTGAAACACTAGTACTAGACTGAATAATACAACAGAGCATACGATTGAAACACTTGGATACATAATTCTGACCACCAATTAAAAAGTATAAGAAAAGGGTTTTATGGATATTATAGTAAGCTTAGTTCTTCCTGGGTTCGAATCTCGCGAGGCAGTATCGTGGGTGTACACTACTGAGTAGTCCTACAATAGGACGAATCGGCCGTCCAGTGCTTCCAGGCTTTCCATGATAATCTAATTTCAATTCACTCATGATCTCAACTATTAAAATTAAAAAGTAGACAATCGTTTATTAACAGAATGAAGAATTCGGAGTATAATAAATTATATAATGATATCAATAATGCGAAAGAGTTCCCAATATTGTGTACTGTCTCATATACATATTTAGTTTCTCTTATCAACCAATCAAAGCTCACTAACTATTCAACACAATAAACCGATCCAGCAAAAAAACGATCGAAAGTTTATTCATTCATATCACAAATGTTGAATGTTCACAAGTTGAGCAACGTTGATGAATATTAAATTCATCATTGAAAGCAATCACTCACTAAGATCTATCTATTTATCCACACTCTATCTATCTATCTATCTATCTATCTATCTATCTATCTATCTATCTATCCACACATCTATTTATCTATCTATCTATCTATCCACACATCTATCTATCTATCTATCTATCTATCTATCTATCCACACATCTCTCTCTATCTATCTATCTATCTATCTATCCATCTATCTATCTATCTATCCACACATCTATCTATCTATCTATCTATCTATCCACACATCTATCTATCTATCTATCTATCCACACATCTATCTATCTATCTATCTATCTTTCGTTCCCTCTTTCTTTGGGGACCAGTTTCTTCTATACTGAGAACACAATGTAAAATAATGTTATTCGCTTAAACAATACACAATTCATAATGATCTATTATTTATATCTTCATTGAATTGTTTTAGGGAATTATAAAACAAAAACCTGATCGTAGTGAACTAGAAGGTTTGGGTGTACCAACAGAATTATATGAAAAAATTTATAGTTTAGAAGTTATTGTTAAAGAGTTAGCCAAAGAAAGAGAAAAGGTAAATATGTATATATGTATATAAATTAAGAGGTGATATATATATTGACAATGCACTTATTAAAGTGTGTTTGTGTGTGCGTGTGTATACTTCTATGTTTGTGTGTGTGTGTATGTGTGTGGGTGTTTGTACTTGTCTAGGTGTATATATGTATATTCGTTCTGTGTGTTATTTCACATGTTTCAATGCACCGGTTTACTGTCATAATCAACCAGCTAATTAATCATTTTTATTGTTTCTCTAACTGTTTACACATAATTCACCAGGTGATTGAGCTAAATCTATTTGGCAATCATGTATTATTATTATCTTTTATTATCTTTTATTATCTTTTATCTTTAGCTATCTAAGTTTGTGATGTATATATTTATTGTGGTATTTTTGGTGAGGATTGTTGAAGGTGGGTCGGTGTGTTTTCTTTACTGTGAGATAGTTTTATTATTAAAATAATAAAAGATTGATATTATTTCTTTATAAATATATTAAAATTTACTTACTTATGCCTGTTACTCCTTGTGAAGGAGCATAAAGCTCTCACTAGCATACTTCATCCAACTCTATTCTAGACAATCCAGTTCCCAGTTTGATATTCATTCTTTTGATATCTGCTTCCAATTCTCGACACAGTCTATTCTTTAGTTTTTTTCTGTTTTCCGTTTCTCTTCAGGATTCCATGTTAGCGCTTGATGTGTGATATAGTTTGTTGATTTTCGAAATCTATGTCCCATTCAGTTTCAGTGGACAATTTGCATGTATTTATAGTAAAATACTTGTCATCAATGGTACTGGATGATCCTCGTGATTAGTCGAAGTTAAAAATATGAATCATTCAACTTCAACTAATTGGGTTCTAATGGTTAAATGTTCACTTGAAGATCTGAAGATATTGAAATCTATCTCCTACTGGTTTATTAGTGTCTACTGCTAAAGAACCCATTATTAAAACAAAACTGTAGTTCAATAATACTTGATCTTTTAGTGATACATTTTTGACTGAGTTGGATTCCTGACGAATATCTTCTAAAGAATATAATTTTCTTCACAGAATCCCCAAATGCCCTGGTACGGCTAAGAGTGGGGAGAATCCTCTTTCCCTCTCGAAATGCTCTCACATGGCCACGCGTATTCAGTCACTGTCAGGAAAGTCCTACTCACTGCCTTCTCGTGGCCGGGATGTTTTTTACGAAATGAAGAGGACAAAAAGCGAATGTCAGACACTTTAACCAGGTTAGTGAATACGGAGAGTTCATGTAGGAGATTTGGAAAACCCTAATTTTAAATCGATAGAGCATATGGGCCACAGGATCCAGTAGGAACAAATAGCGTATGAACTTATTGTTGGTCACCGGCTACTATGAGAGTGCATCTCCTAATGTTGCTTTACTACCTTGTGGATCTAGGTGTGTCCATATTAGAAAACCACCTGTTTCGTTTTAATCATCCGGACAGTATCTAACTTCTCACATAAATCAAATGATTTATGTGGCATATATCTATTTGGTGCCTCCTTGTACCAATCTTTATATGTTTAATTAAATAAAATAATAAACTGAATTACAATTATGTAAATTTGGTAAAGTGATTGTGTTCTTTTTCATACAAAAAAGAAATTTTTAAATCTTCGAATATTCAATTTCACTTTCCATGATTCATTACAGGCTACATGAATATATTACTTATAATCACAATTCAGTAATGTATATTTAAGCTATTATTGATCTTGTTCATGTGTATATTTGGGTTTTCTTTTTATTTTTTTTATTTTTTTTTTGTTTATTGTCCTTGATTATTCTTTTTCTTTCTTTTTGTTTCACTGAGTGTATTTTATTTTATTGAAATTAGTCATTGCAGTGAGTTGAGTTAGTTTTCGTTTGTTTTTTTTAAAAAAATTATTTTGCTTGTTTAACTACTACTAACGTATATATATATGTTAGTAGTATATAATATGTCAGTGTGATTTATATTTGTTTGATTTTTATTGATTTTCTTCTTCTTCTTCTTCTTCTTTTTGTTTCCAGATTTATGTAGATTGTGGAACATCACCTCATATGCCTTATCCGTCTGATGTATGTTTAAATAAAATTTATTATTGTCACATTCTTCTAATATTTAGTAATTATTGAACGCTACAATTTACCTATTGTTATAACTTGTGGCTTTGTGCCCTATTAATGTATGATGTAATGATACCGGTAATTGAAGAACAGTGAATTATGGTCCGGATCAATGACGCATAAAACAAGTACGAGCAGTCTAGAGTCCTTATCGATCCTGTTTCGTGCTTAGCCCAGACTATTAACTGCAAAATACCAATCTCAGCTTCTGCAATATAAATCAAGTATTTCAAACATACTGGGTTTATATACAAACCAAACAGACCACATCAAACTATAAAATAGAAAATGAAATTTGTACAAGATTTAGCCAAATATGGCTGTGAATATGAGAGACTGGGTATAACTCAGAAACAGTAAATCGTATAATAATAGTCTATGGGTCAAAATGAAGCTTATAATAGGAGGAACATGAATATGAACAGTTAAGCTACTTAACAATTATACAATGAAAATATATGTATAGTACTGATTCATAAAGAGTTCTCAAGAGTTATCATTCATAATTCTTGTCGGGATATAACACCCATCTCTTCCCAGATCAAAACAACCTTTGGGAGACAATAATAGATATTAAACTAAACTTGAATAGTAAAAATACAGTACTACAAATGTAACATAAGAATTTTCCACACTCTTCTTTATATATCCACTAACACCGATTGGTTGAAAATAGATCGGTCAAAATGTACCGATTTGAACGTGGCTTGAGTATGTATTAACTAAAAGTTTATTCTGTTAACAGATTTAATAACTTAGTTTCAGTCAGTTACAAGTAAACAGTGAGAAGATTTCAACATAATATCTAATTCCAGTTTGTTTTGAGGCAATCATCATGAAGTCTAACTTCATTTGTATTTTATCCTTGTGTTAACCTGACTAAACGTTTTCTTCTCTGTGAAGTATAGCATGCAACAACCAGGAACATAGTTCAAGAGGTGATTACAGAACTTGTTAAATTGATTTAGGTTTCATAAGTCTAGATATATAACATACGCGTACCCATACGTCATTATAATTAAAACATAATATCAATAGACCCCGATCATGCACCCAGTCAAGTTTTTAACCTATATGTTCTTGTCTAGTTCCAAAGCTCATATGTATATAAATACCGTACAGCTGAGTTTCTTATAAGATGAAGTTCATCAAGGTTTATTTATAATGTTGATGAGATGGGTAATCCCCATGGGATTCAAACTCACACTAGTCAGTTATATATTCAGAGTTGTTATCTTTGAACTATTCAATTAATGACTGGCTTTCTGTAGGACTGAGTTGCTTAAACTAACTAATTCTTGCATTGTAAAAAAAAAATCATGCATGTCTAACCTTTAATATTGATCTAATGTTTGAGGTCACTAGTCCAGGTGACCCAATTTCCTTGGGCATCAGGTTTAGTGTTTTGTCTTTAGGGGCACTTATCGGGTGTAAATTTGTTATCAAGGCGGTGACTTGGTGGGATTTGAAAATCAGTAGACATATGCCCAGATACTAGGAATTATTGACAACCATTTATGAATCATATTCTCCTTTTGATATGAAATAGTACGATTGAGTCTTTTACTCATACATATTACGTTAAAACTATCTTAACATAAAATGACCCATTGTTTAGTTAAACTAAACAAATGATTTATTTATCAGCGAATGATCAATATCACTCTATTGTTTACAGGATTACATAGAATCTATTAATCATGATGCCGTGGTACGGCCGAGAGTGGGGAGAGTCCGCTCTCCCTCTCGAAATGCTCTCACATGGCCATGCGTATATAGCCTCTGCCAGGGAAGTACTACTCACTGCCTTCTCGTGGCGGGGGTGTTGTTTACAAAAATGAGAGGACGAAAAGCGAATGTCCGGCGCTTTAACCGGACCCCAAACCAATGATGCACATGGGCTCCAGTATCCTGAGGGAACAAATGGCGTATGAACCAATCGTTGGTCACCGGCTACCATGGGACTGCATCCCCTCACGATGCTCCACTGCCTTGTGGGTCAGACGTTCAGGTCAAAGGCTCGGGGTGTGGCCCCCTAAGACAACCACCTGCTTCGGTTTGGGCACCCGGGCAGTATCACAGCCCTCACACAAATCAATTGAGATTTGTGTCGCGCATATGTATTTTGGTGCCTCCCTGTACCTATACTTATGTGTTAAAATAAATAAATAAATAAAATTCTACTTATCCCCAAAATTTGAATTATTTTCGGTTGTTTTAGGTACTATGATATCGATTGACTATTAACTTTACAACAATTATTAGGTACTATCACTTACTTTTATTACTTTAATTTAACATAATTAAGTATACTATATGAAAATCACATATGGTGATCTGATGAAATGACCTGACAATAGCCATATATATATATATATATATATATATATATATATATATATATATATATATATATATATATATATATATATATATATATATATATATATATATATATATATATATGTCAAACAGACCGAGACCGGCAAACACAACACATACTAACTGATGTAAAACTTTTATATGATAACTATTTGAATTCCACAGTTTAGTTTAAAAAAACAAAACACGTCCTAGATCAAGTCTACATCAAGGGTTATCAATTTACATTATTTATCATTAATAACATAAATTGATAAATATTGAATCACTATTGAGAAATCAAAACTACTAAACGATTATTTCATTTTAATTTAGGATAGGTGTACTGATAGTAGGTAGTCTTATCAATAGTTAAACATTGGAAATAGTAGGTCAAACATGGGTAAATGGAGTAGTTATCACAAAACATTAAAATCATTACGTAATAAGAAGTGTGTAAATAATTAGATAGTGAAGAATGTAAATGTAAAGAGGCGAATAATTCCAAACAAATAATGGATTAGTAAATAAGGTTAATGATAGAATATTAATAATAATAATAGTAATCATAAAGAAATATAAAAAAAAGAAATAAAAATTAATCGTTAGTTAAGTTATCACTGGCCATGGAAGGGATAGGGGGGTTACAAATTTCTTCTATACACATAGATTGGGGTTATATGTACGGATTCCTATGGCTTCAGCTATATGTAGGAGACGGGAACGAACTCCATTGGGAAATGATGGGGGTATACGATAGATCACTCGAAATGATTTCGATTTATCTACCGCATGACCACTATCAATAAGATGCGCCAGGATTGAACTGCGTACTGTTTTTATCTGGCCGTTTATGAACCAAGTTGGTAGATGTTCACTCATTCGTTGGTTAAGTTGCCTGGTAGTACGCCCGATATAGCTATCTCCACAGGATCAGCTGAATTTGTAAATGCACATTGAGGAGGCCAACTCAGGTAACTTATCCTTCGTTTGAGTAGACATCGCTGGTTGACAAGAGAAAGTCAACGCAAGATTGGCTGCGTAAAATGTTCTGTTGATTACTTTCGTTAACCTATATTTCAGAGTATCAGTAGCCACATCCCCGTTGAACTGTAGTTTCATGTATAAAGGTTTCTTACGAACAGTGGAAATCTCCGACTTCTTTATTATATCATACATGTACTTCTTAATGAAAGCACCGGGGTAGCCGATCTCGGTCAGTGAGTTGTTAATAAATTCAAGCTCCTGACTTAAAGTATCACCTGTACAAATCTTTTTTGCTCTGCTTGTGAGACATCTAACCAAATTTCTCTTGTAGCGGATAGGTGTGAAACTGCAGAAGTGGGTATATTGGCAGGTAGAGGGGCTTTTTCTATACACGCTTCTACTTAATGTGCCATCACATCGTCTGCTTAGTATGACGTCAACGAAGTTCAGCTTTTTGTCATGCTCGCATTCACCAGTGAAACTGATCGCTGGGTGAACACTGTTAAATTCTTCTAGGAGTTTCTCCTTACTAGTGTTTCGATCTGCGACAATCAAAGTGTCGTCAATGTAGCGGCAATATAAATCAAGCTTCTTAACAGTCTCATTAAGAGGTCCATTTTCTAACTTTGCTAGAAAGAGATCAGCTAAAATCGGGCCTAGAGGTGAGCCTATGGCTATTCCGTCTATTTGTCTATAATAACTATTGTTGAAGACAAAATAAACATTCTGCGTGCATCTTAGGAGCAGTTCCTTTAGACTATCTTCAGGCAAGCCAATATTGATTTGTTTTTCTGATATTTGCTTGCATATAAACTTGATAGTCTCCATAAGTGGTACGTTGGTGAACAAAGATACTACATCAAGAGAGATCATATTTTTCATGTTGACATTTATATTTTTCAATTTAGTGGTGAATTCGAAGACATCTTTTACACTATTTCTAACAACTGATTTGTTCAAAGGCTCTAAGATTCGCACCAGGCACTTTGCAATTTTGTGGTATGGAGAATTGTACATATCAAGAATTGCCTTGATTGGTTTAACATTTTCGTTAGAGTAAAGCCTGATAAGGATCTAATTGAAAACAATATTATTCGCTTATATGTGTTGTTCTAATATATATATTTTTTTTATCTTTTCAATTGATATGAATATAGGATAAGAAATTATTAAAGAAACTACAACATACCATATCAATATTACAAGAACAAATTAATCAATTGAATAATACAGTTACAAGTGTACAATCACAATTTAAAAAACTTTATGAAACTGTTCAAGTAATTTTCTATTTAATAATTTGATATTATTTTCCTTGTATCTTAATTGTGAACCACATAGTGACTACTCTAAATTCTATCAATTGATCAATTGTAAATATCCCAGTACGATCACAATACAGTTCACCAATCTTCAATATATATATATATATATATATATATATATATATATATATATATATGTCAGAACACGAACCGTTAGATGAAAACTGTTGATGGAGTCAAGAGAAGAAAAAGAAAAAGAAGAAGAAGAAGAAGAATACTTTACAAACAAATACATATTAATACACTTAAGAGGACTGTGAATATTGATCAATAGGAAAATGACACCATTTCATGTTTAAGGATAGTATTAGACTGAACAAGATAATTTTTGAGATATTTTTCTGAATATCCCAAAAATCTTTCCATTAAAGTTTAAGATTATAATTGATCAGTCTATTATTGGAATATGTGCATACTGTACGTATTGTTTTGATATTGTTTTAATTTACAAGCTTTTTGTAGTAAGCAATGATGGATAGTGGCTAGCAGTGGAATCCTAGAGTGAATATCAACTCTGAGATGTAGGTATATACAGCTGACGAGTCTCGAATACGTCAAAACCCGCGTCCTGGATTCCACTGCTAGCCATTATCAATCTTTGATAACGAACTGTTTTTTTTTTCAAGTGAAATTCAATTTTTTGTGTTTATGAATTGCTTAGAAATGAGATTTCTTCAGTTATGGCGAAGGCGCGATATCCGTCTATCAATTAAGGGATGAGTATACTGAGCGGCAGTTTGTTCTGTTTAACTTTACGGCTACGAAACGTGGTCATTAAGAGTAGAACATACTCGTAAGCTACAAGTATTTGACCACAGATGTCTTAGAAATATTGCTGGTATCTGCCGGGATCACCGGATAATTATTAGTGACGTTATTAGGGAACGATGGTAAATCAGTTGACGTGGTTGTGAATCTTCATCGACTGAGATGGTTGGGTCACGTGTTGCGTATGCCTGAACGCCGTTTACCACGACTTGCATTGCTGACTAGTGTTAGGGATGGTTGGAAGAAAGTTAGGGGTGGCCAAACTAAAACGTGGAATCAGCGCTTGAAGTCACTAACTTCTAGTTTAAGCCATGTTGGTAGATGCAGACTACTTGTTTGGGGTCCGCGTGACTATCGTAATAAACGGTTGGAGATTGTGGGTGACATGCCTCAAAATCGATCAAATGGCATACGTTTATACACTCTTTGTCTCCCTTTAAACAATGAGACTAAAATTATTTCATATCTTTCTTTCTGTACTATATCCTTACATAAAATTTTTACTTTACATATATTACACCATTGAGTTAACTGCTCCTATGAATCCGGTGTTCGTCTTGCTGTGCTAACGAGGTGTGACAACTTAAACCGATGTATGTATGTACCTGGTCCTACATTGTAAATGACTGACTGACTCTCTATGAGGAATTGCTTAAAAGCCATGAGGCCTTATATAACTTTCTGGTATTATTTCATAACTTTACATCAATAGTCAGCCCAAATATACTCAAATGGGATTCAATTTCAAAAGTTTCAGTGTCAATAAATTCACGTTCTAGTGAGAAGCTAGTGAGACAGCTATCTACCTCAGAAAATATATGAATGGTTTCGACTGAAGTTAGACATTAACTCCGATGAGTTAGAGGTAAAATAATCGCACACGAGGCCGAAGGTCCTGAGTTCGAGTCCCACACACGAGATCGTGAAGTACTGATGAGGAGTCCCATATTGAGATGAGACGATCTTCCAGTACTTCCAGGCTTGCAATGGTGGTCTAACGTAGATTGACTCTTGAATTCAACTGTTAAAATTCAGGTTTCTTTGATAAATGAGGTTATATGTTTCAATGTGATTCGTAAATACTTCAAGATTGATAGAAGATACTTACTTACTTACTTACTTACGCCTGTTACTCCCAATGGAGCATAGGCCACCACCGACGAGCATTCTCCAACCCACACTGTCCTGGGCCTTCTTTTCTAGTTTCATCCAATTCTTGTTCATTTTTCTCATATCTATCTCCATTTCTCGGCGTAATGTATTCTTTGGTCTTCCTCTCTTCCTTCGACCTTGAGGGTTCCATATGAGGGCTTGTCTTGTGACGCAGTTCGGTGCTTTCCTCAATGTGTGTCCTATCCACTTCCAGCGCTTCTTCCTGATTTCTTCCTCCACTGGGATCTGATTTGTTCTCTCCCACAGTAGGTTGTTGCTAATAGTGTCCGGCCAGCGGATCTGAAGTATTTTGCGTAGACAACTGTTAATAAACACCTGTATCTTTTGGACGATGGATTTCGTAGTTCTCCAGGTTTCCGCGCCATACAGTAGAACTGTCTTGACATTTGTATTGAAAATTCTGACTTTGGTGTTGGTTGCTAATTGTTTTGAGTCCCAGATATTCTTCAGTTGTAGATATGCTGCTCTTGCTTTGCCAATCCGTGCCTTCACATCTGCATCTGATCCACCGTGTTCATCGATGATACTGCCCAAATATGTAAAGGTTTTTACATCTTCCAAAGCTTCTCCGTCAATTGTGATTGGATTGGTGCATGTTGTGTTGTATCGAAGAATCTTGCTTTTCCCTTTGTGTATATTGAGACCTATTGCTGCTGAGGCTGCAGCTACACTGGTTGTCTTCTCCTGCATTTGTTGTTGTGTGTGCGATAGAAGAGCCAGATCATCTGCGAAGTCTAGATCATCCAACTGCATCCTAGCTATCCACTGTATCCCGTGCTTCCCTTCAGATGTTGATGTCTTCATGATCCAGTCGATCACCAGGAGAAAGAGAAAGGGTGAGAGTAAGCAACCTTGCCTAACACCGGTCTTTACTTCGAACGACTTTGTCAACTGTCCTCCATGAACGATCTTGCAGTTTAATCCATCATAGGAATTCTGTATGATATTGACTATCTTCTGAGGCACGCCGTAGTGTCGAAGAAGCTTCCATAGGGTTGTTCTGTCCACGCTATCAAATGCTTTTTCGTAGTCGATGAAGTTGATATAGAGTGATGAATTCCATTCAATTGATTGTTCCACAATGATCCGTAGAGTTGCGATTTGGTCTGTGCACGATCTATCCTTACGGAATCCTGCCTGTTGGTCTCGAAGTTGGGCGTCTACGGAGTCCTTCATCCTGTTTAACAATACCCTGTTGAAGACTTTTCCCGGTATTGAAAGAAGAGTGATTCCCCTGTAGTTGTCACAGTTGCTGAGATCGCCTTTCTTTGGTATTTTGACTAGAAGTCCTTCTTTCCAGTCTTTTGGTACCTGTTCCTCATCCCAGATCTTTCTGAAGAGAGTTTGGAGTATCCTTGCAGTTGACGCTACGTCTGCTTTCAGTGCCTCTGCTGGAATGCTGTCTAGTCCTGCTGCTTTGCCACTCTTGATTTGTCTGATAGCCATGCTGATTTCTTCAATTGTCGGTGCGCCAACATCAATTGGGAGGTCCGTGAGTGCTGCTTCGATGTTGGGTGGGTTCAGTGGGGCTGGTCGATTCAAGAGTTCTTTGAAGTGTTCTACCCACCTGTTTCGTTGTTCTTCAATGTTGGTGATTATCTTGCCTTCCTTGCTTTTCACTGGTCGTTCTGGTTTACGGTGATTTCCGGAGAGTTTCTTTGTTGTTTCATACAGTTGTCTCATGTTTCCTTCTCTGGCAGCCTTTTCCGCCGTCATTGCCAAATCTTCCACATATTTACGTTTGTCGGTTCTGATGCTCCTTTTCACTTGCTTGTTTACTTCTGTGTATTCAGCTTGTGCCTTGACTTTTTCTGCTCTTGTTCGACTGGTATTGATTGCTACTTTCTTGTTCCTCCTTTCTTGAATCTTATCCAGTGTATCGACCGTGATCCAATCCTTGTGATGGTGCTTCTTTTGGCCCAGAACCTCATGACATGTTGAAGTGATTGCCTCTTTTATCTCTTTCCAGTTGCTCTCCATAGTAGTTCCTTCTCCATTGAGTAGATCATGAAAGGCTTGGAACTTATTGCTGAGGGTTATCTTGAATTTATTGAGTTTGTCATTATCCCGAAGAAGAGCCGTATTAAATTTTTGTGATATTGTCCTCCCCGTTGTCCAGTGCCTCTTGAGTTTCAATTTCATCTTGGCGACCAGCAAGTGATGATCTGATGCTATATCAGCTCCTCTCTTTGTTCTCACGTCCTCCATCGTCCTCCTGAACTTTTTGTTGATGCAGATATGGTCGATTTGGTTCTGTGTGCTGTGATCCGGTGAAGTCCATGTGGTTTTGTGTATGCGTTTATGTGGGAATATAGTCCCGCCTATGACCAGTTTATTGAAGGCACATAGATTTGCAAATCTCTCACCATTTTCGTTCCTTTCTCCCAGTCCGTGTCGTCCCATGATCTCTTCATATCCGGTGTTGTCAATTCCAACCTTGGCATTTAGGTCTCCCATCAGAATAGTCAGGTCTTTTGTTGGGCACTTCTCGACGATTGACTGCAGCCTATCGTAGAATTGATCTTTAGCGTCTTCATTGTAGTCATTGGTAGGCGCGTAGCATTGGATGACGTTCATTGTAATCCCCGTTTTCTTTGTTTTGAAGGAGGCTTTGATGATCCTTGGTCCATGAGATTCCCATCCTATAAGTGTATTTTGTGCTTGTTTGGACAGCATCAATGCAACTCCTTGTGTATGTGGGGCATTTTCTTGTTCATGTCCGGAGTATAACAGCAGCTCCCCTGAAGCTAGTCGTTGTTGTCCAACTTGCGTCCAATGTGTTTCACTGATCCCAAGCACCTCTAAATTGTATCTCCTCATTTCTGCAGCAATTTGGAAAACTCTCCCAGTCTCCCACATTGTGCGAGCATTCCATGTACCTAAATAAATGGTTGCTCTGGTTGTCAGAAGGGGCATCGGCCTCGTGACTTCCGAAGAAACTCGGCTTTCATCATGAGGCGTCATAATTCTTCTAAACGAAGACCTCCTGACTTCCAGGGCAGAGTTTAAATGGTTTGAATAATTTTTTCTGGTTAGCGTTTTTTTAGCGAGTTAGTTTTCTACGGGATGGGGTCGCTAACCCCATGCCCAACCCTCCTCCTTTATCCGGGCTTGGGACCGGCAGTAGCCCCCGGAAAGGGACTCCAGGCGGAGTTTGATAGAAGATAACAGTTGATCTTTTATTATGATCAACACACACTAATAAAGATGTACGGTTTCTTGAGCTTTCTGATATTTGAGAGAGTACATGTAACAAAATGAGAGGGAGTTGGGATGGCTAGTACATGTGTTACGTATGGCCAACCACCGACGTGCGATATTTTATGGTGTAAGAGTAGGTCAGAAGAATGCTAGGGGCACCGAGACACAAATATGACACAAATCCATGAAGTCATTGACAAATAGACTGTGTCATGTGGGTAAGTGTAGACTACCTGATTGGGATCTGCGAGATAATATCAATCGATGGTTAGAAACTTTGAATGACATGGCTCTAAATCGTTTTCAATAGTGCAGGTGCATCCACTCTTTGTGTCCTCCAAAATTCTAATCTTCTGAATTCTTCATGTCCCTTTTTTCTCTTTCTGAATTTATTTCACTGTATTCTATTCCTTGAATAACATCTTCAAACCCTAATTTTTCCGATTACTGCTTATACTTTTACTACCTTTACCACTATATGATTCGAATTGACAATTGTATCTGTGATGATGTGGTATGGCAACTCGAACTGATGTACGTATGTACAAAGTTCTACGTTGTTGATTACTGATTGAGTTGAAGAACCTGAGTTCTGAGATCATCTATTAAGGTTTCAAACATTAGAATCGTATATGCGACAAGCATATTTATACAAATCAAGAGTATTTTAAAATTTCTCTGGTCTTTGTGTCTAAAAGCTTGTAAATTTACTTTAATCTTTGCTTACGTATTTCATTAACAGCTTATGTATTTCATGAGGGATCTAACCTAGATGATTCGAGGCAAACAATAAATAATCCCAAACTTGTGTTTTGAGCTAGCTGTTACACTTCAGTCGGAAGAATGCCAGGAGCGCTCAAACCTAAACGTAACATCAGTTCACTGTTAGTCTAAGTCAGATTAAACGATACAGAATACATTAATGAGATCAGTGTGATAACTGCGATCAATGGCTGAAGACATTATTTGATATGTTTGAAAATTAGTCAGAATGACAAATATACATTCATTCCTTATCTTACTCAAGATTTTAAGTTTTAATATTCCTTCATGTTATTTTGGTCCGACAACTTGATCTGATATACATTTGTACAAAGCTCTATATTGATTAAAACTGATTGACTTAAAGAGTCGATGTTCAATGTGTGTGTATGTGTATGTGTATAATCCAAATCTGCGTTAAAAATAATAATCGCTAAAAATTATCTTGTACACTTGAACAATTTGAGATTGACAATCCTTATAATTTTCTATTCTTAATGTTCACTTAATATTGTTTACTTGAAACTTTCATTTGTTGCTTAAGACTGAAATTGACCAGTCTCTGGTATATGTGTATCCTGTACGGACTGCCTTAATAGTACCTTCATTCACAAACGTTCTAAACAGAGATGGATAGTGACTAGCAGTGGAATCTAGGATGCGCGTTTCGTCTTATTTGGGACTCGTCAGTTGAGTGTATCTCTATCCCAGAATTGATGTTTACTCAGTAGCTAAGTGGATAACATGATGGTATCTGAAGCGAATGATACTGAGTTCCAACCCGTGAATGAACATCAACTCTGTGAGGTAGGTACATCCAACTGACAAGTCTCGAATAGGACGAAACGCCCGTCTTGGATTCCACTGCTAGCCACTATCCATCCTTGTTTACTTTTTATTATTATTTAACTTAAAGTTAAATAATTGACGAAAAATGAATCCCTCAATAAACTCAATATTGATACATGGTGTTTTTTATGCTTAATTGATAAAATCTTAGGATGTAAAACAGTATGCAGATGATTTGGAAACGCGTAAAGCAGATGCAAATTATGTTGATACACAATTAGACAAGGTTAGTTGTGTAAAATATCTTTTTGTTTGAAAAGAAAACTAATTCATTTCTACTGATGTATGTATTTCTCATGAAGTGTTAAAATGTTATCTTCACAACTAAAACTACGAACTGATCTTAGCTATCAAAACTGTAGAAGCACTAAACGGCTGTTTTTTTTTTCGGTCAAGACTCCTCAGAAGTGTGTATACATGATCTAGCATATGGAATCTATCGGTTGAATACAGGCTCAGAGATCTAGAGGTGAGATTTTCAGGCGCGAGATCGTGAGTGTACACTGATGATGAGTTTACATACTAAGGTTAGACTGCCATCCAATACTTCCAGGTACTCAGTGGTAGTACAGATAAGATCAGTTTGTGATGTCAATTTTGAAAATACTACAATCATTACAAAACGCTTATTTATTTATATAGACAGTTTAGGGAGGTTCGTTTAGTTTGAAGTTGATTAGGCAATAATCACATTACTATGAGGTAAGAAAACATAAAGAAATCAGTTGTTAAATGTCTCGTTGCTTTCAGTCCTTGTTACCAATCGAAAAGCTTATAAATTATAAGTAGCTGTATTTCTTTCCGTTGATATATTAAGAATTCTGACTGATCAATCACTTCTAGAATATATGTATACTGAGCAGATTCCCTCAATATTTCTATTTCTATACAAATTTTCAATAAGGTTGGATAATCGCTAGCAATAAAATTCAAGGAGTAAGTTTCATCCTATCTGAGACTCAACAAGCGCACGTACCTGAACCCGTTTTGGTAACCACATTCAGACTCGGATTCAGTAACGTGTTCTTCAAATCTCTAATGCGTTATCTTAACCAATCTTAAGTCCCTCTCCTATATTCCATCCTTAGTTACTAACTGTCTTTCCTTAAAGTATGCTTTAATGAAACGGAACTCCCATTGAATTAGCGAAATATTGCGACAATATTTAACAAAGCTCATTATGTTATCACTTTGTCCATAAAATTGTTTTTAAATAAACTGGTTGATTACTTATGAGTAGTTTATATTTTATGATTTCATTTTATGGTAATTGGATGACTTAGCTTCGACTAAAATGTATTTTTTTACCTTAATATTCTAACTTTGAATTTTTGAATTTAATTTAAACATTCATTTAGTTTAAACTCCTGAAAAATTCATGGAGATTAAGATGTTAAGAATGTGTTCCTTGAAATTTTTACTGAAATAATGTTTTGGTACCGACTAAGGGGTGAGTTTCAGAGTATCTGAACCAAAATCTAACTGGACCTACAAAGTTAGACATTAACACTGTTGGATGCCGACTCAGTAATCTAGAGGTTAAGCATTCATGCGTGTGACTGAAGATACTGTTTTTGGATCCAGAGTGCGGACTGCTGAGAAATACCATACTAGGATGAAATGACTGCCCAATGCTCCCAGGTTTTTAATGGTGGTCTTATATTGCTCGGTTCATGATTTTGATCAGATTTATTTGTTTGTATTCCTAATGAAACTCCAGTTAGCTATTCCATTCAGCCAGATTTTACTTCAGAAATTCATATCGACTCACTAGTCTAGCGGATAAGTGTTTGCACGCCATTCCGAAGATCCTAGGTTCTGCGTGTATACGTAAGTGGTATGAGAAGAAATTTCATTCACGCATATCGTCTCTGGTGATATGAATAAAAAGCATCACAGTATGCATAAAATGTAGACAAATAACCAATCATCTATCTATTTATATTCGATAATTTTGATGATTGATTACATTTCCTTGAAAAAGCTTAGGCCATATTGCCAGGTGAAACGTTGGATCTAATCTAAATTCATTCACTGAGATTTTACAAATACATTCTTAGATGGTGGTGGCATCGATGCTTGAAGTCATTAACTTCTAGTCTGAGCCATGGTGGTAGATGCAAACTACTTGGTTGGAATCCGCGCGACTATCGTAACCCAGGGTTGGAGACTCTGGGTGATGTAGTTCACAATCGATGTATACACACTTTGTCTTCCCTTAAACTATGAGATTCAAATCGCTTTATATCTTCTTTTCTATGAACTCATTCGTACTTTCTGTACTGTGTCCTTATATTCAATCTTACTTATACATTACCACCAATGAATTAACTGCTTCTATGAATCCGGTGTTCATGTAGTTGTGTTAATGAGGTATGGAAACTTGGACCGATGAACATATGTACCTGGCCCTACGTTGTAGTTGACTGACTGACTGGTAGAGAAGATTTGTAATTGATGTGGATGATTTTGATAAAGTTTTGTTCTCTAAGCTGAATAGTTTAGTTGTAGAGCTTTCATCATTCTTCTAAACGACATCTTAAGGTACTTGAATTTTGTGCTGATGATGATCAAGCCATCCAGGTCGCAGAACAAAAGTTTACCACAAAAAAAAACAAAACAAATACATTCTTTCTTTTTAATGTATCACATTAACTCGACTCTTAAATACTGTGAAATTATCCAATCAAATTTAGATGAAAGTTTTTCACTTGTTCCCTCTTTTCATAACAAAGATATTGATTAGGGAATATTAAATGATCATATCTCCAATATTTTCGAATATATTGATTGTAAGTAATAAAATTCCTTAGTCTATCTATCATTAACAAGTATATAGGTACGCACTCACATACATACATACATACATACTTATGGACTACACACATACACATACAAACACTTAAACATATACATTCCCTACATATCTGTGCATACATGTCAACATGTTACAAAGAATGTAATAGATTGTCAAATTACCTACTGTAAATAATGACACTATTCAATCAATTAATCAAGGTCTTATTAAAAACAAACAAAAAAATTCTGATTATATAATAGTATTGTTATTGACACCGTTGGATGCCGACCAGCTAAGTGGTATAGAGGTTAAACATTTGTGTGGGAGACTGATAGGTCTTGGGTTCGAATCTTGGAAGGTGGGATCGTGGATACGCACCACTGAGGAGTCCGACGACAGGACGAAACAGCCGTCCACTGCTTCTAAACCTGACATCAATCGGTTCATAATCTCAATCGAAAACTTAGTAATCGCCACAACCCCTAAAATGATAATTACCATGTGCTGACTAGTGACTAGCTTCGTGAGGGAATTCTCGGAGTTCTAGTAAGAAGCCGTAACCAGTGGAGCTCATCCGTATCAAATAGCGACTGGTATGTGACGACAGTCTACAGGTGAACTAGAGGAAGCTCTAAGAAGCTCAGAAAGAGCCGAAGATATGCATTGCAATGATCTTTTGGAAGAATATTACAGAATCACTACATGTAGCTTCCCTATTGTACAATTGCTAACAACCCCGTGTATACGGATTGGTTAATAATTATGAGGATTTCGTTTTCACTAAAAACTATAAATACCTAGCAGTTTTGTACTATAATTGACACTGTTTGGAATAGCATACCTTTTACTTGTCTTCCGTCTTTTTATTTGCTACTTGGAAGAATTTTAGCGTCCGAGTGCTCAAGTTTTACGCGGTATATTAAGAACCTAATCTCTAGATATAACACTATCCACATATTTATCTATCTATCTATCAGTGGTCTAAAGGTTAAGCGCTCACGCGTGACCGATAGAGGCTAGTTTCAAATCTCGCGAAGCGAGTTCATGAATACGCACCACTGAGGAATCCCACCACAGGACGAAACAGTCATCCAATACTACTAGATCTAACATCAGTCGATTCATGATCTCAATCAAAAAAGAAAAAATAAGAAAAAGAAAAAGAAAGAAATGTTTTCTTTATTTTTTTTTCTTTTTCTATCTTCTCAATTTTTTCTACATAAATGAATAATATAATTCAATAATGTATATAATATAAAACTAATTAATTCAATAAATTCAAATAAACCAATTACAGAGATTCCAATCCATAAACCCATATTTCCACCAATATCAGATAATAATTGAGCGAATGAATATTCTTGTTCTTCACGTACTAATTTACCTTGTGGTCTATTACGTTCTATAGTTAATAAACCAAAATTATTACGCATTTCTAATAGAATTTGTTGAGTTGTTAATTTCTCATTATTATAAGTAGTATTATCAGTAGTATTAGTAGTAGTAGTAGTAGTAGTCGTATTGTTAGTGAATACATCACGAAATGTATGAATTAAAAATGATGCTCTTGCATCATTATATGTATTACTCCATAATTCATTCATAATAATACGATGTATACCAAAATTTTGATAATAAACATGATCACAATATGGTAGATTACGATAAAGATCACATTGTTTTGCTTCTATTAAATTCATATATAAACTAATATTACTATATTTTTGATATACTCGATACATACAATTAACATTATCTATTAATTGATTCTTATTAAATAATGACATATTTAAACATAAAACTGGATATTCAATTGTTCTATTAGTATTATTATTATTGTTGTTGTTGTTATGATTTATGATTGGTATGTTGTCATAGTAACCATAAGGTAAGAAGGGACTATAACAATGACATTCATTTAAATATAAATATTGTGATAATATACGATGACATAATTCATTTGAACCATAAATTAAACGTTTATTAATTAAATCACCATCATATATAATTGTTGAAAATTTTTTCTCATTACATAATGATTGATGTTGGTGGTGGTTGCCACGATGATTGCCGGGATGGTGGTGATGGTGGTGATGGTAGTAGTTGTGTTTTATACGTTTTATCCGTAACATTTCTAATTTAATATGATTTATATAACCAGGGATTAATTCAATTGAATTGATATCAGGGAAATGATTTGGTAATGTGATATATAAATCAATCATATGGGATGTATATGATGAATTAATAATTAAATAACTTTGATAATTAAATTTAATACCAAAAGCAAGTTTTTCTATATGATGATAATTAGTTGTATTTAAATGACGTGAAATCTGTAAGATGAAAAAGAAAGAATACCGCTTAAGGTTAGTGGTTTGTGTGAGACACACCAACAGATTCTGGGTTCGAATCCAATGAACGGGATTGTGGATGCGCACTGATGAGCAGAACCATACTAGGACGAAATGACCAATCAATGCTTCCAGGCTTTCCATGGTAGCCTAGTTTTAATTGACTCATGAATTCAACTGTTACTATATATATGGATTGATTGAAGTAAGACACTAACACTGTTGTGTGCTAGCCAGCTCAGTGGCCTAGAGGTTGAGTATAAGCGCATGAGACTGGTAGGTCTTGACTTTGAGTCCAAACTGGAGGGTCGTGACTGCATACTGATGAGGAATCTAGCACTGGCACGAAACGGCCGTTCAGTACTTCTGCGTTTTCCATAGTGGTCTATTTTTAATTGATTCATGAGTTCAACTAATAAAATATATATGTATATGGATCAATGAATTTAGATATTAACGTGGTTGGATGCCGACTGGCTTTATGGTTTAAAGGTTAAAAGTTTGTGTGTGAGACCAATAGATCCTGGTTTGAATCCCGTGTTGTGTGTAGATTATTATTTTCTATAAGTCAGTCAAAGTTTTCTAGACAATCTTGGTCTTTTTATCCTGCATAGTTTGTTGACCAATTGTTTTAGATGTATACATTGTAACTGGACTCAATCGGGAGGTAATAACAGTTCGAACTAAATGATAATAGTTATCAAATAAAACTTGATGTAATCAAGATAATAATTTAATAGTTGAATTCATGAATCAACTAAAATTGAACCATCAATTAAAAAAAAACTGAAAGTACTGGACGACCGTTTCGTCCTATTATGAAACTCCTCAGCAGTGAACTTTCATGATTCCGTCCACGGGATTCGAATCTAAGACTTATCGGTCCTTATTATTCAAAATAATGCACTATGAGATGTTCATTATTATATCTAATAATAATTTTATTCAAGTTTTTAAATTGACTTTATACATTTGGTTATCTTCAAAAGGAATTAATATTTTGATAAAATAGTTTTCCTTAATCAATCCGATTAATATACGAACTTATTCTCATACCTACACACACACACACACACACACACATATGAATGAATGAACAATTGACCAAATGAACGTTTTACTGAATCAGTGTAACCTTCTGCTTAAACTCCCCCCCCTCCACCGATATATTAGTAATAATTTTGTGGTTCCCATGGGAAATTAAAATGTATTGTACCGTTATACAAAAGTTTCAATATACCATTTAAAACTTGCCTTTAATGGCGCTACTTGACTTTCTATTTTTTAAATGATTAGTACTTGGGTAGACTGAATTCGAGTGTGTGTGTGTGTGAGAGAGAGAGGAAGTGGAACTCAAATCAAAGAAAGTGAAAGGTTGGGAACTGACGAAACGATTAGTAAATTAAAGTAAGTTAATGTTGTTTGTAGTCGAATGAGTGAGTAGCTTAGGGTTTATTTTGCTCTGAGCCTCGTTGCTAATGTGTATTAATAGAAAAATAATAATAATAATAATAATAAACTTTTAACTAACGAAGAATATTAAGATATTTGATTAAATGAGCAATGTTGAGGTTAGACATAAGGTACTAAACCAAAACGACAAATCGGTCGATTAGGAAGTGATGGGTATTCATCGACTAACGTGATAGGGACATAAGTTACTCATATCAAACCAGTGATTAACACAACTGTCAATGTTAGTTAGTTTAGAATTAAGTTGGAAAAAAGTAAGATATGGCATCAGTTTATGAAATTGTTGACTATTAGACTGAACCATGTTTGGTCCGCATGTTCATCGTAACCAGTGCCTGAAGATATTGAGGGGTACAGTGAACGTGGATTTCGTTCTACTCGGGACCCATCAGATGTATGTACCTGCATCAAAGAGTTGATTTCCACTCCAGAACTCGAAACCAGCACCATTCGCTTCAAACGCCATTACGTTATCCAATTATCTATTGAGTGAACATCAATTCTGGGATTCAGGTATATCCAACTAAAGAGTCCCAAATAGAACGAAACGCTCATCTTGGATTCCACTGTTAGTCACTATCCATCATTGCTTAGATTACTTGTGAATGAAATTAATATCTGGGCACTTCGCACAGGATACACATATGCCATCAAGAGACTGATCCATCACAGTCTTAAGCAACAATGGAAAGATTCAAGTAAACAATAGCAAATGAATTTAACTTATAGTCCATTGTTAAATGTTGATAAGAAATTGACCAATAACAAGATATAATTTCGTTCAACGGATCAATATATATATATACCCTTGGAATGATGATGTTGTTTGTATTCACTACATATAAATTCGTTACACAAACTATTATGAAAAATAGATTATTTTTGCAGATGAAAGGCATTAGATGACAGTTAGATGACATGGATATAAGAAAAACTGTACAGTATTTGTTGGATAACAATTGTAGATAAGGAACAAATACACATTACAGTAGATATCAGTTGTATATAGTGAATAGTTACCACTTAACAATTATTCATTCTACTATTTGAATTCATGAGTTGATTTAAGCTAGACTATCAGTGATAACCTAGAGTTACTGAATAGCCATTTTGATCTAGTCTGACTCACTACTGACTAGCTTTAAGATGAATTTCATGGAGTTCTAGTGAGAAATCATGATCAAGTAAGTTCAATCATGTCTGTTTTGAAGCAGTTAATCACTGAAGACAATAATACACAGTCGCGTAATATCATGGATTGGTTGAAGTGAGACATTAACACCATTAAATATTTGCCAACTGAATAGTCTAAAGGTTAAGCGTTCACACACAAGATCAAACATTGTACACTTGATTCCCGTTTGTAGGATAGTGGATGTTTACTGATGTGATGTCCCATACTACAATGAAATGATCGTCTAGTACTTCCAAATTTTCACTAATGATCAAGCTTAAATAGACTTAGAAATTCAACTAGTCAATTAATTCAATTTCTAAGTAGAATTTTCAATAAGAGATCAAATAGTTTCTTTAATGTTATATGTTTCTAAGATGGATACAAAGAAGATTTAATCTATGCCACCTTTATTTTTTTTTTAACTATAGACATTTGATTATACTTGTCAAAGATAAGAGATGAATATAATTTATACTCATTTCATTTACTGACATTTTATACTTGTGAAATTTATCTCTCTCTCTCTCTCTCTCTCTCTAGATTAATCTTTGATTAGACAACTTTTCAATCTCTCTGATCAAATACTCTTAAAACTACATGAAATGTATGTTAGATAGGTAGGTAGATAGATAGATAGATAGATAGGTATGTAGGTAGGTAGGTAGATAGGTAGGTAGGTAGGTAGGTGGGTAGGTCAGTATGTACATCATGATTGTAAAAGTAAGATATGAATAGAAAGAGATAAACAAAGGATTAATTGTATTAATTGAAAGCAATGAAATGAAACAAAGCTGAAGGATACATGATATATAGTGAAGATAATAATCATATTATTCAGTAGTGTATTTAGCTAGTGTCTATCATTTAAATCATTCATTGAATCAACTTAAATAATTCTTAATACTTTTATAGCTTGTACCATAGAATGATCTTAGCTAGAAAACTACTGAAATTCTGAAAAAGTACTAGATGCTTATTTCATTGTAGACTCTTTAGTAGTGAGCACCTTTGAACCTACCAGAGATAAAACTTCGGACCTTCAGGTGTCATGGTGATCGCTTAACTTTTATACAATTGAGTCAATATCCAATAGTTTGTATTCCTTAGTTATAAATCATTAAAGGTTTAGGACAAATATACATCAACTATAATCACCTTATGTATATTAGCACAATGGAAGGCAATTAATGAGTTAACGAGATAATTAGTCAAAACTATCATAATCATAGTTACAATATTACTGTTACTGTTATACCACAAATAGTAGATATAGTTAAAGAACGAATGAAATGGTTAAGGTCATATAAGCTGATCACTTCATTCCTGAAATAATTCATAACCAAGATTGGCACACTCTACTACTGATGAAAGTTTGACAAATTAATGTTCAATAATAGGATTGATTAGATTGTTAATTAACTGAGCAATTTAAAATTACGAACTAATCTAGGTTAAATCACCATTGAAGACATGAGAAAACTAAAAGACCACTTCATTCTAATATTGGACCTCACTGAAATGTGCATTCACAACCCTACACATGGAGGTCGGACCCAGTATCTTTTGCCTCGCGCACAAACGCTCAACCTCTTGATTGCTAGGCTGGTACCCAATGGTATACGAATCTAACTTCCATCAGTCAATGATGATGTCTGACCATCCTCCATTGTCTTCATTGAGTAACTATCTCATATTTGATACGGTTTAGTTCCGCTGGTCACTGCTTCTTGCTCGAACTAAGGAAATTTCCCCTTAAAGCTATTCACTAGTATGAATATGATACTAGCAACTATTGGCTTTGTTGAATTGAACGGGAATGCATATATCCACGATGTCCGATTTAGACACACACGCACACATTTCCAATAAACATGCTCAACAGCCAACGAAACTAAAAAGAATAACAAATAACACTAGAAAGCTATAATTTATAAAACAGAATAGGTTCATATATATTCATTCCTCCTACCTGGACAATAACATTTAAATTGAGACATTGACTAGATGTTTAATCAAATCCCATCAATGATGTGCTTCGTTGATAGTATCTCACCTACCGTTTGATCTTGAAATGCCTTGAGAGTAGATGTCTGTGAATATTTTTGGACTCGTTTAATCTATCAATCTGTATGTATACATCCGTTAGACTACTTTTAAATAGAAAAAAAATTTACGTTTTATTCCAAGTTGTTATCCATCAAAGACATTTTTCTAATTTTCCCATTTATCAACCAACCTATCAGTGATCATAATTCATCTGAAAAAAAGGGTTTTCATTCCTATTATTAGAAAGGGGGTTTTATGGAGATTGTAATAATTTAATAGTTGAATTCATGAGTCAAAGCTTAGAAGCACTGGTTGATCGTTTTGTCCTAGTATGAGTCTCCTCAGCAGCGCGCATCGGCGATCCCGCTTGTGTAACTCGAACTCAGGACCTGTAGTCTCACGCTCAAACGCTTAACCTGTAGACCACTGAGCCAGCCGGTGTCCAACAGTGTTAATGTGTAACTTCAATCGATCCATCTATGACTGTGCAACCATTCATCCATTGCCTAAGGTAGATACCTATATCTACTTGACATGGATTAGCTCCACCGCTAATGGCTTCTCACTAAAACTCCAGGAAATACATCTTCAAGTCAATCACTATTAATTTATCAAAAGAATTTATCCCTTAAAATTAGTATAAACATCATCATTTTTGAAAGGATTTCCTTCTATCGAACAACAGAATTTCTTGGAAAATTCTTTTTTCTTCTCAACATCTATGTACATTCTCTAATGTGATTATAAAACATAAAATTCAAAGAAGGATGTACTTTCAATGAATTTACTGTCAATTTCTCACAGCGGGAGTGTTGTTTACGAAATCGAGAGGACGAGAAGCGAATTCCTGGCACCCGAACTAGGTTGGTGGACACGAAGGGTCCACCTAGGAGAGTTGGAAAACCCTTATTCCAAAACAATAGTGTACATGGGCTCTAGGATCTTGGGGGAACACAAGGCGTTTGAATTAGTTGTTGATCACCTCATACTATGTGGCTGGATCTCCTTACATTGCTCCACTGCCTTATGAATTAGACCTTTAGGTCAATGAAATAAGACACTTAAAATTAAACAAAAACTTTTGATAGCTTTGTCTTTATAACCTTCTCAACCATTTTTGCTATGTTCACGATTCGAAACAGATTTATCATGTCATTTCATAATTCACCAAGCCTTTCATCTAAGTCTATTTCTGTGGGTGTCGTCTCTGTATCTTTACCAGTCTTTAAATCCTGAATGACTAAACTCTAGTTTGTACGCTTAGAAAGCTTTTTTGTTACAAACACAATCACAAGTCTGAGTATGAAATTTAGCTACGCATACTCATTGATGCCGGAAGACGTTATTGAACAAGTGCCTGAATTTATTTTAAAGCCAGATTCAGACTCACTATACGATTGCCTAAAAACAAAAGTCATTAGTGTTACATTTTTCATTGGCTAACAGACAATTGATCAACTTTTAGTTAATGTAGAGTTATGTGACAGCACACCGTCTCAATTAAAACGCCACATGAGAAAAGTATTGAGGAATCATATAGTAAATAAACTTCTATCACATTAATTGTAGTTCAAAAGTCTCCCGCAAAACATCAAACAGATACTAGCAATCGGAGATGTTGATTTTAGTAGGCTAGTGGACATAACCGATAGAAGTTACGAGCGGAATAGGACATGTTATAAATAACACACAAAAATTTCACTCCATCCGCTTGTATTTCACAGTTAATAACAAACACAACTATAATCAGAGAAGGGTTTTGTAGGTATTATAGTAATTTTAATGGTTGAATTCATGATTCAATTGAAGCTAGACCACCATGGAAAACCTGGAAGCCTGTTCAATGGTCTAGTGGTTAAGCGCTCGCGTACGAGACCGATAGGTCCTCGGTTCGAATCTCTCAAGGTGGGATCGTGGATGCGCACTGCTGAGGAGCTCCATACTGGGACGAAACGGCCATCTAGTGTTTACAGGTTTTCCGTGGTGGTTTAGCTTCAATTGACTTATGATCTCAACTAGTAAAAATACAACTATGCTGTATATCGTTAATTCATTTGCCCCCATCAATTCAAAAGTCAAATTGAAAATACAAACAGATCATTGTTTCAGTTCTACAAGGGAACACATCATTAATGAGTATTCGGTGTAATCATTAATTTCATACTGATAACCTATTAATCGACTAGAATGATGAATGACTTATGATGATGTATTTATGGTTTACAGCTATATCAATACATCATCATTAGTAATAGGTTGTGCTGACCATAAACTGACATTGAATGGAGATATATTTACAAATTATAAAGTATTAGTGCTTTGTTTCACTTTTATTGAAATAACTAACATAATATAGTGGATCTATTGAATTTAAGTATATATACCACTGGATTCTGATTTAAATATCAAGAGGTCAGGCGTTCGCACACAAGAGACTGGAGGTCTTGAGTACGATCTTCAGTAGCTTATTGACTAGAAGTTCTACAACTCCGCCTAGTCCCCCTTGTGATTACTACTGGTCTCAAGCCCGGACAAAGGAGAAAGATTGTGCATGAGGTTAGTGACCCCATCCCGTAGAAAACTAATTTGCTAAAAAAAAGCATACAAGAAAAAAATCATTCAAAATATTTAAACTCTGTCCTAGGAGTTAGAAGGTCTTCCTTTAGAAGAGTTATGACACCTCATAGTGAAAGCTGAATTCCTTCGGAAGTCACTAGGCTGATGCCCCTTTTGACACTCAGAGTAACCATTAAGTTAGGTACATGGAAGACAGGGAGAGTCATCTAAATTTCTACAGAAATAAAACGATATTACCTGAAAATGTTTGGAATAAGTGAAACACATTCGACACAAGTTAAACAACAAAGTAGAAGTTCTACACTATGACAAAACGAATGTTCAGTGTTTCTAGTTATCAAGTACTTATCAAATGTAGATTAGTTCATGATTTCTATTAAATTATTATAATGTATCATAGACAGAAACGACACAAACATACACACACACACATACACAAAACAATTAATCTCACTTGGTATTGTTTACTGCAATTGATCATTCCATTTTCGGCATATATACATCCTATGCGAATTGTCATGATATAGTTTTAAGTCACAAACTTTTTAAGTAAATATGGATAATGAATAACAGTAGAATATAGTTTGACTCATGTTTCATTCTATTTGATACTTGTCAGTTAACATGTACCTACATCATAGAGTTCATGTTTACTTCAGGGCTCGAACCTAATACTATTCTCTTCAAATACTATTATTATTATTATTATAAGCTTTATTCAACATTATATTTGTGGTACACTATTGAATTCTCAGCATAAAGTATTTCAACAAGTTTCCTATCCTTATATCTTGATCGATCCTGACGATAAATATTGAGTAATGCCCAGTTAGATGTTAGGAATTCCATAATCGATATCTGAATAATGTTCATTCATTTCAATGCATATTGCAAACCACCATGATGTTGCTGTTTGTACCTTTTTGTAATCCGTACAGTGAAAGATTGTAAACTTTTCATAAACACGCCTGAATAAGTTTTGAGCTTAATAAACATAATAATGTGTTAAAACAAACAACAAAACAGATAACTTGACAAAATATCTAGATAGAAGGAACAGATAGCCCAGATATTCAAGTAGACCGTCGATTATCAAACTATCAATATTAGGGTTATGAAAATGATTAGATTTTCCATTAAAATCATAAATTGATTGATGTAAAACCATCATTGGAAATCTAGGAGCGCATTGAATGACCTTTTCGTTCTATTTTAGGTCATCATCTACTTGCAAATCACCATGATGTTGCTGGTTGTACCTTTTTGTAATGCGTACAGTGAAAGATTGTAAACATTTCATAAACACGCCTAAATAGGTTTTCAGCTTAATAAACATAATTAATGTGTTAAAATAAACAACAAAACAGATAACTTGACAAAATATCTAGATAGAAGGAATAGATAGTCCAGATATTCAAGTAGACCGTCGATTATCAAACTATCAATATTAGGGTTATGAAGATGATTAGATTTTCCATTAAAATCATGAATTGATTGATGTAAAACCATCATTGGAAATCTAGGAGCGTATTGAATGACCGTTTCGTTCTATTGTAGGTTGCCATCTACTTATAAACATCAACTCTATGATGTAAATATATTTACTAATTCATAATTCTTTACATAAAATGATTACATGATTATCGATTATTGATTTTTATTGATATTTTAAATGAATGAAATTATTATTTTTAATATAAATAAATAAATACTTACTTGAAAATTAAAACATGGTATATTATAACGTTTTTGTAATATTTGTGTATAAATATATTGATTGAATGGCATTGGTATCATGATTAAATTTTCATCTAAACCAACTGATAAACGTATTCCTTGATAACCATTATCTATAGCTATAAATTGAAACATATCATTATAATTTCCAATATTAAATTCCCAATAGGATAATGTAGAATAAATTAATGATTGTATGATGATTTCATTTGTATCTATATTATCTATATTTAAAAATAAATGATTTGGTATAGAGAATGATAAATTTCTTGCTAAATTCATATATTTATTCCATAATATATTTTTATGTTTATGATATACATTATATGGTGCCATTGAATTACATAATATAATATCAGGCCATTGAAATTCTTCATAATCATTTATATAACTAGTTAATATTGGATATGATAAATAATGTTCAATAATATATGATAAATTAATTAAAAAACCAATTATACCAATCAACCATAATATTAACCATATGAAACGATTGATATTATTAGTTGCTTTAGATAAATGTGATAATCCATGTATTGTACTATGATTTAATAATTGTATAATACCTAGACGAAAATTAGGTTTATTATTTAATGAATTTGTATTAACATTGTTATCGTTATCATTATTATTACTACTATCATTATTATTATTATTATTAGTAGTAGTAGTAGTATTTATTGCATGAATTTGAGTTCTTTCCGATAATTCATCTAATGAATTCGATAACATAAGTGAGTTTGGTTATTTTCTTTTTAGCGATACAATTTTAGCTACTAATAAGTAGTTAAATAATATATACTAAATATATTGATATTGTAAGGAGGTCACAAATTGAAATTACTGATATAAAATGAAAATAATATTTACATTCTTTATTTATATCTTTTATATCATAGAAAAATGTTTAAAGAGTGTTATTCAATGAATAGAGAAAAAAAAAGAAACATTAAACAGTATTATTGGTTCATTTTAACCGAATATAAAAATATTCTATATCAAATTTAACTCCACTAATTATTGTCAGCAGTATACATGGTAGAAAAAACAAAATGTTTAATATGAACTAACCAATTAGATAATAGTTTATATTATTTTAAATTAGGGATGAAAGAATTTCACTGGTTCATATTATATGACAATAGAATGTAAGTAAATGTATATGTGTGTTTCTATGTACACACATACACACACATACACATACACACATGCACATATGCATTATTTACCATGTGAAATACAATTTCTGACGTACTACGTATTTACACTGATAATAACAATAATATCCCATTAGCAATAAAACTAACAATATTGTAGTTTTTTGGAGGTTGGTTTAATTAGTAGATGGTATTTGTCATTGATTTGGTTGTATTAGTTTAGTACAATTCCGACTTTATTCAATTTTCGATATAGCCATTCAGTCAAACCTAATTAGTTTACTAGTGACTTTACTTTGAGGTGTTCTTGAACGTCCAGTTAGAAGTTATAACTTGTTTAGCTTAGATATTTTAAGAATAAACTGGTTTCAATTAGCGGGATTAGATGATATTCATGCTATACTTCAAGCTGATTGGATTTGGAATAGAATTGTTGGTTGACCGAGGGGTTCCATTAGTTTGACATTCGCCCTAGGAGCCGAAGTTTGTGGATTTGACCAATGGTGAAGTTGTAGATGTACACTAGGTTAGTATCATCATAATAAAATAAGACAGTTTTACAGTCTTGCTTGGTATTCAATGCTACCTCAAATAAGATTAATCTGTGACAAATACAATCTACTTTGCAACAGTATTTATTCGCTTATTGACTCAGGATGCTCAGATAGTACAGTTCTGTTCGGTGAAGATATTGACATAATTCAGCGTTTTCTGACCACATTAAGCAACAATGCAAACTTATATGGATTGACTTTTTCTTTCTATAAATACTAAATTTAACTTCAGAACTGATATTTGTCAATCCTTGAATCGATCGTAGGGAATGAATTAGTTGACCGTGACGATTACTTTACTTATCTTGGAAGTGATATACATTTAGAAAGCTCAGTTGGCTATTGCCGACTTACGTTACCTATGGAGTAAGAAAGATACATGTCTATCAATTAAAGGACAAGTATACAATGTCAAAGTTTGCTCTTATTTAATTTATGGAAGTGAAAGGTAACCTTTAAAAGTAGAGAATAATCGTAGAACTCTGATATTCGATTACAAGTATCTTTAAACTACTGCTCATGTATTTTTCAACCATTAGATTAACCATTCTTATGTTAAGGACCGATTACTAAGTACACCAAGTTGATTAACCAAGTAGTTAATCTATACCGACTGAAATGACTGAGACATATAATATGTATTTCTATCCACCGACTATCTGATTGTTGTTGTAGAAGTATATTGGTATAAAACTATGTATGACCGGCCAAAGACATGACATTAGTATATGAAAACACCAAATATTGAATTGACCATATAGATAGATGTACACTACTTGGTTGGGGTCTGCGTGATTATCATAACCAATGATTAAAGACCTTGTATGAGAAGGCTTAAAATAGATCTCAGTAACACAGGTACATGAACTCTACGTCTTCCCTTAAATCCTTAGTCTGTAAATTCCTCAAGAATTCTTCATTTTTTATTATATTACCAAATTATATTTTCTTCTCAAAATGTATCTTGGTTACTTAACCTTAACTATTACAACCGATACCATTCATATCTATACGACTCTGAGTTTACAATGATAATTTAATCATGCTGTAACTGAATAGTATAGTATTGAGTTTTATAGTAACTACACACAGTCGGATTCTCTTTGCTTGTTTGTTTTTCAATGTCTACATTTAGTTCAATGTTAACTACAATTCCGCAAGAGAGACTGATAAGTCCTGGGTTCAAATCTCGCAGAGAGCGGGATCGTGGATGAGCACTGTTAAGGAGTTCACCAATAGGAAGAAACGACCATTCAGGACTTCTAGGTCTTCCATGGTGGTCTAACTTAAATCCATCCATGAATTCAACTATTAAAATTTGAAATTGTTATACATTCAAGTAGTAAAGTAAACAGGCAAAGAGGCAGATAGATAGATAGATAGATAGATAGATAGATAGATAGATGTGTGGATAGATAGATAGATAGATAGATAGATAGATAGATAGATAGATAGATAGATAGAAAGATGTGTGGATAGATAGATAGATAGATAGATAGATGTGTGGATAGATAGATAGATAGATTGATAGATGGATAGATAGATAGATAGTTGTGTGTATAGATAGATAGATAGATAGATAGATAGATAGATAGATGTGTGGATAGATAGATAGATAGATAGATAGATGTGTGGATAGATAGATTGATAGATGGATAGATAGATAGATAGATAGTTGTGTGGATAGATAGATAGATAGATAGATAGATAGATAGATAGATAGATAGATAGATAGATAGATAGATAGATAGATGTGTGGATAGATAGATTGATAGATGGATAGAGAGACGGCTAGGCAACTACCTTTTTTGCTTTGAAAAGGAACATAAATTGTGACGATCTTATCTGTTTATCCATTTGTAATGAATGAATTGTTTATTCAAGATTTCAATTCATAAATTATTGAAATAGTATATAATAATATGAAATCTATCAATCTAAAGAAATCAACCTGTCAACTATATTACTGATTCGACTTTAGTATAACATGAATAATGAAACAAACATAATTAAAACAATTATAAACGATAACATTCATTTGGTATTGTTTATTGAAATCTTCTCATTATTGTTTAGAACTGCAACTGATCAGTCTTTTTTTTTTGGCATATATGTATCCTGTACGAACTGCTTTGATATTGACTTCATTCACAAACGTTCTAAGCAATGATGAATAGTGACTAACAGTGGAATCTAAGACATTCATTTTGTCCAATTCGATACTCATCAGTTGGATGTACCTGTATCCGAGAGTTGATGTTCATTCAGTAGCTGTATGGATAACATAATTCAGATATATATCCTGCTGACAAGTTACAAGTAGGACAAAACGAGTATCTTGAATTCCACTGCTAATCATCATTTATAATTGTAAATAATGTTAAATGAATTTTTATGTTACTTTTTTTGGACTAATTAAGTATTCGAAAATCATTGATCATTTATTGTTCTATGTTATATAATTCACTTATTATACACGTTTCATAAACTCTTATCGAACTTATTATCCAAAGAAAGAAGATTAAAAATGTATATAGATTTTTAATTACTAGAATGAGTTTTGTGGAGAATTGGTAATTTCAATAGTTGAAATCATGAATCAATTGAAGCTAGATCACCACCATGGAAAACCTGGAAGCACTGGACGGCCGTTTCGTCCTAGTATGGGACTCCACTAAAGACAATGGTGACGTAGGTGCAACTTCGTGGATTAGTTGAAGTTAGACATTAACACCGTTGGATGCCAGCCGGCTCAGTGGTCTAGTTGGTTAAGCGCCTGGCGCGAGACTGATAGGTTCCGGGCTCGAGTCCCGCGGGGTGCGGGGTCGTGGATGCGCGCTGCTGAGGAGTCCCGTACTAGGACGAAACGGCCGTCCAGGTTTTCCATGGTGGTCTAGCTTCAATTGATTCATGATTTCAACTATTGAGATTTTTAATTGCCAAAAATATGATGAATATGCAAACAAATCATATTTATATAATCTAATACTGGATTAACTGAAATGGTGACATGTAAACAAATAACCAAATGAATAATTCATTAAGTCACCTACATGATTTATCCTTGATACAAACATGCTAGTTATCCTGCTATGAGAAAGCATGTAATCCAGGAGACTACCTAGTACTCTTGTATAATGGATTTTCTTCTTTACATTCATCTGTATTAGTTTAGAATAAGGTTTATCATAATTAGAAAGTACTGAATAGCTGTTTACTTCTTACTGTATGATCATATTTCTTAAATGTAAAGGTTGATAACTTACATATGAAGCTTGATCTATAACATTCAGGTATTAGAACAAGTACAATATCATTTAGTTGATAATTATCGATCTAATACTTTAGATATTGTCAACCTTATTATCATTAGGCTAGTTTAACATCTAATGTATATTTCACAGGATAACCAGATTTTTTTTTTAGCATCTAACATTACCTTGTCTAATCTTTCGTACTGATAATATTCTAATGAACAATCAATCATTGTAAACCATTCAATCGTACTAAAGAGATCCTTAATGATCTGAATAGTTTAGTAATGACTAACCCTAACTATAATATCGGCATCAAACTCTTCAAAGAATGTCAATTTAATGAAGACTATTATAAAATGTAAACTAACATGATACTATTGTGGACCGCGGGGTGGTTACTCTAAATTCTACTGATTGACCAACTGCAGATATCCCAATACGACTCCAATACTGTTCCCCAATCTCCAATATATCAGAACATGAATCGTTAGATGAAAATTGTTTATGGAATCAGAAGAATAAGAAGAATGAGAATGAGAATTTACAGACAAATGCATATTTATACAGTTAGGACTACCGTGAATATTGTCCAACAGGAAGATGACACGTGAAATAAATATTGACCAATCGGAAAATGACACCATTTCACGTTCAAGGATAGAATTAGACTGAACAGGATAATTTTTGGGATATTTTTCTGAATATCCCAATAGACACTTAAATTCACTTAGTGTTCTTTTACTTGTATCTTTCCATTGTTATTTAGGACTGCAATTGATCAATCTCTTATTGGCATATAAGCATCCTGTGCGGATTTTCTCGATATACCCTTAAGTCACAAACTTTATAAGTAAAGATAGATAGTGGCTGACAGGGGAATCCAGAACGCGCCTTTCCTCTTCAGCTGGATATACTGGCATCTTAGAGTTGATGTTCACTCTGTGACTTGAACCCAGTACCCTTCTTTTCTTAATAACATGACACTTAATTCATTTTAAGACTATTCATCAATTGTCTTCAATAATATGAGTATTTCAATAACGATTTAAACTTCTTTCTGATTAATAAGGCAATTCTTAAATTGATTCAAATGGAATGAAGTTTTTTTTTAGTTTTTTCATGTACACTTTCCAGTGAAGTACTGTTACACTTATTATTGTTTTGCTTGTATCTTCCCATTAAGGTTTAAGACTGCAATTGATCAATCCGATATTGATATATATGCATACTGTGCGTATGCCTTGATATCGCCTTAATTCACAAGCTTTTATAAGCAAAGATGGATAGTGTCTAACAGTGAACAGGTGGATTTGTCGATGATAACGTACATCCTGAATTCCATTGCTAGCCACTATCTATCTTTGCTCATAGAATTACTATTCTCTTTCAATAATCCCTATTTGTTATTATATTGAATTGTAGAAAGCTGATCGAGAAGATGTAAAAAGTTTCATTAATCGATTAGAATTTGATAGTACAAATCAAACACTTGAAAAATTAATTGAAGATCTATTTGCCAAGTTAAATGTAGCGGTAAGTTCATTACTATTCATAGTATTACATCACCATACACTTTAATTAATATTTGTTATTGAATGTTTGATCAATAAATGAATACTAAATCTTTACCTGAACTAAATACAGTAAAAGAAAATACCTGTTTGATGTGTTCATATAAGAAGTTAGAATAATTTAGACAAATTATCTACTTACTTACGCTTGTTACTCCTCGTGAAGGAGTATAGACTGCCCACCAGCATTCTTCATCGAATCCTGTCCTAGACAATCCTTTCCAACACTTTCCAGTTGTTATTTATTATTTTCATATCTGCTTCCAATATCTGACATAGTGTGTTCTTTACCATTCCTCTTTTGTGCTTCCCTTCAGTATTCCATGTTAGGGTATGCCTCATGATGCAGTTTGGTGATTTCTGTAATGCATATCCTATCCACTTCGAACGTCTTTTACTAAATTCCTATTCAAATGGAAATTGGTTTGTTCTCTCCTGCAGAGGGCTGTTGCTGATGGTATCCGGTCCACAACAGTCATTGAATATCTTGAATAGACAACTATTTATAAATACTTGTACCATTTTGATGATTGTTGTAGTAGTTTTTCCAAGTTTCAACTCCGTACAGTACGACTGTCTTGACGGTCGTATTGAAGATTCCGACTTTGACATTGGTTAGCAGTTGTTTTGAATTTCATATGTTCTTCAACTGTATGAATTCTATCATTGCTTTGCTAATCCTCACCCATATGAGCACTCCTAATGCAAGGATCAATAACATTAACGTACGTTCATATAGTTATTCAACATAATTTGGTTGTAGGCTGTATTTGTCACATACTGATTTCAGTTGTGATATTAATAAAGATGAATGAGCACTAGAGAAATGTTTCCTCCTAATATGGGACTGTCTCTAAGAAATGAAGATCTTGGATCCAACACCTGATGGATTGTGGGTACGTGCTTCCTGGTGCTTCCTTGCTCTCATTGTTACATCCACTGAGATCAATCTCAGACAAATACAATCAACAAATTAAATCAATCTTCACAAAATCTCTTCATCTAAGATACTTCAACTGTATTTTTAATGATGATTAAGAGAATAGATATTTAACAAAGAAATAGTATTAGTTTAGTGGCCAATAATAACTAAACGGTTATAGTTATTTATCTTTCTCTGATTATTACATATATTAACAGTGTCTTGTTTCCAGTTTTTTAGTGTAGCCTAATAATATTACTACTTATAGTAAGTACGCTATCAAGAGAAGCTGTTTAGCTTGAGTTATTTATTATTTATTTATTTACTTTAACACATAGATATTGGTACAAGGAGGCACCAAATACATATGCGCTACACAAATCTCATTTGATATGTGTGAGGGCTGTGATACTGTCCGGATTCCCAAACCGAAGCAGGTGGTTTCCTTAAGGGGCCACACCCCGAGACTTCGACCTGAAGATGTGATCCACAAGGCAGTGGAGCATGGTAAGGAGATGCAGTCCCATTGTAGCCGGTGACCAACGATTGGTTCATACGTCATTCGTTACTTCAGGATACTGGAGCCCATGTGCACCATTGATTTAGGATCCGGTTAAAGCGCCGGACATTCGCTTTTCGTCCTCTCATTTTCGTAGACAACAACAATGCAGTGAGTAGGACTTCCCTGGCAGAGGCTATATACGCGTGACCATGTGAGAGCATTTGGAGAGAGAGAGCGGACTCTCCCCACTCTCAGCCGTACCAGGGCATTTGGGGGCTTGAGTTACTTAGTTAGTAATTTCAAAACAAATGAAGGATAGTCAAGTAATATCATGGACTGACTGGAGTTACACTTCCATACAACTGGATCCCGGCTTAATGGCCTAGATGTTAAGCATTCACTTTTGAAGCCGAAGGTTTTGAGTTGAATTCTTGGTTGTGGAATCGTGAATGAACACTGCTGAAGAACCTCAGACTCAGTCAGTCAGTCCGTTACCACGTGGGACCAGTCATATATATGCATCGGTCCAAATTGCCACACCGCATTAGCACAGCAAGACGAAAACCTGATTTCTAGAAGCAGTTAACTCAACGGTGATAATATATAAAGCAAAGGTTTTATGTAAGGATATAATACAGAAAGAAAGATTTCGTGGATAGAAAGATATGAAGCGATTTTAATCTCATAGTTTAAGGGAAGAGAAAGTGTGTTTACACCAACATCATTGTGATCTATTCTGAGCCATGTCATTTCAGAGTTTTCAATTATTGATTACAATATTTTCGCGGATCCTAACCAACCAGTCTGCATCTACCAACTTTACAGATTGATACCTTAAACTAGAATAAAGTAACTATTCACTACTTCCAGGCCTCCAATAATGATCTAACTTAGATCAGTTTATGATTTAATTTATAAGAATTGACTTATTTTTGATTTGTTAAAATCTAATTGTTTTTATATATAACTGGTTACTATTACCCCTTTCAATAAGAATCTATTTATCTTTTCAGGAAAATGAACTAAAATCATTATTAAACGATTTACAAGAAACTATGGAAAATAAATTAGATCGTGATGAAATGGAACAATTAAGACAATGGTTAGAGAAACGATTGAAATCATTAAGTAAACGTATAAATTCATTTACAAATGATACATCACCAACAAGACAAATGACAGATGAAGCTGCTGGTTTAAAACGTAGTCTTATGCAACATTATCATTGTATATCATGTGATCGTCCATTAGAGGTTGCTCTAAGTCAAGAGTAAGTTGAACAAGGAGAAAGAATGTTGGATCCTTTTTTTTTGGTACTGATCAGTGATGTTTTTTGTTGTAACTATCTCTTAATGATAAACTACTAAGAGTAATATAATGTAGGGATATGTTTAAAACTAACTTAGAGAATTTCAATCAGTTGTTATTAAATCAGGTAGATTAGTTGTTCAGTAGTGACCGATTTGTTGTCGAATAAATCAATCAAAATGTGAAAAATTTTGAGAGTGAGATCGTGGATGCGCACTGCTGAGGAGTCCCGAGATAGGATGAAACGGCTGTTCAATACTCCCAGGTTTTCAATAATTGTCTAACATCAATCGGTTCATCATTTCAATCAAAAACTTAATCATCTACACAACTCCATACTGATAACATTCATCGTTTGAGTTCTTAGAATGATATTCAATTAGACAGCAGATAAACGACGGTTAATTAAAATTTAGTTTAGAAATGACTGCTACGATATTTAACTTGCCGTTTTTTCCAACGTCTACAAAACTATTGGATGTTGTGGAATATCGAGAAGCACAAAAGATAAACTATGATAGTTCTTTGAAATGGTTAAATTAGGTGAAGTGAGTGATTAAGCTCGGTTTTAGGATATGAACCAGTAAATATCTATAAGAGATCCAATAGTTTTCTTGATTGAGTGACTTAGCGATCTGTTGATACTCATTGTTAATATTCACTGTCTCCTACTTTGTAACTAAAACGTCAGTCAATGTAGGTGGAATAATAGGAACTGAAGAGGGAAGTTGATTATGAACACAGTGTTCTTGAGTGCTGTTAGAGGTATGAGGGCAGTTATCACTTCCTGGTTGCCTACACCGTGAAAAGGTTTTTCTGCAGGTACCTCAAAAGGAAATTGGATTAGAGGTAGTCTTAATGACCTGGGAATGTGACCGCAGTACCCAAGGGACATTTGCTTGAGGTCGGTCACACACGACCTGATATCTGAAATTGTCCGATTCAATATAGTACTTGAAAGATTACATGTCAGATATTGACTATCTGAATAAAGTTTCAAGTGGATTGCTGTTTACATCTGTTTACCAATAATAATGACAATCGTTTCATGGAATGAATATTTAATCGAATATCGATGGAGTCTTATTCTATGATCTGGATGATTTGGTCGTGGAGCATTCATCATCAGAACAAACTTCTATTCATATTTCATATTACTATATTTCATTTTACTAGATATGCTAAGCTTAATCTCTTCGTGCTGACCCAATATGGTAACTTTGATAAACTTATACATATACCAAACCTTACATGAATGATCAGTAACTGACTGACCTGAAACAATTCATTAGTAACCAACCTGTTAGAAGAATATAGATTAGATTAAGGTATATTCCGTGCAGGATTGAGTTAGTGCGTGCTGATTGGCTAATTCTTATCCAATCAGAGTTAGTGGATACTTGGAAAAAACTCGAGGATCTCATGTAGAGATTATCAATATACTAACATTTCTCTTATTGTGCTTCTTACTTCCATCTACACTTTTTATTTGAAATATAACTTCGTTCTTGTTCAACCTTGTTCTGCTTTGGGAACTTGTCGACTGAATTGTTGTTCAAGAATACTAAGCAAAAAGAATACCTGGGTGGTAATGAGAGAGATTATGGCACAACTTTAAACGGTTATGAAGAAAAACCCTGATTGAATGGTATATACTGGTTGATTTAATAGTCATTTAATGGGAGACTTATCAGACCTTAACAGATCTTAGTATACAATACAATGTGGCTTTCTACTATGATCAATAAATGATAACATTTGATCTGTCTCATTCTTCATAACTCTTTATAACAAATGACTTAACTATTTGTATCTTTAATTTCCTAGATATTTAGGCAGTTATCCAGCTGATAGTCGAGGATTTCCAATGAATAAATCCATACGACCATATACTACATTCGATTTGGAAAGTTTACGTCATCAAATACAAACGTAAGTTATTAGTTATCATGATATTCTCTCTCCCCTCGTCGTCCTCTTCTTCTTCTCCTCCCTCTCTCTCTCTCTCTCTCTTTCTATTCAATTTCTAACATATTGAATGTAATAAAGTGTAATTTTACCTATTGATTCTGTAATCCATTCTAAAAGAAAAGGGAACAATGAATCCTATGTCAGTCACTTAGTGAATAGAGTTACTGTTTGTTTACGCTTGTACTCAATCTAATACAAATAATCTCCTTAATAAATATATGATTGATTTAATAAAGCTGAACTATTCTATTGAACGGTGTTGAAGATCATGGATTGTTTTTTGTCACTTAGAAAATCAAACCAATTTACATAGAATCAGTCAATCATTCAGTAACAACGTAGAACTTTGTACGTACGTACATCAATTCAAGTTGCCATACCACATTAGCACAGAGATACAATAGTCCATTCAAATCCCATAGTGGTAGAAGTAGTAAAAGTCTAATCAGTACTCGGAAATATTAGGGTTTGAAGATGCTATTCAAAGAGTTTTATTCGATGAAATAAATTTTGAAAGAGATTAAAAGGTCATGAAGAATTCGGAAGATTAGAATTTGGGAGAACATAAAGAGTGGATGAACTTGCACCATTGCAAACGATTTTGAGCCATGTCATTCAAAGTCTCTAACCATAGGTTGCCTTGGTCTCGCAGACCACAAACAGGTTGTCTACATCTACCAACACGGCTAAGTCCACTTGTCTGTGACTTCGTAGATTTGTGCCATATTTTGGTTTGTCCGCCTCTAGCTTTCTTCCAACCAACTCCTACATCGTAAAGCATCGCTCGTCGGGGCAGTCGGTGGTTAAGCATACGTAACATGTGTCCAAACTATCTCAACTTCTTTAAGTTTATGCAGTGAGACTATAATTTATGGATGACCTTTGAGTGACGCTAAAGTGACCTTGAGAGTGTCCATCTAATAACCAGGATCAAATGAAGATTGTAAATCAATATGAGGAATTAGAATTATGATTTACAGTTGTTGATTAAGGTTAGGAATTAAACTTATGTTTTCTCATCACGAACCGACATGAGCTATAATGCCAAAACTCAATTTATTCAAATGGATGAGTGAACTTCACGCCAAAATCTGAGACTTGTTATCTTATAAGTGATTGGTTCGTCCATAAATTATAGTCTCGCCGTTTATGACTGTCCTTTAACCGTTAGAGTTCTAAATTACGATTAAAGACCTTTTTTTGTAATATACACCAAATTTTAATTCGAAACCCAAATACTACTTATAACCCTAACCTTAACTTCAATACTAAGCATGATGAATATTGAATTGAATTATCATCTCATTCTAGATTGATTTAATTATCATGATTTTCAAGTAGTTCCCTTAATCTTAATTAATTCAGTAGTATATTAAAACTTAACCTCATATTTTTGATGATAATAAGAAATAGCTTATAGAAAATCCATAAAACCTTTTGGGTTGATTATCGACATAATGAATGGAAGAAAGGAGCATACATTTTAGTAAGGCTCAAGAACAGTGAATGTATAATTCTAAAGAAAAACTATATCTAACCTACTTTACTGAAGAAAAAAACATCAAACGTATCCAATTCCACTGTGTTTTCTTATCGCCATTTATTATATATCTATTTAAACATATAAACAATGATATAAGAAAGCACCAAGCATATACATGCCTCATAAACTGTTTGATTTGTGTGAGGTCTGAGATACTGCCTGAGTGTCCAGACCGAACTAGATGGTTTTCTTAGGAGGCCACTCTCTTAGCCTTTGACATTAAGGTTTAATCCGCAAGGTGATACAGTCCCATGGTTACCAGTGACCAATAATTAGTTCATACGACATTTATTTCCTTAGGATCCTAGAGTCCATGTTCATCATTTAATTTGGTCATTCAATTTTCATCTTCTCAATTTCGTAACCAACAGCCCCACCGCGAGAAGGCAGTGAGTAGGACTTCCCTGGAAGTAGTTATATGTACGTAGCCATGTGAGAGTGTTTCAACAGGGAGAGCTGACTCTCCCCACTCTCGGCTGTAACACAGCATTTGAGGGACTTATCACCAACTCACTGAGAAAATGGTTAGAGAATGAGATGAATTTTGAAAAATCATCTAATTTCTGATGACATAACAAACTAATTAATAGGAGGTCATTCAGATCATCTAGTATCAAAAAGTAAAGTGAAATGAATTAGAAATTCATAGTAAAGTATATTAGTTGTCTGTTCTTTCATTAATATTCCTAAATAATGATTTCATTTAATAGTTGAATTCATAAGTCAAATAAAGCTAGACCACCATGGAAAACCAAAGTGTACCGGTCTGCTGTTTCGTCCTAGTATGGGACTACTCAGCAGTGTGTAACCACGGTCCTGCCTCGTGAGATTCGAGACCAGTAGCTATCAGTCTCACACGCGAGTCCCATACTACGACAAAACGTCCGTTCTGTTCTTCCAAGTTTTCCATGATAGTCTAGCTTCAACTGACTCATGAATTCAACTATTGAAATTACTACAATCTCCACGAAACCCCTTCTGATACTAATTCTTATTTCATTAAAGTGAAGTATGCATAGAAGAAGGAGAAAAAAAACGATGATAATCAAAGATACTTTTGTATCAATGAAGTTACTTTTTTCTCTTACCTACATAAGACTCTTTTTACAATATAAGCTTCGGTAGTGTATAAAAAAGGTGGGTAAACTTAGAAAAAGGATTTGAAAGATGATAAGGGGTGAGACATAAATACATACACGCTGAATCGAAGAAATCATAGAGGTAGAGAATCAAAATAAAAGATCATTTAGTGACCAAAAATTGTATATTTCTCTGTGTGTGTGTGTGTGTGATATTTTCCAAATCAAACTCCTTAATAGAACGTAAGAGAGAAACTAATTGAGATACAATTAGATCTAGATCATAATTGAATATATCAATAGAACTAAATAAGTAGTTTATTTAGATTACTATTACGATAGTTACATAATATACGGACTAGAATATTCTATAAACTATTGTAGTATACCATTTGTATTGTCTCAAGTGCTTATCTATGCCTGGTCCTACTTTGTAACTGACTTACCGACTGAATGACTGACCATTTGTATTGCATGACAACATGATAGAAGGAAAGAATACTATTCAAAACCTACCTTAAGTTATGTATAACAAGAAATAAGTAGTTGCTATACGAATCTTCAACAATTGAATAAGTGAAATTAAATTACTATGAAAATGTCATTAGTACTTATGACTGAATAAAGTTTAACTATTCTCTATAGTAAGTAGTATTATAATATCGTCACTAATATTCATTCAATATAACAGACTAATTTTAAGGGTTACCTTTTTGATATCTTATCAATGAATAGCATTGAATAATGATTGTTCATTATTGCCAGTCAATTGAAGTTAGAAATGTAAATCAGTAATCTAATAGTTGAATGTTAACCATAAAACACAAAAATCTTGGGTTCAATTCCTTTTTGAGGATTATGAGTTCTTTTATTATTTATTTGAACGGATAAATATTGGTACACGGGGGCACGAGATACACATGCGCTACACAAATCTCATTTGATTTGTGTGAGGGCTATGATACTTCTTGGGTGGACAAACCGAAGCAGGTGGCTTTCTTAAGGGGCTACATACTGAGCCGGACATTCACTTTTGGTTCTCTGAATTTCGTAAACAACACCCCCGTCACGAGAAGACAGTGAGTAGGACTTCCCTGGCAGAGTCTATATAAGCGTGACCATGTGAGAGCATTTCGAGAGGGTGAGCGGACTCTCCTTAATCTCGGCTGTATCAGAGCATTTGGAGGCATTATGAGTTCGATACTAAGACGAAACAGATTTCCAGTCCTTCTAGATTTTCATTAGTTGTTTAGCTTATTTTGATTTGTGATATTAGTAACATTCAATAATCTCTACAATCCGATACTGATAGTAGTATATGTAACTGATACAATAGAAATAATGCTACAATGGGCTAATCAGTCAAGCGATAAGCACGTGTTATTGGCCAAAATTTGGCTTCCCTTGGCAAATAAACTAGACAAACACTATTTCAATAGTTGAGATCATGAGTCAATTGTAGCTAGGCCCTTATGGAAAACCTAGAAGCACTAGACGGCCGTTTTATCCTATTGTGGGACTCCTCTACAGTGCTAAACTTGAACTCAGGACCTTCGGTCTAACTTCCATCAATCCATAAATGACTGCACAACCATTCATTCATTGTCTGAAGTAGATACCTATCTCTATCCAATACCGATTGAACTCCACTAGTCATGGCTTCTCACTAGAACTCCACGAAATTCATGTTGAATCTAGTCAGTAGTGAGCACATGGTGATTATTATCAGAATAGGGGTTTGTGGAGATTATGAATGTTTACTTCTGAAGAGTCCCATACTAGGAAAAAACTGCCATCCAGTATTTCCAAGTTTTCCATGGTGACCTACCTTACATCAACTCATAAATTCAACTATTAAAATATATTTTTCTCATTAGTTTTTTCCTATCTCTAAAATATATATAATAAACTTTTTCATCACAAAAATCTAAGCACTTAAAATATTTAAATTCACTTGGTATTATTTTGCTTGTATCTTCCCATTGAGGTTTAAGACTGCAATTGATCAGTCTGTTATTAGCATATGTGCATACTGTGCGTATTGCCTCGATATTGCCTTCAGTCACAAGCTTTTATAAGGTAAGATAGATAATGACTAGCAGTGGAATCCAGGACGCGCGTTTCGTCCTATTTGGAACTCGTTAGCTGGATGTACCTGCATCTTAGAGTTGATGTTCACTCTCGGAGTCGAACCCAGTACCGTTCGCTTCAAACGCAATCTTACTTATATACTTACGCCTGTTACTCCTCGTGAAGGAGCATAGGCTGCTCATCAGCATCCTCCATCCAACTCTGTCCTGGGCAATCCTTTCCAGCTATTTCCAGTTGTCATTCATCCTTTTCATATCCGCTTCTATTTCCCGACGTGATGTGTTATTTGGCCTTCCTATTTTCCGCTTCCATTCAGGATTCCAAGTGAGCGATCGCCTCGTAATTCAGTTTGATGATTTCCTCAATGTATGTCCTATCCATTTCCATCGTCTTTTCCTAATTTCCTCTTCAGCTGGAAGCTGGTTTGTTCTATCTTACAGAAGGCTGTTGCTGATGGTATCCTGCCAATGGATGTTGAGTATCTGGCGTAGACAACTATTTACAAATACTTGTACCTTCTTGATGGTGGTTGTTGTGGTTCTCCAAGTTTCAGCTCCGTACAGTAGAACTGCCTTGACGTTGGTATTGAAGATTCTGACTTTGATATTGGTTGAAAGTTATTTGAGTTCCAAATGTTCTTCAATTGAAGGAATGCGGCCCTTGCTTTGCCAATCCTCGCCTTGACGTCTGCATCTGATCCTTCTTGTTCATCGATGATGCTTCCCAGGTATGTGAAGGATTCCACGTCTTCCAGAGTTTCGCCATCAAGAGTGACTGGATCGCTGTTCTCCATGTCGTGTTTGAGGACCTTGGTTTTCCCTTTGTGTATGTTGATGCCTACTGATGCAGAGACTGCTGCTATGCTGGCTGTCTTTGTCTGCATTTGTTCGTGTGTATGCGATTGGAGGGCTAGGTCATCTGCGAAGTCCAAGTCGTCTGATTGGTTCTGAGCTATCGATTGTATGCCGTGTTTTACCTCAGATGTCGAGGTCTTCATAATCCAGTCGACCACCAGAAGAAACAGGAAGGGAGAGAGTAAACAGCCTCGCCTTATTCCGGTCCTCACTTGGAATGCATCTGTCAGCTGTCCTCCATGCACCACTTTGCACTGTAGTTCGTCGTATGAGTTCCGGATAATGTTAACAATCTTCTCAGGAACTCCGTAGTGTCGCAATTTGGTCTGTGCACGACCGGTCCTTACGGAATCCAGCTTGTTGATCTCGAAGTTGAGCGTCTACTGTGTCTTTCATCCTGTTCAGTAACACTCTGTTAATGATTTTTCCTGGTATTGACAGTAGTGTAATGCCTCTGTAGTTTTCACACTTGCTCAGGTCTCCCTTCTTTGGAATCTTGATGAGGTGTTCTTCCTTCCAGTCCATCGGCGCTTGTTCCTCTTCCCAAATCTTCTTGAATAGAAGATGAAGCATTTTTGTAGTTACTTCGATGTCTGACTTCAGTGCTTCAGCTGGTATATTGTCGGGTCCTGCTGCTTTCCCGCTCTTGATTTATCTGATGGCCATTCTGATTTCTTCTGTCGTTGGTGGATTGACATCTATAGGGAGATCTGTGTGTGCTGCTTCGATGTCCGGTGGATTCATTGGTGCCGGCCTATTCAGGAGTTCCTCGAAGTACTCTGCTCATCTGTTCCGCTGTTGTTGAATCTCGGTGATTGGTCTCCCTTCTTTGTCTTTGACTGGTCTCTCTGGTTTACTATATTTCCCTGCTAGTTTCTTCGTTGTATCGTAAAGCTGTCACATATTTCCTTCTCTTGCAGCTTTTTCCGCCGTCGTTGCTAGTTCTTCCACATATTTCTGCTTGTCAGCTCTAATGCTCTTCTTCACTTGCTTGTTTGCTTCTATGTATTCAGCTTGTGCTTGGACTTTCTCTGCTCGTGTTCGGCTGTTGTTGATTGCTGTCTTCTTGTTCTTCCTTTCTTTGATCCTGTCCAGTGTTTCTATAGAAATCCATTCCTTGTGACGATGCTTCTTGGGGCCCAGAACCTCTCGACATGTTGAAGTTAATGTTTCTTTGATACCTTTCCAGTTATACTCCATAGTAGTTTCTTCTTCCAAAAGTAGATCCTGTAGGGCTTGGAACGTGTTGTTGAGAACTATCTTGAATTCATTGAGTTTGTCGGTATCTCGAAGGAAGGCCGTATTGAACCTTTGCAAAACTGTTTGTCCAGTTGTCCAGTTCTTCTTTAGCTTCAGTTTTAAATTGGCCACAACCAGGTGATGATCTGAAGCTATATCCGCTCCTCTCCCGGTTCTCACATCTTCCATTGTCCTTCGGAACATTTTATTGATGCAAATATGATCTATCTGGTTCTCTGTGGTGTGGTCCGGTGAGATCCATGTCATTTATAATAAATTACATAAGACTTAAAATGTCGTTCAAAATAAACTAACACTTATTATAGGTATCCATAGCAAACTTGAACTTGCTAAACCCACTTGGTGTTGTTTACTTGAATCTTCCCATTGTTGTTTAGAACTGTGATTGATCAGTCTGTTATTGATATATGTACATCCTGTACAGACTGCCTTTAAATTACCTTCATTCACAAGCATTCTAAGCAGAGATGGATAGTGAATAGCAGTGGAACCCAGAACGCTCGTTTCATCCCATTTGAGACTCGTCAGTTTGGTGTACCTGTATCCCAGAATTGATGTTCACAAGCAGGTGTCTATCAGGACTCAATAGCTAATTAGATAACGTGATGACGTTTGAAGCGGATTGTATTGGGTTCGAGTCCCATTGTGAACATTAACTCTGAAATGCAAGTACATCCAGCTGACGGGTTTCAAATAGAAATAAACGCGCGTCCTGATTTTCAGTGATAGCCACTGTCCATAGTTGAAATTGATAGTTTCAAATAAATTGAGCATTGTATAGAGAGTTAATAGTAAATATAATTTTTATCATTATATCATGATGAGTGTAAAATTTATATTTCTGATGTTTTATACTAAGTTAATGTCGATTATTTATTTATCTACTCTGACGAAGTGGCTTATTTAAGTTACGAAACGTCAAAAATATAATTTTTTTTACTCTTTAGGATATAACAAGAAAAACTATATTTATCAATTATACTTATTATCTCTTTCTTGATTGGTTAGTTTTATTCATAATATAAAATATTAATTTAAATAGTTGAGATCATGTGTTAATTTAAACTAGACTACTATGGATAATCGTTTCGTCCGATTGTGGGACTCCTCAGCAGTACACATCCATGATCCCGCCTTGCAAGATTCAAACCCAATACCTATTATTTGTCATATAAAGGTCTAGATGATGTTCATGTTCTTCTAAAAATCCTTACCTATAAAAGTATATTATTATATAACTAATTGAAATGATTTTTCATAATGAAATCATATCTATGTATTACTACTTTACTTTACATCTATTTTATCTACAGACGATCTAATAAAGCATTTTATGTAGATCCACCATATAGACGGTAATTATTACATAATTGTTTTTGTTCAGTTTTACACTATTTTGTTATTCATTTATTTACACATATATTTCATTAATAAATGCACAAAATCATTGATTATTATTTCAATCGATTGGTTACATTCCTTTTATTTGTTCTTTTTTTGTGTGTTTTTTTCTCTTATTTCTTTTTTTTTTGTTTTCATCAACATTTGTCAACATTTTCCATCATCCTTATTTATCTCTCTCCCCCACCCACACTGTTTTTTTTTTATTTTGTTTGTTTGTTTGTTTATCTTCATTTGTATGCCCTATGATCAATATGTGTATATAACATTTAAATGTGCGCTAATATTAGCAAATGTATACAATAGTGATCATATTCACTTGGTATTGTTTTACTTGTATCTTCCGATTGAAGATTTTAAGACTGTAATTAATCAATGTGGTACATTTAGTTGACGAGTCCCAAATAGGATGAAACACACGTCCCGGATTCTACTGCTAGCCACTATCCAACTTTGCTTATAAAAGTGATCATAATTTATAATGTGAATGATTATGATTATATGTGTGTGTATGTGTATGAGTGTAGAAATTGTGAAATTCATCAGAATTTTATTTTTCTGTATATTTCTTGTTGGGTTTCGTTTTGTTTTGTTTTATTATTGATTAACGTTACATAAAAAATAAGTTTCTTATTAGAACTCCAGGAAATACCTGTTGAAGTCAGTCACTAGTCAGTAAATGTTGATTCATATCAGAAGGGTTTTAATGGATATTATAGTAATTTCGAATCTTGCGAGGTAAGATCGTGGATGCGCATGGCTGAGGAGTCTCACAGTAGGATGAAATGGTTGTCTAGTGTTTTCAGGTTTTCTATGATAGTCTAACATTGATTAACTCACGATCTCAACCATAGAAATTATTATAATAACCATAAAAACCCTTCTGCTATGAATAAATTTTTCTTCAAATGTGTAGATAATTTTAATAGTTGAATTCATGAGTCGATTTAAGTTAGACCACTATGGAAAACCTGGATGTACTAGACGGCCGTTTCGTACTAGCATGGAAATCCTCTACAGTCCTCAACTAACATTCTAGGCTTGAACCCAGGATTTTCGGTCTCACATGAAAACCAGTAGAGTCTAATTGATGTCGGATGGAGACAGTTATCCACTGAAGACAATGGATGAAGTTTTGTGCATGATCATGTAATGATTCAAGTTAGACATTTAAACCATTAGATCCAGGTTTAGTACTCTAGGGGCTAAGCATTCGCCGGCGAGACCAAAGGTCATGGTTTCAAGGCACGCTTGCGGGATTGTGGATGAACACTGCTGTGGAGTTCCATTCTATGACGAAACGGCCGTCTTGTACATCCACGTTTTCAATGGTGGTCTAGCTTACATCGACTAATGAATTCAACTATTATAATTAAAATTTGTCTATGATATAAATTATAAGCTGAACAGAGATGGCTGGTGGCTAGTAATGGAATCTAAAACTCACTATTCAAGACTCATTAGCAGGATTTACCTACTGTACACACCGTTGATGTTTACTCTAGGACTTGAAACCAGTACCGTTCACTTCAAACGCTATCACATCATCCAGTTAGCTACTGAGTTCATATATCCTCTGGCTGGCGTAGTGGGTGAATTTTAATCCCTTTATGTATTGATATTTTGAATCTTCCACTGATATTTAGGACCGTAATTGATCAATCTCTTTTAGCAAGTTAGATACATATGAATACCAATTGAACAAGTTATAAAAACCTTTTATTCTAATAAACAATCCAGTAGTCTTGTCCAATGGCATTTGCAACAACGTTACTTGCTTACTTACTCTTGTTACTCCTCATGGACGAGTACAGGCCACACACCAGTACTCTTCATCCAACCATGTCCTGGACAATCCTTTCCAGTTCTTCCCAGTTGTTATTCATCTTTTTCATATCTTCTTCCAATACCCGACGTAGTATGTTCTTCGGCATTCCTCTTTTCTGCTTCCCTTCAGGATTCCAAGCTAGCGATTGCCTCGTGATGCAGTTTGGTGATTTCCTAAATGTATGTCCTATCCACTTCCAATGGTTTTTTTTCAATTTTCTCTTCAGATGGAAGCTGGTTTATTTTTTCCCACAGTAGGCTGTTGATGATGGCATCCGGCCAACGGATGTTGAGTATCTTGCGTAGACAGCTATTGATAAATACTTGTACCTTCTTGATGATGGTTGTAGTAGTTCTCCAAGTTTCAAGTCCATACAGTAGGACTGCCTTGACATTCGTATTGAACATTCTGACTTTGATATTGGTTGACAGATAGTTTCAGAAGGGGTTTTGTGGAGATTGTAGTAATTTCAACAATTGGGATCATGAGTCAATTAAAGCTAGACCAACACGGAAAACCTGGAAGCACTGGATGGTCACAAAACCCCTTCTGATACTAATCAAAATATGCTCACTAGTGACTGGCTTCAAGAGGTATATCTTGGAGTTCTAGTTAGATGCCATGACCAGTGAATTTTAACCGGGTCAGTCGTGTGATAGTAACTCACTGATGACAATGGTGGATGTGTCGTTCAATTTCGTGAATTAGTTGAAGTTAGACTTCAACACCGTTGGATGCCAGCCTAGTTGGTTAAGCGCCTGGCGAGAGACTGATAGGTCTTGAGTTCGAATCCTGCGAGGCGGAATCGTGGATGCGCATTGCTGAGGAGTCCCACAATAGGACGTAACGGCCGTCCAGTACTTCCAAGTTTTCCATGATGTTCTAGCTTCGATTAACTCACGATCTCAACTGTTGAAATGACAGATAGTTGTTATGAGTTTCATATATTTATAACAACGTATAATATACATATATTTTACAAATATAACCCATAACATCAAGACGTTCATAATTTAACACTGATAATTTATTTTCTATTATTTAGACCAAATGGTAATTTCAATGATTCACTGAATTACCTACATACTTACTTAATTACTTAATGGAATCGAAAAATAAAAAAAATTTCACCGATAAATCGGTACATACATTGGTATCTAAGTAATTTTTAAACTTATGACATTGTTTATTATGTCTTAAGTAAATTCTAGTCTCTAAGCCTATTTTTATACATTACAACATTATGCACACATACACACACACAGACACAATGTACCTTATTTCTTTTTATAGTTAATGGCAATGCACCTGTTTACCCATTTATTTATATGTATGTAGTATAATATAATGTGCATGAGTTTTTTTCTTTCACACATACACTTATACTTGATAATTCATATGAATTAATGTTATCTATTAAGTGACCTGTATACTTCTTACTTTCCGAAATCAACACGTGTATAGTTATTTTCATCGTTTAAATTATCACTAAAGATTTGAAAGCATTGAGCTGTTGTTTCTTTATGGCATAGAACTCTTCAACAGTACATATCATCATCTAGCATCCAGGGTTCGAACACAGAACAATTGATCTTTCATGCCAACTAGTAGATTATGACTAATATCTTATAGGACTTATCATTTAGTGTAGATCTAGAACATCACTCAATAAATCCTTATCTCTATAAATCCAATCATACTGATAAAAATAATCATTATATTAATGATATATGTAAAGGTGGATGGCAACTAGCAGTGGAATCTAAGAGTCACACCTTGTTTTATTTAGGACTCATCCGACGAATATATCTGCACCCGAGTCAATATCTCCTTCAAGATTCGAACTTAATCCAAATAACTATTAGCTAGCCACTATCTATCATTACTTATAATGATTATAACTTAAGATAATATCGAGTTAATTCACATAGAATGAATATATGTTTATAAGAAACTGATCAATCGCAGTCCTGAACATCAACGGTGAGATATAAACAAACAAACAAACATGAAATGAATTTAAATGTTAATTTAATAAACAACAAGATACAAATCATAATAAACTTGTTATTTCTATAGAAATCAGACAAATAACATGAAAATGATTTCAATATTCTATAATCAACAATAATAATAATAATCTCGGCATTTTAAATAGCCAATTCATGTTCTATTTGTCTCTCTCTCTCTCTCTCTCTCTATATATATATATATATATATATATATATATATATATATATATATATATTGAATGTAATCAATGTACGTTGTAGGCAGGAACCTTCTAAGAAAAAGATTACATTAGTACAATTTATTGCTGTTATTCCTCTCCATTTCATTCTTTCTTTCTTTTTTGAAACAGATATAATTGTAATTATTATGATGTTTATAGTGGTACACCACGTCAATGTGGTGGAACGCATACAACTGCACCATCGTCCAAAAGGAAATCACGTGCAACAACATGTAAAAGGTTAATTATTTTTAAATTTTTGTTGCTACCTGATATTTGAATTAATTAATTAATTAAATGTTTTTGTTTTATTGATAATACCGATTGTTAAATTTAGTTGTAAAAATTTGGGGGGGAGGGGCTCTCTACAAATTTTACGGGCTGTCCGATGTGTATGCCTATGTATAAGAATTGAGTAGTTTTTGGCTTGTATAGTTTATGTATGTTGGTAATATGCAAAGGGTACACAAGTGGGTTAGTACAAAGAACATAAGCTGAAAAAATGCTTATCAAATGTTGAATAAAATAAGCGACCTAAACATATGATAGCAAATACTAGGGAGAGGTGACCATCAACCTTCCCTGATAGAGTGTTTATGCTTATTTGTATGTCGTGAAGTGCAAGAACGAAAACCTTTGTACTAGTGATATGCAAGTAATTCGTAAGTGAAGGTTAGTTGTAGTAAATGTGCTCAAAGGGAATTGTGACCATCCACCCTCCTAGGTGATGTAATATACTTATATGTATTCTATGGGATGCCTGAGTGAAAACTTATGTGTTACCGGTATTCGTATAAACTATACTTTTGCATGGTGCACGCCAAGACCTGGGAATAATAATTTCCTCACAAAATAATATCCACATGGTGGGTTTGTGAACCTTGAAAAACAAAAACCATTTCTAGAAAAGCCAATCCGGCTTCACCGGATAAGGATTAACGAACCTTAAAATGTCTGAAAGACCGTACCGTACCAAATAATTTACAATCTAAGTAGCTTACTTAGAAGATATGTGATGTTGAATAATAGTGCTTACAATGTACCTGTATTGATAGCTATTCGAAATAGCCCAATTTGTATCTATTATCTTAGTCATTGAGCTCTTCGGGATACGTTATTCTTTAGTTTGTAGAATTATGGTTTACTGTAATATTAGTACCACTCCTAAAATGGTGGACTTGTCATAATGTAACTGCCTAATCTATAAGATCTTACGTGGAAGTCACATTATTATCTACACCAACTCATCGTGTCGTAACAATTACTAATATATGGTGAAGAACATACTTAGGTTAGAGATAGAACAATATATTTATTATGAATAAAAGGTTTATGTTAACACCCAATAATGATCACCCCTGCAGGGCCAAGCCATGCCATCCAATGGATTCGAACTCATTCCAATCATTGTTCCCGCCTTCTCCATCGTTGGGTCTTTCTCCGCGTTAAGTGTTGAACACCTATTTTCTCACTACATGTCTAATACTTTCATTTCATTGACACATTATGGCTATGATAATTTGTTATTCATATCTATTGACTGTGTAACTCACAATTTTCTATTAAAACTCTAATATATCTAACTTCCTATTAACTATCAGTAAGTAAAAGATCATTGTTCAATGAACTGATTTAGTCAGACTGAATTGCAACCTATTGAGACAATTCTCACATGAATAATAATGAAGCTTATTTCAATCAACCTACTGATACTTCTATTCTTCAAAACTAAGAGCACTCAGAGTGATTGATTAACCGAGTGTAGACCTATTAAGTGTATATGCTAACATGGTATCTAAGGTCCAAACGATAGGCCACTTAATTACGCCAGTTACTCCTCGTGAAGGTGTATAGGCCTTCCAATAGCACCCTCCATCCAACCCTGTCCTAGGCAATCCTTTCCAGTTCTTTCCAGTTGTGATTCATCCTTTTCATATCTGCTTCTATTTACCGACGTAATGTGTTTTTTGACCTTCCTTTTTTCCGCTTCCCTTCAGGTAAAAGACTATAAACATTGCATACTAGTGGAGAATACCTATTATGCATTTTATCATGGTCTTAGCCTATACTCCCTTGTTTAAGCTATAAGGACTGCTGTACACTTAACTAGGATTTGTATACATATGATTCAATTTGTTAATGATAGCTTTCTAGTCATTTCTTGGTTTTCCATGAGCAGAATAGGTTGAATAGGCGTGTATACGTGAATTAGACAATAGCCAGATGTAAAACTTGAATTTATTAGGAGATAAAATACATCTGTGCAATTGCATCAGTGGAACTAATTTTGTTCCATATAGCTTAAGCTTTTCACTTATCAGTTACCAAAAGGAAATGGGACACAAGAAGGGTTTGTGCACTTCGAAATATAGCTCAGTCCAACAGGTAATAACTTCATAAAGCATCCGAACTAGCGGCCCCTTATCATGAGTAAAACATAATTAAACGATTTCAGTTGATGAAATTTTAAAATTATGCAAACCGAACCGCCATTTAAACCTAGTGAACTTATGCCTAACATTGACATTAATCTATGATTTCAGCAAATGTAGACAGCGCCTCGAAGATATTAATGATTGAACATTAGTAATCCATGTTTTTCAGGGATAGAGTAATACAGAGTAAACTACCGTACAATATACTCTTTCTTTTGTAAAAGAATGGTACTAGTGACAAACATTTCACAGAAACTTTGTCCCTGAAAAATTGAGAGACTAAAGTGAAGTTGATTTTTTTTTACAGTTAAGTTTTGTAGCTCAGTCAACAAAGTTCCAATTCAAGATTCTCATGAGATTCAGTAATCAGCTTGTTACATTCTAAGTTTTGATCTAATAAATAACATACTCTCATATTAGTATGATCAATCTATGTATCAAAACAATATAACATTTTAATTATTTTCATTTAGCTCTCTTCATGATGGTGATGTTACAACAAAGTCTTCCATTCCATATACTTACAGGTAATCCGAATGTTATGGAATTTTGTATCATTGAAGTAGATTAATTGTTAAAATGATGAAGGTATTCACTTATGCAATATAGTTTTATTATCTTTTATACTACTACTACTACTACTACCACTACTACTACTACTACTACTACTACTACTACTACTACTACTACTACTACTACAAATGATGTTGTTACCATTCCCATAACTGTGGGATTTTTCTTAATAATTTCACCACTCTGTTTTCATGTAATGGTTATCTTTGTGCCAAGTTGTACGTTACACTTGACTAATTGACTAACCACTGAAAATCAGGATGAACCAAACAGATTTCAATCATAATATGGGATTCCATGCCAGTGCTCACCCACAATCAGTTCAAGAACAGAATGTAAAACCTTCAGACCATGTGACAAACATTACCACTAGAACCTCTAAGTTGACTTTCATTTTTAATCAATTCATGTTATAAAATTATAATCTCCCAATGCGATTGGTGACAATAGGTTTACTCAAGGCCTCCAGAGAGAGCTGAAATTCTTGACTTCAATTCTAGCATAGGTCGTGATTAACCACTGCTGAGTAATCCTATAACGAGATGGAAACGTTACCCAATCCTCTGAGGATTTTATTTATTTATTTGAACACATAAATATTGGTACAAAGGGACACCGAATACATATGCGTCGCACAAGTCCCTTGATTTGCGTTTGAACTATAATGCTGTCCAGGTGTCCAGATCAAACCAAGTGGTTTTCTTGAAGTGCCATTCCTCGAACCTTTGACCTGAAGGTCTAATCCACATCACAGTGGAGCGACGTAAGGAGATGCAGTCCCGTGTTAGTCGGTGACCAACAATAGGTTCATGCATTATTTGTTCCCTCAGGATCCTGGAACCCACATGCACCAATGGTTTGGAACCAGGGTTTTCCAACTCTATAGGTAGACTCTCCATATCCACCAACCCGATTAAAGCACTGGACATTCACCTTTCGTCCTCTCAGTTTCGTAAAAAACAGTAATGCTACGGAAAGGTAGTGAGTAGAACTTCCCCGAAAGTGACTGTATATACATGGACGTGTGAGAACATCTCTAAAGGGAGAGCTAGTTCTCCACACCCTTGGCTGTACCAGGGCATTTGGAGGCTTCTTCTAACTAAAAGAAGCCATAGAATCATTAAAAACCTGGGATTTTTGCTAGTCATCAATTAAAAGATAGTCTCTTATTCACTAAAAAAAGAAATAAACGACCGTGAGGTTAGAGATAAAACGAAGCCGGACAACAACTAAAAAATTTTTGATAATGATTAATCGAATCTCAGGTAAAAAGAAAAAGTGTTTATCAATTGTAGAGTAAGTCTAATAGTTTGTTTTATTTCGAAGTATATGCCTCTTTTACTATGAAGAAAGACGACGAAAACTTCACAACTAAGCTATTCAATTCAGAAAACACAACACTCTCGAACTCTTTCTCCTGAATTACAAATATTCTTCTTTAACTTAATTGTCTATTTAGTTTGATCTTGTTTTTTGTCGAAATTTTCGTCCGTTTTTCTCTCTAGAGAAACTCTTAATTTACAAGGTATGGATGGTCATATCTATCGTGGTTCACCAATACAAGAAAGTCAACATTTAGTAAATAATAATGATTTGTCAGCAGGAAAAGATGAAGAGAATTTAGATAAAGATTCTGATAGAAATGAAAAGCTACCACCAGTTTCAAAGTCAAGTCGTTATGTCAACACAGTAACTGCTCGACCTCAGGTAAGAGAGATACGTTTTCTTATGCGTTTTTTAATTTGATGAATATGTTGGGGATGGTTGGAAGAAAGTTAGGGGCGACCAAACCAATACGTAACATCAATACTTGAAGTCACTAGATTCTACCATGTTGGTAGATGCAGACTACTTACTTGAAGTCCGCGCGACTATCGTAACCAATGGTTGAAGACGCTGGGTGACATAGCTAAGAATCGATCATAATGGTGTAGGTGTATACACTCTCTGTCTTCCTTTAAGCTATGAGAATAAAATCGCTTCATATCTTTCTACGTTCTAATTTTTTCTTCCTTATATGCAATCTTTCTTCTATATATTCCCATCAATGAATTAAGTATTTCTGTGAATCCGATGTTCATCTTGTTGTGCTACTGAGGTATTAAATATATATGCCTGGTCCTACGTTTTAGCTGACTGACTGACTGATATGTTTTAAATTCGTTTAAATAAATTATTACAATAAGGATGGGTGAGCATTCAGAAGCGAGTCTGGAATAACCACTTAACAATTGATTAATATCAGATGGGGATTTTGTGGATATTATAGTAATTTCAATAGTTGAGATCATGAGTCATTTGAAGCTAGAACACTATGTAAAACCTGTAAGCAATGGACGGCCGTTCTGTTCCATTGTAGGACTCCTCAGCAGTGCTCACCCACGATCTCGCTTCACGAGATTTGAACCCAGGACATATCGGTCTCGTGAGCGAAAACTTAATCTCTAGGCCACTGAACCAACATCCAAAGGCGTCAATATCTAACTCCAACCTATTGAAGAAATTGAGTGACACGACTACCGTTCTCTTCAGTGAGTCACTATCTGCACACTCACTCACAACCCGATCAGTGGTAACAGCTTAAAATGTGAAGTTGTACCACTCAAATTCGAACCCCATATAGAGTATCAGTCCATTCAAGAACAAAAGTACACTTTGCTAATGAGTACCAACTAGCATGAAACCTATATGAAGCAAAGTATTCCATCAAGTATCTTCTCCATTATACATCTCAATTTTAAAAAAACACATGGGCCCATATGAAATCGAACCCTATGCCAGATTTTATCAAGAGAATATTACGATACAAGTTACCTATTGGTTTCTCTTATCCCATTCTATTCAATCTAATAATATTCATTATTATTTTTCAATATGCAACATCAATAATAATTGTGTTTTTGTTAACAAGAGGGTACTATCACTTTCAATTCAAACAAACAAATATGATGGAGTTTTGTTCTTTGATCTGAATGGTTTGGTCATAGAGCTTTCATCATTCTTCTGAACAATATCATCAGCACAAACTTCAGGTAGAAGTGAAGTGTTTGAATTTCTTCACATGTGATTCACAGCTTGTCCTTTACACCTCGATGTTAATTGATTCTTCTTGACCTTAAATTTGTCATTGTTTACTTCTTTGTTTTGGTTCTATAATTCATTCGGCTGTCCCCATCGGTGTTCTGTTCACTACACTATCATTGTTTACTTCTTTCTTTTGGTTATATCTCCCATTGGTTTGATTTTTGTTCCTATGTTTATGCATAATTTTCCTAATCGGTTGATAAATTGGATCAATGTCAATATGTTTGTTTATTGCTGATTAACCTGAGCGCCAAGCTTCTAAAAATTCTCTGATGTTATCAGAATTTCCTCTATCCAAAATCTTCATATATTCCCAGTTGAATGTGTATCCACAGTTGTCCACGTGCATTGATATAACTGAAGATATATTATGGCTTTTGACTTCTCATTGATGTTCATGCAGATGAAGATGAAGATGGTGTCCACTCTGTTCGATGTAGTGTTTCTTTTTTTTTTTTACAATTGGCACAATTTATTTTGTAGTTGATATTTGGTTTGTCGTCTTTCATCATTTCATCCTTTGATTTGCATAAAAATTGATTATAGGAATTTTATTGATTTGTAAGTAACATCTATTCCGAAGGTATTCAACAATCTTCTTATCGTTTCTGATATAAATTATATTCATTATGATCATATGAATTTCTTCCATTTTAAAGAAGATAGTGACACTAACAGCTAATAAGAAACCTCTTTTCTTGAAGCTGCAATTCAATGGTGATGTAGCTGGTGATGTATTGCGTGATAGACTGACTAGAGCAGTCAAGAGAACGTTTAATGCTGCCAACCTCTGTCTATCGTATTCGACCCGATCTATGGTGATTTCCCAACTGAAGGACAAGTTACCTGGTTACGCCACTTCTATGTGTCATCACACTATCTATTTGTACTTTTCACATATTATGTAATCGTTTTATTCATCGTTATCATTGATTTATAAACTACCTTGATTGGTTTAATTCATTTCGTATATGCATATAAATACATTACTGCATATTAGAGTAAAGCCTGATGACGATCTAATCGAAAACAATATTGTTCGCTTATATCAATGTTATTCTACATTTTAAAGTTGTCGTCAACTGTTTTTATCGATTTGTTTCTTCTAAGTGATAAAGCAAATTAACCTATTTAACTGTTATGTAATGAAATTACCTATATTTTTGTCTAAAATTTTAATTTAGATAAATATGAATTCATTTAAATAGTATAAATAGTATAGTATTAGACAATGTTCATTGTAAAGTGTTTACTTTGTCTAACAATATGTAAATAGTTTGAATCCTTTTCTTTGGGGGGAGGGGGAATGGGTAATATTGCATAGAACCCTTAGATAAATTTTTTTTTTATTTTCTTAACTTTTGGAATAACCAAGCGCTTCCTATAGATATTACTTCATTAACGATCGATCAGATAAATCGAAAATAGGAAAGTAGTAAGACATGACAATATACCAGCTAAAGCTTTGAAATCAGACATAAAAATAAATACAAATATATCCTTTACGTTTTATTTGGGAAGATTTGGGAGAAAGAACAAGTACCGACGGTTAGGAAAGAAGGACACCTTATCAAGATATCAAAGAAAGGATATCTGAGCAAATGTGAGAAATCAACTGCAGAGGTATCATATAACCATCAGTACCTGGAGAAGTTTTTAATATAGTGTTGCTGGACCAGATGAAAGATTTAGTAGACGTCCAGCTTCGAGATGAGAAGGTTGGATTCCGGTCATGTACCAACCGAATCGTAATACTACTGATCGTCGTTAAAAAATCAACTTCGTCGACTATGAGAAAGAATTTGATATTGTGTATAGGAGGACCATATGGAAACTTCTTCAACACTATGGTGTACTTGATAAGATCGTGAATATCATATGGAATTCATGTGACGGACTACAGTGCAAAGTCGTGCGTGAAGGACAACTGACAGAGTCATGCCAAGTGAGGACTGGAGTCAGAAAAGGCTGTCTACCCCCCTCTTCCTCTTTCTTCTGGTGGTCGACTGGTTTACGAAGACCCCCACATATGTGTGGGGTCACGGAATTCAATGGAGAGCTCAAAATTAATTAGACGATTTGGACTTTGCAGATGACCTGTCCCTCCTATCCCATACACACGAATAAATGAAGATGAAGACAACCACTGTGGCAGCAGCCTGTACAGCAATAGGCGTTAACATACACAAAGGATAAAGCGAAATTCTCAGTTACAACACAAAAAACACCAAAGTAATCACACTTCATGGAGAAGCTCTTAAAGAGATGGGATCTTTCATGTACCTGAGAAGCATCATCGATGAACAAGGAGGATGTGAAAAGGGTGAATAAGAACTGGAAAGAACTATTCAAGACCAAGTTGAATGGAGAATGCTAGTGGGCAGACCATTCTCCTGCACGAAGTTTAAGAGGCGTGAGTTGAATAATCATTGGAAACACTAGTGCTTACAAAAATATAACATTCTGTGCAAAACCTTTGAAGAATTTTTGCTTCTAATTCGCTCGAAATGCTTATAGCTTTGTTATCCGTGCTATCTGCTAATGAACGGTAATAGCCGCCTCTTAATCCCTTCTGATTTTCAACTCTATTGTAGTTTATATAATAACGGTTACAATGGTGATTTATTAACGACATAAAGCCATTACAATTAGATCATAATTAATTTATTTTACGTTCCCTAAAATTTTGTTAGTATAAACTTCAGAATTCAGATCAAGTGAACATCAAGAGTGTTAAACTACAATGTGTTGATAACTATAAATGACACAGAAAAATTACCTAAAGGTTTATATACCGTGGCTAGTTAATTAAATACATGGATTGTAAAATTGAAGAATTGATCATGAAAATCTAACGAATTTTGTTTATACAGAATAGTTACGTTTAACTTAGAAGTTTTTCCACATTCAATGGTCAACTTCTATGAATTCGGTGTTCATCTTGTTGTGCTAATGAGGTGTGGTAACTTGGATCAATGCATATATATATATATATTGATTGATCACTGGGTGGCGATCAATGTCATGTGTGTCAAGTCCTCCGTAATGCAGATTGAATGATATCGACCAAGTTGCAATGTGGTCACTAGTCTAAGTGACTCGAAATTACGTGAACTATGTTGAGATAGGATGGTAGTTGGAATTAGTCAACAGAATACTCTGGACCCGGGTATCATGCTAATTGGCACTCGTCAGCAAGGTGTACTTGTAATCTTGAGGAAACTGGTGCTCCCCAACTAATTCAATCCCGTGTCACCCGGCTTCACAGTGAGAGATGTTATCATGGGGCTATCCGGGCCGCGACCGTCCTCCTGTAGAAATGAGATGTAATCACAATTGATTGATCACTGGGTGGTGATCAATATATATATATATATATATATATATATATATATATATATATATATATATATAATCCAATGGATGACTGAATTTTGCGCCAAAAATCTATGACCTATGATTCTAAATCTGATTGGTTCGTCCACAGTATTATAATCTTGCCAATATAAAGTGAATTCATACCTGCTATCTTACTCAATCTTCTATTTCCTTTTTTGTTATATATAACTAAATAAAAAGGTTGCTTATAAGTATGTTGGTTCAGAGAGACGTGAAAAAAGTCAATCACCTCAATATATAAAACGTATTAATTCAGATGAATTTCAATTCAAACAATTCAGTTCAAATGGAATAGAACATTTACCTCAATTAATAATTGGTTCAACACAATTACCTAATCAACGTAATCGTAAAATTCAATTAAATCAACCAAATTCTAAATTAATTAATGAACATATTTCAGTTAAATCTAATGGTTATGCTGTAATTGTTGTACCAAATACTGGAACAATAGAACGTAAGTATAGAACATCTTTGTAAAGTCTATGAATTTTCTTTTATTTCCCATACAAATCACTTTCTGTTCTTATTCTCTTCGATTATCTTAATCTTTTATCGCCAAACATTTCACTTTAGATTGATGATACATACTACTTATATCTATCGACATCAATACAATACACAATAATTTAAGCTCATTCTCTATAGATGAATTAATAATAGTATTGTTATAACGTTTGGTTTTACTTTGTCTAATGTTATAACGGTTGGCTTTCCATGTTTACACGTATGGGGTGTTAATTTACCTTAGACCAAATATCTACACTAGATTCCCTCCCAGTGTCTATTCTACAGGACTTCAACACAATTCAAATCAAGAACACATGAATAGATTGACCACAACGTAATTATATTTCTACACCAATAACATGACACAATCCAACAACAATGAACAATCAATAATAAGTGAGTCGTAATAATAATAAGGATAAGGGAACATATAACTCATCTGATATCTGTCAGACTATCTACATATATCTGACTAAGTTAACAACGAATCATCATCAAGTATACTATACTAGATTGATGAATTAATCAAATGTAACATTGAACCTATTTAATTTTCGCGCGAAATTCTAAACATAGTAACAAATGTCTTGGGTGGATTTATCCGCAACGTTTCTATGTAAACCTAATGTATCGTCCAATGAACTAACGGTCATATCTGAGTTCATATAATCATAGAATTTGTCATTTTATAATGTATTTTTTCTATTAAATTGATTGTTCAGTCAACTGTAGTTTATATTAGTCAATTTTTAAAATACAGTAGCCTTCATCCATTATCATAGCTGTTTAACTCTTAATTTTCTTAGCTCTATAGACCATCGTATTGTATTGTGCGGTGTCCGAATCTGATGATTTTGTGGAGTATTAGGTTATTAACACATATGCCAAGTAATTAAAGGTAGTCAACATGCAAACTGTTTCAGACATGTTATATGCCCTTTGGTACTCATCAGCAAGGCGTACCTGCAATCTTGAAGGAACTCCAGACTACCAAAAGATCCAATCCCACACCACTCATCTTCATGACGTAAAACACCACAAAGACTGAGAGATACTTAGGATTGATTGATCAATAAGTAATGACTAGTGCCATATTTGTTTAATCCGTTAGCGGTGATTGAATTCTGTCAACCTCCACTCAGCGATCAGTCGATTGTAAATAAGTAATATATTTACGAAATGTTTGGTAGTCTTCAATGGTTCTATATTTAGTAATAACAGTTGACAATAAAAGCTCTATCGCGTTGACTATATCTCGATGTTCCACTTGATTCAGTGGTACGCTAAGTTATTGGAAGCACGTAAACAATTAACTACAAAGATTTTAAGAGGAAAAATCCTCCATGGAACCTAAGATAATTTAGTCTCACTTCACATAGATATTTGTAGTGGCATTAGCATAAATTTATCCAGAGTAGAATTGTAATTTTTATATTAGACCTTATTCATTTCACAATTTTCAAAAGTAACTTTGAACTACTCATGAGTAGTTTAGACATAAAAACCAAGTAATTCCTACAGCATGTCATATTGTCTAGTTAGTATGGTATAAAACTTGATTTTGAATGCTTGTTATTTCCTAGAAGAAACTCCAGAACTAAAAGCAGAGAATGGTTGGATTGCTGAAAAGTTGAACAATGAATTAAATGAAGATTCATCTCCAACTGTCAAAGAGAAGCATAGTTCAACTTATCCAAGTCCAGCTACAAATGATAATGATGAAAGAGAGGTGGAAATGGAACTAGTTACAATAGAACAATCTTCACCAGATGTGAATATTACAGTAGACGGTAAGTTATACCAATGAAACATGTGAGAATGTGAAATCCTCAAATATAAATTGTGAAGATTAAAATCAATATCGATTTGATATAGATTTAAGATCAACTTTCAATACATTTTTGTCGTATGACTTCATGGAATTTCTATCTATTTTCACTATGAATTATGTTTTGTGACAACTGCTTTAATCGATTATATAACCGATCAACTTAAATATATTAATAATTCTACCGTTTTCATAATCAATAAAGCTCCATTACGAAACTGGACTTCTTACTTGAGTTAGTGAATCAGAGAAGTCTCTTACGCCATGTTGAAACTGAAGTTGTGAAACAGTAGCTAAGCACTTGAACGTATTATTTAGTTACAAATGGGTTCCAATCATAAGAAGTGCAGATTCTTAAATTATTTCATATCAAAATGATATAAATTGATAAACATATGCTGTCCACTCAAGCATAGACTTGAGCATTAGGTATTTGATCTCATTTCTTTTGTAAAGGGTAATATTAATGTCTGACTGAATTAAGCACAGTAGTATTATAAATGTAAAAACTGGTATTTAGAACAACAAGAAACTGAAATTTACACTTTCCAAAAATACAATAACAAAGTTAGGCTTACTATTAGAAGGAAGATAGAGGATAGCAGGATTGTAATAATATGACTTCTTTGTAACTATCCAACATATATTCAGCCATTTCTTATGACCGGTGAATCGGCCCAAACCACCGGGTGTATTTCATAACACAGGAATCCAATCAATAGTCGATTATTTCACAAAAAAAAATGAACTGATTTATCTTCTTTGATTTGCCCTAACCATTGTTCTAAATTAATCCTGTGCTAAACAACTTAACAAATTGCATTACATGGTTTGTCAATAAGCGCTAAGCATTTTCTAGCCATGATATTCAATAGAAGTTTATAATTCCATTAATTAAATCTCTATTAGAAATTCCATATTCAACTTTTGTATAAAACTATATTTATGATTAATTAATATCGGAACTAAATCAAATCCATTCCGTAGTTTCTTCACATTAAGTAAATCACAATTCATCATTTGAGTTATTGGTCAAAAGTTGTATTTGTTTATTTATTTATTTGAACACAAATATTGGTACAAAGGGGAACCGAATACATATGTGCCACACAAGTCACTTTATTTGTATGTAGGCTGTGCTACTGTCTGGGTGACCAGACCGAGACAGGTGGTTTACTTATGGACACACACACGGAGCCTTCGACTTAAAGGTCTAATCCACAAGGCAGTGGAGCAACGTAAGGAGATGCAGTTACATGGTAGCCAGGGACCAACGATTGTTTCATACGCCATCTGTTCCTTCAAGATCCTGGAACCAATGTGTACTATTGGTTTGGAATCAGGGTTTCCCAACTCTCCTAGGTGGATCCTTCATGTCCACTAACCCTGTTTTGGCGACAGAAATTTGCTTTTCATCCTCTCAATTTCGTAAACAATACCCCCAGCGCGAAAAGGTATTGAGTAGGACTTCCCTGTCAGTGCCTTTATACACGTGACCATGTAAGAACAGTTCGAGAAGGAGAGCAAACTCACCCATCTCTCTCGGCTGAACCAGAACATTTGGGGGAAAGCATATCTTTTGCCCAGGTTCGAATCGGGGACCTTCTGTGTGTAAAACAAACATGATAACCACTACATCATAGAAACGACATTTGGTTTGTTCTTTTTTTTTCCTTCAAAAATTCACATACAAGTTGTTTATATACATAAATTCAATTGTAATATTATTTCTTTAACATGTTTTCTATTCACAGATATCTCCAACTAGATACTAAAAAAATCAATAGTTACTAAGTATAGTTACCCTATTTCTATTATTTAATATGATTTACACATATAGAAACATAATTGAAAATCGGATCAAATTTTAATCATTACAAAATATTTCTTTATATGAACCTCCATTTTTTTTTTATAAAAAAAAAAGTTTGATTAATCTAAGTTAAATGATATGAAGAATCATAATTAATTATTGAACATTGAATACTTCAAATGTAAAACTAGAAAAATGACAAGCATAGAAATTTTTCAAGTCGAAAAATAATAACCAAAAAATCAAAAAACAATCAATTATTGATCATTCAATAAACAATTTGCATAGAAACAAAAAAAAAAGAAAAAAATAATTGTAAATTTCGAATTGTTCATGTTGATTATAAAAAAAAAAGGAAAAAACAAAACACAACTAATCATGTGAATTAATATTTATTCTCATATTAGGCAAATAATGATGATGATGATGGCAAGCAACAGTTTTTTTTTCTCTTTTCTTCTTTGGCTTCCATTCCATCAGTTAGTCAGTAACAACAATGTTGGACTTTATATGTGAGTATATTACAGTTCAAGTTGTCATGCCATATTGGCTTCCATTTGTTGTTGTTTTTTTTTTACTAGAAGACGAAGAAACAAACATTCGATATGAATATAATAAAGTGATCTATATTTGTTTGTTTGTTTGTTTATTGTTGGTAATATTTTGTTTATTGAATTTGTTCAATATTGCTCAAAAAAAAGAAAAAAAAAGTTTTTTTTTTCTTAGTTATTCAATGTTATTAATGAACAAACAAGAAATATTAACTGATATGCATTATTATTATTATTGATTTTCTCCTTGTGATATATATATTTATTTAAGTGAATTTTCGCAATGGCTGAGGGTAGGGAGAGTTAGCTGTCCCTCTCGAAAAACTCTCACATGGTCACGTGTATACAATCACTGCTAGGGAAGTTATACTCACTGCCTTCTGACGGCGGGGATGTTGTTTACGAAATTGAGAGGATGTAAAGCGAATGTCAAAGTTGGTAGTTATGAACGATCCGCCTAGGGAGGTGGGAAAACCCTGATACCATATCAATGGTATACATGGACTCTAGGACCCTGAAGGAACAAATGGCATATGAACCAATTGTGGGTAACCGGTTACCATGAAACTACATCTCCTTACATTGCTCCACTGCATTGTGGATTAGACCTTTAGGTCTGAGTGTGGCCCTCTAAGAAAGCCATCTGCTTCGATCTAGGCACCTGGGCAGTATCACAACCCACACACAAATTTAGTGACTTGTGTTGCGCATATGTATTCGGTTCCCCTTTGTACCAATATTTATGTGTTCAAATAAATAAATATTCTTGCTATGCAATAAACATCACGAACTGACTTCAGTTAGATAAATTAGAAAACATTGAACAGCTGTTTCATTCTAGTATGAGGAGACGTTTCAGTAGTGTAAGGACTTCATAAATTCTGCATTTTTGAATCATTTACAATCGATCAGAAATTTTCGACAAACCTATACGACCTTTTAAAGAAACCAATGACAAAAACTATCCACTTCTTGATCTTCAGATATGCTCAAAGACAATACTTTGATATATAGTCTTACCTTTCAAGCATTAACAGCACACTATAAAAACACTAGCTTGTACGGTTGTATTCGATTGAGTAATCTACACGAAATAGCGGTAAAATCCCGGCAAGATGATTCTTTCAATGTTTGTCTAAACAAAGTCAGTAAAAAGCACTCAACTTTCAACTGTATTGTATCCGTGCTCCTACTGCTTACACTTGATAACAAAAAAAATTGCAATTTCACGGGACACAGAAGACTGATGTGAAAGATTGATTAACCTATCAAAGAACATCCCCAAAAACAAGTCATTAGACCAAACTATGCTCATTTACATACGCTTTAGAAAGGTGAATAAATTTTGTTGAAAGGGTAATACACTTGATAGGCAGTCATCAAGGGACGAACTTCTTTTTAGAAATGAACTGACTTAAAGATGATGATGCATACTTGCAAAAAAAACCAGGAATTCCCTGGGTTACTCTAAAGTCTTTCACATCTGTCTAAATAGTTACGTTTGCCCACTGTAGCAACATACTATAAACACCGAATATCTTTAGCGATTGTTTCTACTGATTCAGATCGAATACGCTCTAGCAGTGAAATATTTTAGTGTTTACATCGATTGGTCACCGAGTAATGTTTGTTTAATTATTTAGTGTTGGTGAAATTTCATTTATCAAATTATGATGTGACAACCAGTCTGATTGACTCAAAATCACGTGGAAAACGTCTTCATGTTAGGTGGTTGGAAATTGTCAGTAAGAGACGCTAGACTTATATTTCGTGATAGATGGAACCTTTGGAAGACTTACGCTTCCCAGTGGTTTGAACCTGTGTCATCAAGCTTCACGGACTCAGTCAGTCAGTCAGTTACAACGTTGGACCAGGCACATATGTGCATCGGTCCAAGTTGCCAAACCGCATTAGCACAGCAAGATTCATAGAAGCAATCAACTCACTGTAATATATAAAGGAAAGACTGTGTATGAGGATATAGTACAGGAAGAAAAAAATTAGTACGTAGAAAGATATGAAGAAATTTTCATCTCATAGTTTAAAGGAAGACAGAGAGTGTATACACCTACGCTATTGTGATCGATCCTGAGCTATGTCACCCAGCGTCTCCAACCATTGGTTACGATAATCACGCGGACCCCATCTAAGTAGTCTGCATCTACTAACATGTCTCAAACTAGAACTTAGTGACTTCAAGCACTGATGCCACGTCTTGGTTTATCCGCCACTAGCTTTCTCCCATACATCCCCAGCACCAGTTAGCATTGCGTGTCGTGGTAATCGGTGTTCAGGGATAGGTAACACGTGGCCCAACCATCTCAGCCGATGAAGATTCACAATCTCATCAGCTAACTGAGACATCAACACTGAGTAATTAGGGTCGCTATTAGCTTCAATCCTCAAGAAAATCGGTGCTAAATAACATGCAAGTTGAATCCCAAATTTTTTCTTAACTACCTCTAAGCACATAAAATATCTTAAAATTGCTCCTCTCGAGAGTAACATAAATTATATTTACACAAAGGTGTATTACTCTCAGTATAACTCATGACAGCAATGAATTTATGACAAACAGATATAGTATAGGGGGTTGTAGAGATCATTATGTTTTTGATTGAGATCATGAACCGATTGATTTAAGACCACCGTCGAAAGCACTGAACGGCCGTTTCGTCCTATTGTCGGACTCCTCACCAGTGCACATCCACGATCTCAATCAAAAACAGATATAGAACAAGTCAATTTCATAAATATCGGATCAGAAGAAGATTGAATACCATATCAAAATATGTATAAGTTTCTTTTCCAAACAAAATTTCTTTATAACAGAAATAAAAAGGAAATAAGAAACAAAAGATAAAAAGAGTATAGAATTATGATGATATATCAATAGTAAAGTATCGAATAGTTGTATCATCTGATGCTGTACACAAGAATGGTTCAATTTTATCATTATTATTATTATCATTATTGTCCATAGATTTACAAAATGGTGGTAGAGTTAAATAAAGAATCATTGCTTTATGACCCCACCATATTTTTAAGGGAATTTTTTCTGTTAATAAACCAGATGAGGATTTTCCTGTTAATCCAGTGATACCACACCATGCAACTATGGAACCTTTAGTAGTAGCTGTGAAAAATATAGGTTTATATCGACTCCAACATAATGATGTAATACCGATAGGTTGCTGTTAAATGAGAAATAAATATAAACAAGTATTCATTGAATAGTATCAATCAAATAAGTAGAATGTTTAGTTTATTATACTATAAGTATGTGTATTGATCTACTTTTAAGAAATTTTATCATCAAGTAAACAATGCCATGATAAGTCAGAAGAGATTTTGAACGAACTGTGGCGGGTAAATCGATTGTTCATTAAGTCAAGGTCACTCCTAATGTTAAAACACTCACCAAGTGTCAACACTCCCTCTCGAAATTCTCTCACATGACTATGTGCAAACAACCACTGCCAGGGAAGTCTGACTCACTGTCTTCTCGTGGCGAGAGTGTGGTTTACGACATTGAGAGGACGAAAAGCGAATGTCCGGTGCTTTAACCAGGTTGGTGGATATGGAGGAGTCACCTAGGGGAGTTGGAAAACCCTGATTCTAAACCAATGGTGCACATGGACTCTAAGATCCTGAAAGAACAAATGGTGTATGAACCAACCGTTGATCACCGGCTACCATGGGACTGAATTTCTTTACGTTGCTCCATTACCTTTTGAATTAGACCTTCAGGTCAAAGGCTCGGGGTGTGGCTCCCTAAGAAAACCACCCGCTTCGGTTTGGGTAGTTCTGTTTGAAAAAAATTCTACGATAAATGATTCTTCCAGTTAAGGAAATTACTCTCACTTGTATAAAAAAAAGTGAAAGAAAGTTACAGCAGTTCCGTCACTGGCTTCTATCCTGAGTAATGTCTGGCAACCTCTCAGGTCATTGTGTTGCACCCTCTCTGGGACTCAAAAGAAAGAGTCGAGAAGGTCCAACAGAACCCAGTCCTGTGAAATATTCTTCCATACCACGAGACTATGTCATACACGGACCACCTCTTCGCCTTTTACAACCAGTCCCATCATCGGCTAATAATATACGATGTGGGATTCGCTGAGACGGCATTCATAGTACATATCTAAGCCACTGGAGGCGGTGTTTCAAGATGGTGACATCCATTAAATTGTCGTCACTGTCCCGGACACATGGTCCGGTAACTCCACGTTACCAACATGGTGTTGTCACTGGATGTCAGCAACCTTCCAGAGACAAAGACAATAAAACACAGGGAGTTGCCTAACATCCTCAACTTAGAAATGCCAGGCTTAATGAGCTTAGAGTAAGACTGTTCTCATCAACACGTTGTACATCCGATCTTTTATAGCTAGACCAGAATCACGAAAGTGACAAAGATGATCCAGATTGACATAAGCCTCTCTGGCTTCCACTATATATGTAAATTGATTTCATCGCTCACGTAACCATCAGCAGTTACATAGTTACACCCAAATACACGAACTTCTCGATCACTTCTATATATATGCTCACTACCAAAAGTGAGAGTGGCTACACAGTCCTGCCAGTCTCGTAAAAGTATTTCGCACTTAGAAGGTACGAGGCATATGTCACACCTACACACAATAGTTTCCAACTGATTAAGTGCGGATTGCATAGCTTAGATATCATAGAACAGTAAGACAACATCCGCATACGTAATAGACAAGGTTGAGTGGGGTCACATAGGTTAACGGAGTAGATTCATGAAGTACCAAGAGAACTCATTCACCATATAGACAATGATGCAACTAAATATGAACCATACTAAAAAACTCAAGAATTTCATAATATGTATCACGTGATGTGGTTAGTCTAAACTAATGACCATAAGTCGAAAATCACTAGGATTATCCTTTTTCTCTAAGTAGATTGAACTTTTCTTAATTTTCCAATAATCAAAATTTTAACTCATAAACAATGGTGAGTTATTGAAAGAGTTAAGCATTAACATACTCCTAGTTGAATTTTAGAAAATCTTGATTTGAAACCAACACTACAATAAGAAATAACCTACCGCATCATCTTCATCTATGTATGTCCATTTTTGACGAACACGAATAGTATGAGCATCACAAATTCCAAGTACACCAGTAATAGAGCCAAAAGCAAACAATGGATGTCTATAATCAAGATAAATAAATAATATATTAGTAAATAAAAGGAAAATTAAAATGTATTAAGAATAATTCAGGATAGAATGCATTCTGCCACATATCAGATATCGATACCAGTGGATAAATGTACAAATTCATTTCGAACATATTCACATTATATGATAATAAAATGAAGCCGGTAGGTTTTGGTTTGGGTTGTCTGATATAAGCATTATCCTTCATACAAATAATGTAGCTTAGAGGTGAGTACATCCATCTACAATCAATAGGTAAGTCAGTCAGTCAGTAACAACGTAGAACTTTGTACGTACGTATATCACTTCGAGTTGCCACACCACATTAGCACCGAGATTCAGTTATCGATTCAAATCCCGTAGTGGTAGAGGTAGTGAAAGTATAAGTAGTAATCGGGAACATTAGGGTTTGATGATGTTATTTAAGGAGTATAATCCAGTGGAATAAATTTGGAAAGAAAATAAAAGACATGAAGAATACAGAAGATTATAGTTTGAGAGATGTATTAGTTAATGAATAAACATGAGTGTAATTTTAATTTATATAAAGTTCAACAAAAAAATCTTCCACCATGATAACTGACATATTTTCAATTTCTACTTAGTAACAGGTAATTATTCCTTAGATGAACTTAAACGATCATTCATGTAACTCCGAATTTCAAAGTTTAATATGTACTGTATAATAACAATGATGTATTGGTTGTTTGAATCTTCTGATTGAGGTTTAGGACATCCTGTACAAAATGCCTCGATATTACCATTAAGTCATAAACATTTTAAGCATAGATGGATAGTGGCTAGTAATGGAATCCAGGACGCGTGTTTCGTCCTATTTGGGACTCGTCAGCTGGATGTACCTGCATCCCACAGTTGATGTACATTTTGAGACACAAACCGAGTACCGTTTGCTTGGTGACGAGTCCCAGATGGGACGAAACGTACATTCTGAATTCAACTCCTAACCATCATTTCATCTCTGTTTAAAAATGATGATACTTTTTTACTGAATCCATAATCTTAAAATTTGTAATCGAGTTCAAGAAACTGATGACTATATGACCTCTCAAACCTATCAGGAATTATTAAATGATACGAAGCCTATTTTGTACCATATTATTTATATAAAGTCATATGATACCATCTGATCTTCGCAAAACGAAGTAGATGATACGGAACACGAATCAGAGATTTATTGGTTGAAAGCCAACTAGTTTCATTCCGTACATGTATTTAAAGCAAGATTATATACTTATATCTTGGATTGAGTAGGTAGCGAGATATTAGCTGACTACTATCTCATTGACTTTGAATAAAACTATAGATAGATTGATATACTCAGATGCTTACACATGATATACAGAAAAATGACTGTGATTTGTATAATCATAACCTTTTATTCTCTGTGAATTGTGTTTATACAGTTTTGGTATATTGACGTCTTGTTTAGAATTAATTACTCAATCGGTCCTACGTTGCAGCTGACTGACTGACAAATATATTTGCGGTTAATATGAATAGTATAAGAGTATTAGACTAAAGACTTACGTCCAAGAACAGTTTAATGCTTCAACGGATCCATCATCACCTGTTTTAATGATATCTAAAACCTATACAATAAATAGATTCATTAATAATAAACAAAATTCTAATTTCTATTAAAAGGTTATAGTAAAAACTAACCCTTACATATACATAAACATAGTTCAACTTATTCTCATTCAATATAGCAAGATAACACCAAGAATAACGAGATCTAACCAATAGTAGAACATTGGGATTCATAGTTTAATGATAGTTTTATCAGTATAGAGTTGTGCAGACTGTCGAGTTTAAATTGATATCATGAATGAATCAATGTTAGACCAACATTGAAAACTTGGAAGCACTGAACAACCATTTCATTCTAGTATGGAACTCCTCAGTAGTAAGCATCTACGATCCTGCATGAAGTTCTGAGTTCAAGTCCTGCGTGCGGGATTGTAGGTGCTTACTGCTGAAGTCTCATACTAGAGCAAAATGGCCGTCCAGTGCTACCAAGGTTTTCAATAATGGTCTAGATTAGATTGAATCATTAATTCAATCATTAAAATTAGTACAATCTCTACAAACTCCATTCTGATCATAATTTCTTTATGCAATAATTTATCTAGTTTGTCTGACCTTCACTTTCTCAGCTGTAAAGTCATCGCAAGTAAATGTGTAATCAGATTGTTGATCGAAGTGTATTGCGTCAATACATTACGTGATTCTGATAAAGCTTGTCTTTTCTTCATTGTATGATCTAAATTTATCAAAGAGATAAGAGATGATGCTTTGAAACAGATATATACTGATTGATCAATAAACCTGAAGTGTTTACTTACTGTTAGAAATAAAGTAATATATTTGTAATATCCCAATGAGTAGAAAAATTAGATTTTCTGACGTTTCGTAACTTAGTGTAAGTCACTTCTTCAGAGAATAGATAACCAAATTAACACTAATCCAAGTTTAAATAGTACTATTTATTCGAAATTATCAAATCAAATCTTGGTAATGATACCCATGTTTACTTAGTGGTTATGTCACATGTTATCAACGTAGTCTTTTTGCCTTCTCTTGCTTATCGGGGCATAACAGATCGATTTTGAGTCATATCACTTACAGTCTCCAGCCAATGGTTTCGATAATCACGCGGACACCAAACAAGTAGTCTGCATCTACTAACATATCTCTGACCAGAAGCTAGTTACTTTATGGCTTGATGCCACGTTTTGGTTTGGACGCCCCTAACTTTCTTCCAACCGTCCCCAACACTAGTTAGTATTGCGCGTCGTGGTAATCGGTGTTCAGGCATACGTAACACGTGGCTCAACCATCTCAGTCTACAAAGATTTACAACCTCATCAAGTATTATCTATTATTTATTTTAACACATAGATATTGGTACAAGGAGGCACCAAATACATATGCGCCACACGAATCTCAATTGATTTGTGTGAGGGCTGTGATACTGACCAGGTGCCCAAACCGAAACAGGTGGTTTTCTTAGGGGGCCACACCCCGAGCCTTCGACCTGAACGTCTGACCCACAAGGCAGTGGAGCATCGTGAGGAGATGCAATCCCATGGTAGCCGGTGACCAACAATTGGTTCATACGCCATTTGTTCCCGCAGGATACTGGAGCTAGCCCATGTGCACCATTGGTTTGGGATCCAGTTAAAGCGCCGGACATTCGCTTTTCGTCCTCTCATTTTCGTAAACAACACCCCCGCCACGTGAAGGCAGTGAGTAGGACTTCCCTGGCAGAGGCTATATAGGCGTGGCCATGTGAGAGCATTTCGAGAGGGAGAGTGGACTCTCCCCACTCTCGGTCGTATCAGGGCATTTGAGGGCACCTCATCAACTGATTTACCATCATTCCCTAATACCCTTTGTCTAACTTCACTATTACTTACCCGGTGATCCTAACAGATACGAGCAATATTTCTAAGACATCTGTGGTCAAATACTAGTAGCTTACGTGTGAGTATCTTCTACTCTTAATGACCACGTTTCCCAGCCATAAAGTTAAACAGAACGAACTGTCGCACAGTATACTCGTCCCATAATCTTCATATATTTAAATAAAATAAATATTAACCATAAATCTCCAAACATTAAAGATACATACAATATACATTCAAGAATTTATTCAAATGATCATGTTCACCTACTTTAAACCGTAATTCACCATCAAATTTAACAGAAATAGGACATATAAATCCATTTCCAGTAATTAATAATAAATCATGATTTAAGTTCTCATTTGTACCAGATTGATTTTTTAATGATTGTAATGAAATCATTTGATAAACTTCTAAATGTAGACCGCATTGATTAGATAAAGAAGAATATTTATCGAATAATTTAATAGAACCAATTAATGTTATTGTTTTTATATCCCATACACGTAAATCACCATTTCGATGAAGTACTGCTAATTTTGGATTTTTAGTATTTGCAGAACTTGGTAGAATGATTCCATCTAATGCAGCTTGATCAAGATCTAGAAAAATGTAATTGTATGAGAAATACTTTGAATATATATATATATATATATATATATATATATATATATATATATATATATATATATATATATATATATATATATATATATATATATAACGTAATGATACCGCTAATTAGAGAATTGTAACTTATTGACCAGATCAATGACGCATAAACCTGTACGAGCAGTCTAGAGTCTGTATCGGTCCTTCTTCTTGCCTAGCCCTGCCTGTTGAATCCAGAACACCAATCTCAGCCTTCTTGAAATGAATCATGTATTTCAAACATACTGGATGTCCCCAAATGCCCTGGTACAGCCGAGAGTGGAGAGAGTCAGCTCTTCCTCTCGAAATGCTCTCACATGTCCACGCTTATAAAGCCACTGCCAGGGAAGTCATACTCACTCTCTTCAAGGGTGTTGTTAACGAAATTGAAAGGGCGAAAAGCGAATGTCTGGTGCTTTAATCAGGTTGGTGGATATGAAAAATTTCACCTAGGGGAGTTAGAAAACTCTGATTCAAAACCAATGGTGCACATGTGCTCCAGGATCCCGAGGGAACGAATGGCGTATGAACCTATTGTTGGTCACCGGCTACCATGAGACTGTATCTAGTAACGTTGCTCCACTGCCTTGTGGATCAGAACCTCTGGGTCGAAGGCTCCAGGTGTGGCCCCCTAAACGAACCATCTACTTCGGTCTGCGCACCCAGGCAGCATCACATCCCACACAAAGTGACTTGTGTGGCGCATATGTATTCGGTGCCCCTTTGTACTAACATTTGTGTTCAAGTAAACAAATAAATAAATAAATAAACATACTGGGTTTATATACACACCAAACAGACCACATCGCTCCACAAAAAAAAAACAACATTTGTTGAGGGTAGTCGACACCATCTTATCTCTCAACATAGTGCACGCACTGTCGAGTCACCTAGACTAGTGGCCACATGGCAAATTGGTCAATAGCATTCGATCTGCACTAAGGACTTGACACACATGACATTGATCACCAGTGATCAATCAATCGTGATGATCAGAGTTTAAACATGTGTGTCAGAATGAACGGTAGTGTTCTACTGAACCTACGCAATGATGGTTTGGGGTAAATCGTCTATTTGTGTATATTGATGAATCGATTTTGGTGGGTCACCGTGTCAAACAATATCTGCCTGTGATCAAAATTGGTGCTCAATAGAATTTAACGGTTGTCCGAGCAAAGTTACAGAAAACGGTTGGTAATATTCGTTCGCCAGACTGAAAAACTAAAACACATGTAAGAAGTTGTAGACAAGCTTTTAGATAAGCAAGGAGGAAATTGAGCTGATCCTACTATACTGACTAGGTGAGACCGAATGAATAACATTTGGATTCCATATATGGGTTTTGGAGATGCAATATATGTTAGTGATAAGAGACCGGACAGTCTGAAGCTTGCCGTCCGATATAGCGTAAGGTTGGAATATTGAGAGCTCTAATTTTTACTTTGGAAAGCAGTTTTATAAGATCAGGCTAACACTTAGTGGACTCGAACCCCTATCAGTGGTGCGGCGTGAAAAGGTGGAAATCATTGGAGCAGAGTTGATATCTAGGATAGTAGGAATGCTAAGACGTAAGGAAGGGATTCCATAACAAACAATGGAATATTGAGTGTGATATAATGTATAGGAAGATGTTAGTTCCCGTCTGCTCACATCTTAGGAGGATATTTAGTGAGGGATCTGAAAAGGAAAGAGGACCAGTGGTGGTCTTGGTGACCTGTGAGAGTGGCCGTAGAGACAAACGGATAACTGATCGCGGCTGGTCGCTTATGACCTTCATACATCTTGATGTGAAAGCATCATTTTCCCAAGCACCCATTGCCGATGACGGAGGCAGGTGGAAGAAGATACTGTCCCAGTCCAAGATCGATCTTTACTAACCACCGATAAGGTGAAGTAGAATCGACAAAGATGCTGACAAAAACTTGCCATCACCATCACACCTCGCTGTAGCCTTAAGCACGACCTTGCCTTCGGATCTCATGTTGGAGCTTTTGGTCTTATATTATCCCGACCGACCTGTCTGGGATGGGAGTACCGAAAGGAATAAATGTTCCAACCCGTACAATACATTCGGTTCATCATGCTATCCAATCCCGATCACTACGTCAAAGTAGCAGTGTGATTAGTCAGCTAGTGAGCTTTACAGTATGAAAAAAAGTTTTACCAATTATTTTAAACTTGATACAGAAAACTGAATTTAAAAACATTATTAAACCTAATGTAGATGTCATTTTAAGAGAGAAAAACATACCAAACGTATACGCCATTGATATACACTTCCCCTGATTGTCTGATATGCTAGAACTTACAGCCCAGTAATTAACATGACTATGTTCATCACCGGCTAAGAGTAGAGCAGGCTTTGACAGTTTATTGTTCATATTTGGTACAGCATTTGAAGGTGATATCCACCATTTAATCCATAATAAATCATTCACAGTTTCTGTTCTTAATAATTTCCATTCTTTTGAATTCTCTTCTATCAATGGTCTTAACCAAATACGAATATTTCCAGCCATATCACCAGTACATAAATAATCACCATTTGGACTGAAACTAACACAATTCACAGAATCATCATGACCTACATTATTGGTGAATAAATATATACACAAAAAGAATAACGATAAGAATGAGAATAAGAACCAAGGTAACATAATTACTAGTTAAGAAAAACTCAAGAGTAGAATAGTTATTAATGGGTAAATACAATTATATGAATTGCGGTCGAGTACTGGTCTCTCACAAGACTGCATTATTGAATAAAGCGCCCCCCCCCACAAAATGATTTGAAATCAAACATAAAATCACTATCTAGATGAAAAAATTTCTTATCTAGTGAAATAACATGCTTATAATGCCGAATATGAACAGAATAAATAAGATAAAATGTCATGGACAATTGGAGGAAATTAGTTTGTAGGTCACTCACTATCCGATCTATTAAGTCTTGATGGTCAAGCCTAATTCTTAGGTATTGTATCAACTTCGGACATGTGTCGTGAATGTTAAGCCACCACTTATCTTGATGTACAGTGGTGACTGATAGGAATATGTTGCAAGGAGATTATGGACGGAAAGGTGCGAACGTGAGATTAGTTTATGAAGTCACTGACCAACGGACTAAGTAGGATTAGGAAGTGAAAACTTTTTAATCATAGTCCGCGTCAATGTACTCTTTATCTTTGCATATTTCTTGAATTCTAGTATTGTACCATTTATTTCGCTTTACAACATTAATGACAATTAGTTGGAGAGGTTAGGTGACATGGATCAACATCGATCACAATAGCACAAATCCATGCACTCTTTATTTTCTTCTAAACCTTGGATTTTCAAGTTGTTATTTACATTTTAATCCTGAGAATTTTTTTCTTTTTCGAACCACATTCTGTCCCTAATCCGTTTTACTTTCTTAATCACTTGTTACACCTGTTAACCTAGGTCCATAATAGGCTGTAGATCAGGATTCTCCAACCAACTCTGTCCTGGGCCCCCGTTTCCAGTTGTTTTCACGTGCTGTTAATTATTTTTGTTGTCCATCTGCGGTTCCTATTGCAATGTGTTCTTTGGTCTGTCTCTTCTCCTTTAGCCTTCAGGAATCCAGGTTACAACTTGCCTTGTGATGTAGTTTGATGATTTCCACAATGTATGTCCCATCCACCTAGTCTTCTAATTTCCTCTTAAACTGAAAAGTAATTTGTTCTCTCCCACAGTAGATTGTTGCTGATGGTGTCTAACCAACGGATCTGGGGTATATTGCGTGGACAGACATTTACAAATACCTTTTTGATGATGATTGTGGTAGTTCTCAAAGTTTCAACTACGTACAATAGAATTAACTTGACGTTTGTATTAAAAAACCACTTCCATTACCATTGGTATTTCAACAACATCGGTATTCATCTTGATGACCTTTTTATCTCACTGCTCTGATGTAATGTGGCAACTTGGCTCGATCAATATATATACCCGGTTTTGCGTTGACCATGATTGTTTTATTTATTTTTATTTTTATTTTAACACATAAGTATAGGTACAGGGAGGCACCAAATACATATGCGCCACACATATCTCAATTGATTTGTGTGAGGGCTGTGATACTGCCCGGGTGCCCAAACCGAAGCAGGTGGTTTTCTTAGGGGGCCACACCCCGAGCCTTTGACCTGAACGTCTGACCCACAAGGCAGTGGAGCATCGTGAGGAGATGCAGTCCCATGGTAGCCGGTGACCAACGATTGGTTCATACGCCATTTGTTCCCGCAGGATACTGGAGCTAGCCCATGTGCACCATTGGTTTGGGGTCCGGTTAAAGCGCCAGACATTCGCTTTTCGTCCTCTCATTTTTGTAAACAACACCCCCGCCACGAGAAGGCAGTGAGTAGGACTTCCCTGGCAGAGAGTGTATACGCATGGCCATGTGAGAGCATTTCGAGAGGGAGAGCGGACTCTCCCCACTCTCAGCCGTACCAGGGCCATGATTGTAACTGATTTAAGATCGATTGGTTAGATAATAAGTGACTCAACCACTATTTGTTTATTTTATTTATTAAAACACACACATTGGTTCAAGGAGGCACCAAATAGATATGAGCCACATAAGTCATTCGATTTGTGTGAGGGCTGGATACTGCCCGGGTGGCCAAACCGAAGCAGGTCGTTTTCTTAGGGGGTCACATCCGAAGCTTTCGACCTAAAGGTCTGATCCACAAGGCAGTGGAGCAATGCAAAGAGATGCAGTCCCATAGTAACTGGTGACCAATAATTGATTCATACGCCATTTATTCCCTCAAGATCCTGGAGCACATGTACACCGTTGGTTTGGAATCAGGGTTTCCCAACACCTCTAGGTGTACCCTCCATATCCACCAACCCCGACATTCGCTTTTTATTCTCTCAATTTAGTAAACAACACCTCCACCACGAGAAGGCATTGACTAAGATTTCCCTGGCAGTGGTTGTATGCACGTGGCCATATGAGAGCATTTCGAGAGGGGGGGGGTGACTCTCCTCAATCTCGGACGTACTATTAATCCACCCTAATACACAACATGTTTTGTACTTAACCATATTTAACAGAGTTAGATCTAATTAATAATATTTGTAAACATCTACTGATTGTTAATTTAGGATCAAATGTTGACTGCTAACAGACTTTACAGAACAAAAATAACCATTCATAAATAGTAGTACTACTGACGATAATAACATTAATAATAATAATAATAATAATAATAATAATAAAACTCAACCTTGACAAATAAATTCAATTTCACCAGTTTCTGCATTCCATATTATAGCAATATGATCTTGTCCACCGGATGCAAGAAATTTACCAGTACTATCAAAATCTAAACAGAAGACGCTTTCTGAAATAATGAAAATAATCATTAATTAGAAAATAGTTGTATATATATATCAAAAATTCAAGGTAATAATCAGATGTCATTTTTAACAAACTTGTATGATAATTAACTATTCATGGGTTTCTTTTGAGATTCTAATCGGAATTTACCACTTTTTTTTGAGATAAACAAGTTGATTGCTGGAAAAAAAGACCTTCACTTCCCATTATTACAAATCTTCTAAAGTTGAGAAATATCAGCTGATGGGATAATTTTCCAGTGACTTAAAAGATGATGCATTGTACACTAAATGAGTTTTGAAATTTTTAAATCTACCATTGAAATTAATCGACCCCGATCGTTGTTGCTACCTTGACGTGGTGGTCGGGCTTGCCATTCGTGATAAAACAACTGAGCTATAATGGCTGGAACAACTGTTCCTCAAGGTCCTACCATGCCAGACAGGTCGCTTGAAGAGCGGTAAGACTAAAAGCAACAAATCCAAGGTCCGAAGGCGAAGTCGTACTGCTGACTGTACAGAAGTGTGACAAGTTGATTGATGGAAAAAAGACCTTCACTTCCCATTATTACAAATCTTCTAAAGTTAAGAAATACCAGCTGATGGAATAATTTTCCAGTGATTTAAAAGATGATGCATTGTACACTAAATGAGTTTTGAAATTTTCAAATCTACTTTTGAAATTAATCGACAGGGCTATTGATACTACTTATACTAACAAAATCACAGTAGGTTGAAGTAGAGTTCGAACATAGGGTTCATTGAGTAAAAGCTAGGTAGATTAGTCAATAAAATATCCACCTCCTGTGTATTGTCTGGTGAAGGAACGTGTCGTATCCCCATAAACGTGCAATTGGTCTGTAACTTTTTGTTGAATATCTACCCTAGCTTTTAGTGATGATAACTAGTGAAAAATAACCTACAAAAGTTGAGTAAAACTAGAAATTAAATGGTCGAAGGTAGTCGGACCTTGGACTAGATAGACATGATATTTTTCACTACATAATGATCAACTAGACATACACATCACAGTTTTATTGAAGGTCAGTTGCAGTCCGGATAGCTCAGCGTTAAGGCTCCAGACAGTGAATATGGGCGCCGTGGGTTTTAATCCTTTGGAGGGGTACCAATTACCTCAAGATTATAGGTACGCCTTGCTAACAAGTGCTGAATAGCATGAGACCTATACCCAGGATTTCCTGCCGACCACCTTCGGCCGTCTAATAGCCAGACATGGTTTGCACGATGTCAGGTCACTCAGATTAGTGGCTACATTGCAACTCTATCGACAGAATTCAGACAAAGATGACATTCACCACTCAACAATCAACCAATGTGGAATAAAACTATATAGAAAAACTAAATGGAAAACTGTTATATCGAAGTAAAAATCATGACGTGTCAGTACATCAGAGATTTTATATACATAATTTGTTAAAAGAAATCGATGCGTAATAAACTCATCAAAAAGTCAAAAAATGCGGATAGTTGTTTCTTTATAGTTCATCATTCTACATAAGTGCTTAAACAGATCGCATCAGTACATGATGATTATCTTCAAAGAACCACACGTAAATTCATACAACTAAATTTCTTATGCATCTATCGGGATTGTATATAACCGTATTGGATTTGCCCATACGAAATCGACAGTTCAATGTTAAACTATGTAGATTGCAAATTCATTCAATCGACGAGATCTACTTTAAAATCTTATTCCATTCATATTGATTAAGTGTTTGATTGTGCTTCTAAAATGCAGAATTTCGATCAGCAAAATTCAACCTTGATGTAGTTGTATCTAGTCATGCTTGATGGTTAACTAGATTACAGTGAATACCCAACTACACTACGAGATTAATAGCCTAATAACAGGGAAATAGCTGAACTTCCAATGGAGAGAGACGTTGGTCATCATGAGCTATTACAAACGATGTAAACCGTAAGAAATTGGAATACATAACGATTAATCTGTATACTAAGTTATCAGTTTAATTAAGTCTACAGTAGTAGGATGATGGTTATTGAAGACTAGGTGGTGTTCCAGTACTCTACACTTAATCTATGAGCATAACGTTAAATAGAATAGTATAATATAATAGGATAAAACACTGAACCTTGAAGTAAAACAGTCAGTTGGATACTAGTAACGCAGCTGAAGTTTCTGGTAGATTTTGAAAGATTAACGGTGCATTTTCTCAGTCACTGAGGGATAGACTTGTTACTTAAGTAATCGGATTAGCCATCATTTCATTTTTTGTCTATTAGAAACTGAAAGTGCTGAATTTCTGATCGAATCCAGGACACGATGACAAGATAGATTAATGTGCTAATGAGGTATGGCAACATGGACCGATGCATATGTGCCTGGTCGTATGTTGTAGACCGACTAACAATATAATGCTAATTTCAAGATACAATCCTGTCTTCTGAGAAACTTGCATTACTCGAAGGTATTATTTGACACTAATAACCTTTTAAACATTTAATTAAAACGATTTCGTCTATTTATTGAATCAAAACCTAGTAACTTCAAGTTCACAGAGAATTGTGCGCTTCCTAACTTGATAATCATCGACTGAGGGAAATCTCTTCGTAGTAAATTTTAATTTATCACACAAATCCATTGACTACTTGCGACAGTCTTATCTATCCATTGTATTGTGACTATTTTACTATTATGATCTTCAAAAAACTAATTACTAGAAATGGGTAAATCGTTGTGTGAGATTACAACACACCGACCCATTTTTCTGTCATAAACAGTTAAACCAGAAGTTAGTATACAGTCCATCGGCACACAAACGCATATCGGACAGAATAACACAATTTACCATTAATTATCCGAACAAACCTTTATGGCCTGAGAGCAATTTGAATGTATCATCTTGAATAGGTGAAAAATACTGTACAACATCCATACCATTGTCCACCACTTCAACATCTATAAATTGATATATAAAAAAACAAAACACTATTATAGTGGAATTAAATTTATACTATCTTTATTTGTTTCTGACTTGTAAACGACTCCATAATAGGGTTTTTTAATACTGAACAAGTTCCACTGGCCAAATCTCGATGTGCTTCGATATGAAGGAACACTATACCCGCAATAATATCCCAAAATATATTAAGTTTAAATACTGCTTAACAATACCCAACTCCTATTAAGGGAATCGATGCTCCACATTATTTTTATCAAAGACGTCATAAAGATAATCTGTTTCAGTCTAACACCTATTACGGTCTTCTGACGCATGGCCACCAGTTAAACCAGCGCAATGTTAATGGACTAACACCAATCGGAAATTGTTTTCATCTTTGTGATCTGGCCTCAGGTATACATAAGTGGCACTAGTAAGTATTCATTGTAAGAAAATCGTGTAGAATCGAAAGCTCACTAGCAGTAATCAGTGTTATGAACAATTCAGTTTACAGACCTATGAAGCTACCTCACACCAACCTAGCCATTCGCGCTCCACTACCAAAAATGGTTTGCCGGGAGGATATCGTGCTTACATTCGAAAACCTGGTCTGCGCTGCTCACTTATGGGTCGACAGTGACCCTTCAAATCGCAAATGGCCGTCAGCATGTATAGACTAATGGTGTGTACTAAATATCTTAAGCATTCCTTTTTCGACTGATGTAAAGTATTAGAGCTCACGACAGAAGCGTGACACGAAAATGTAACGACAAGTGTCTGTCTACGGATTATCTTCAGTTGAGCCATATCTAGTTAGCGTAATAGACTTGACAAATAAATCGTTAAGAAATATAGGATGGCCGCTAAATGAACTCAAACTCGCTTGAGCTATCTAACATACCAAAGTTAGCCTGTCATGTAACAATCGGACTAGTCTGGATGGAGTTAGAAGACTGACATCCGGCAAGTCAATCAGGTACCATGAATCAAATAACGGTCAAGACCAACCACATGGTTGAATTTCCGTTGGAGGAACTGGTTACGAGTGTACAGACGCATACTGTTGGTTCTCAACACTAGTCCGATAAGGCATCATCTGGAGCATCGTCCCTCCAGCGCAGAGAATATCAAGAGGCGGTCGAGGACTAGCATTCTGTTTCCGGAAGCAAACGTATAGCCGCAGACCTAGCATCACTTTGGAGGCAACCACGCACAAGTCGACCCGTGACTCACCTCTCAGACTCGTCCTCGATACGGTAAATAAAAAATTGTCCAGCAAGTCAGGGAAGGCATATCACCACAGCAATTACTACCTTACAGGGTTCAAGTAAACAAACCGGACACTCGAACCCAATCGAAGAGCATAAGGACAAACTACTTACAGGATAGCTAACAGCCCGTTACTTCTGGTCAAAAGGCCTCTATACTACGATGGAGCTTTCATGCTTGAAATCGAAGCAAAGGGACACAACACATGGCTTCTCGTAGCACTGGGCCGATAGCACAGCTGAAAAAACCACTCACCGTTAGTCGATTCACCATCCGAGCTATTCACAGACTGATTCTCATCTTCAATCCAATCCACATCTCCATCCACAAATTCAACGTCATCCGGTTCACTAGCCTACAGAACAAATGTCGGGATATGACTTTCCTACAGATGTCATAATCAAAACTTAGTTTTCTAACTAATAAACACTCATTCAATGACATGTCTAATGCCCACATTAATATAATAGAAGACATCAATGTGGAAAGAATTTATTTGATCTCCCACAAAGGTACAAGGGCTTCACAACGATTACTTCACTTGCTCCTTTCCCTCATTTTCCTTCGTTTGCGCTTCAGTCTCCTCATCCTCTTTTTTCGCCACTTATCACGCATCTAGGAACGGAATAAATCAACGAATGACACAACTTACCACGCCACGACCAATAAGTTACGCCAAGACTATCTTTATCTCGACCACGTTCAAACACACTAAAGTTTCAAGGTACAATAATTTAAGATTATGGTTCAAATAACAAGGCTAAACGAATCTCATTAATGCTAACACAAAAATGTTTGGGATAAGAGCAGTGTAATCTTTTTATTCAATTCTCGCAGAGCACAAACGTAAACATCATTTATCCGTGTGAGTGGTGTGAGAATAACATCTTGAGTAATTTTCAGTACCTTCCGACTAATACAAATGTAAAAACTTTTATTTGAATAATTTACGGGAAGCGAGATCCTTGCCTGTCTCGGTAGCGAGTTTCAGAATTGACGGATTTTGAAAAATAAGGCGTTGACACGTATTTTCACTAGCCCTTTAGTGTAATATCCCGAAATAAATGTCTGTGTAGTGCTAAATAAATCCTCGAAATAAATATTTCTGTGTGTCTTTAACGTTGGATCTGACCTTACTAGTTTAACTGGATCAAGGCACTTGGTCACGTATACGCACCAAGTCACGAGTATTACGCCATGCTATACATCGATTGCAAATATTAACCAGTTTAAATAAACGCTTATCGACTTATCAGTAGCTTTCCAAATATATCTGATTTAACCGGGTTGGTATCCTATGATATTAAGGGCTATACGAGTAAAGGTGTTGTCCATTCTCATTATGTGGGCGTAAGATATTATTGAGTAATATGCATCCTCTTTACGGAACAAGAAAATTGAGGACGATATGATACAACAGTCGGAGGCTTATAATCCCTTTAGCCGAACAAGGGCTTTTATTTATTTCCCAGTCCAATTACCTGTTTTAACACTTTCCTCTGAACTCGTCTAGGGAAGATTATATCTTTTTCAAGCTAAATGTGACAACTGCAACGAGTGGTATCACAGCGTGTTCACTGGACTCACACCAGCTGCATATAAAAGGTGCCGCAAGCCACTTTCATGTTGGTTGTTGAAAGTGTGCATCTACAAAGTCCCTGCTGATTCTTGATGCGACTGAGCTGCTGAACATAGCTAGAAGGGTGCTCTCAGATATACAGCCGCCAGTACATGAGCAGCCTTCAGTTTTCGTGGAAATGGCGAGCGTTATTAAAAGTTCAGCCTTGAATTTGAATGAAACTATCAAGGTGGGCCTCAATGACGAAGCGGATAGCAACCACACAGATGTAGACATGGTTAGAAGAAAAAGGAAAAAACACAATTGAAATAAAGAAATTATCGGCAGCACTAAGATATGGTTTCAGCTCAGGATGATGTGATCAAGAGGCATAACAAAGTCAGCGACTGGCATACAGTTGTACCCAGAAAAAGAAAGTCAAGGAAACAGAGTGAAATCTTCACGTCTGACGCCAAACCGGACTGCTGGGATGAGATTTCAGGGGACAAACCTCCACAGCTTGTAAACACGGACCTCACTGACAGGTCAGTCATTTTTCATAAGTTAGGCGAATCTTCCGAAGCTGATCAAACGATTAGATTTGAACACGATCTAAGCCACATTTCCTCCTTGTTAAGTAAGCTACGTCCGGAAGTAGTAGCAGGAGTAGGCATCTATAATCTTTGTAGAATAAAACAAATAGTGGGTTCTGAAATTACGCAGAAGGCTGCCTGTTAAAAGTTACCTCAACTTCTATAGGAGAAAGAAAACGACTACTAGAAAACTCACGCAGATTGACCGCAACCAGAATACACGTCTGTCAGGATCTTAGCCTGGTTGATCGTATTAAGAGTCGATCGGCCCCAGTAGAAATAAATGAGCTCCGCTGGAAATGTGAAAAACCTCATAATTACAGGTTTTCTAATTGTAAATATTTGGAGCAAAGCGATCTTCAAAGCACTCTGGGTTGTGAGGAAAAGCTCCTCACAGAACTAAGGGTGTGCTATAAAAATGTTTTCAGTCTACAGAATAAAATGGCGAAGCTCAAAACAGCGAACACATAAAACTCTGGTGTCATTGACATCTCAGAAACATGGGTAACGTCAGAAGTGTATGATAGTGAAATTCATCTGTTTGGTTTCTTACCTAGTAAGGCTGACAGACTGAAACTTAAGGGTGGTGGGATTATCCTGAACACGAAAAATATCTTGACCATACGACTTGTCAGTTCACTGACACACAAGTCAGTGACATGTGAGACGGTGAGTTGCAGACCGAAATGTAAAGGGCAAAATGCTGGATTCGTTGTAGTATACGTAAATGACTTCATCCTAAGCAAATTTAAACCCTTGGGTACCAAGGAAACTGTATATTTGATTAAAAAACATCAATGGAAGAAGCATGGACTCACTTTTGTAAGTTACAGAGTCAAACAACCCAACCATTTATACCCTGAACAGTCCCAAAGAAGTAGAAGCACGGACATCCCTGGATAGACCGGGATATTGAAAGTTTACCAATACAAAGGAAGAAGTGCTGGAACATCGCTATCAAATTTGGCACAGAAAGTAAGATTCAACGCTTCAGGTTGGTACGAAATAAGTGTATTATTACAATCAGGGAAACACAGCGAATATATGAAAAGCCTGTGGCCTATTCCGCAGTAAGTCAGCCTAAAAATTATTCCCGTGCATAAATCACAGAACTAGGACGCAGCATTGGATTTTCAACCTAATTACGGAAGGGAGTATATCTCAAATACCAAAGGAAGATCAGAACAAAAAAAGAGGCTATGGCAGTTTATTTTGGGGCTTTTTTTCACTCAGAAACCTATTCTAGACAAAGAACATGACCCCTAAACTCAATAAACCGTCTGCTCACTGTAGACTTCGATCGGGACGATGTACTTAAGGCTCTTATTACTTCAGATACGGAAACACCTACAGTACTGGGTGTGCTACACCCTAACATCTTGAGACAAATTGCGCAATATATTCCTTCTCCACTGACTATGATATTCGATATGTCACTTGGCCAAGGTCAGTTGCCTATGGACCGAAAGGATGCAATCGTGACTCCAATACATTGAACAGAATCAAGACAACCTTCATCAAACTACAGACCTGTCAACCTCATTAGTGTCATAGTTAAAATACTGAGAAGAATAATCAAAAGACCATAATGACGGTCGTGGAAACCAACGATTCGTCAAACAGTAAGATCTCAGAAAGTGTTTATCTTGCACAACAAATCTCCTTACGGCAAAGAGCAATGGATAGAGACCCTAGATAGCAGAAAATCAGTGAATGTTGTTTGCGTAAACTTCAGCAAAGTATATGACAAAGTGCCAACAAACAGACTGTTATTGAAACGAGATATTGACGTTGTTGAACCTCTTCTAAAATGGTGTATAGGTCTTCTCCAGATTGGATCATACTCAAACATTTAAAAACTTTGGAATAGTACGAGGATTAGGGTATGTAAAACTTTAAAGAGGTTATAGGAAACGTCTCCTTTATTTCTGTTCCCTTATTTCTCCCTTTCCTTCCTTAAACTCAATTCAATATTCTTCTCAGTTACACAGAACCTGATTTATTATTATTCCCTTTTTCAAACGTGGCAAATATAATGCTAACATTATTGAAACCTGTGTGTTATTGCATCATTAAAGAAACCCAAAATGGTTTCTTCACAACACTTATATACCCATAAGATGTTTGTGAATAATAGTAATAATAATAATAATGACAATCCTGGTTTCTAGATTTCCTTCACAGGAGATATTCTGGAACTTCAATGAATGATTTACGGCAGTATTTTTCAGTTCTGGGCAAGGGTTTCATTGTGTGCCAGTTGATAAATGATCGGTTACCTGAGTTGATATGTTTCACGAGGAGATGAAGCAAGATCTTGAGCGGACGGTTACATGAGTGTCCCCAGTAAGTAGTGTGTCCTGAGAAAGTAGTTTGGTAGCATCATTGCCGAATACTTACGGAACGTTTTATTTTATGCAACCATTTTTCCGTGTGATTCTCATGAGAAAACCAAGCACATATCACTGGTGGCCATAAGATAAAGACATCTATTCAACACATAGAGTAAGGGACTACTCATGGTGCGTTCAAACCTGGTCTTAAATAAATAAATTTTACAGATTACAAGCCCTGTTTTGATGGTAGTTACTTGTTAGCTTGATCATAAGACAAAATGCCACCAATGCTTGATATTACACACTTTAAGAAATATCAAAACGATTTGTAGATATCTCACTACAATTTATATAACACTGGCACTGGTTCCCTATTCTCCCACACTAACTTAATAAATGATGAAGCAAACTCAAAATGTATTGTCCAGTTAGAGGTAAGTTGACGCAGTCATGCAAAAGCCAATAAGGCCAATTTACTGTAGTTCTTGACCGTGTATGCCCCAAGATATCTCATAGTACCCAGGATCATCTTATTCACAAAAATACGCTCCAGTTACTTTCCTTTTCCTATGGCATAACGATTATGAATCATAAGTGATAGCAATAATCATAATTTAGCCTCGAATAACAATGCTAACAATTACAGTCTATGAAATGTCACCACCTTTGTTTCGAAAAAACACGCAGGAAATCCCTCCAAAGCATTTCATTAGGCGTTATTAACATTTTAAAATAAATAATATATTTGTAATATCCTGATGAGTAGAAAATTAGATTTTCTAACGTTTCGTGATTTAGTGTAAGTCACATCTTCAGAGAATAAATAACCAAATTAAAATTAATCCAAGTTTAAATAGTATTTATTTATAATAATCAACCCAATGTTCAATTTATTCGAAGTTATTATCATTTATTTGTTTTTTACCTATTTCGCATTCTAATCTTTACTCAGGTCTCTCTTAACCACACTTCATGTCCTTCAGTCATCGTCATCTGAGCTTTTATTTTTCGACCTTGGTTAAGGAATCACCACTGATTACTCGATCTGACAATTGCATGTTGCTGGATAACTGACAATATGGCAGTATTTGACTCAACTCAAGATCATGGTGTGGTCCAGTGTATGTTTATTAATCTTCAGCTTTCTGTTTAAAAATGGAGATAGCGATTTGTGTATTAGAACACTGTATTCAACACTATTTTAAAACCACATAATCCTATACCATCTCCATTTAAACAGTTCCATCCATGTCTACGCTTGTTTACTTTAACCTATTTAGAATGCTTGAAAAGTACCTTAATAAAAGAAAATTAGAGTAAGTGGTCATGCTTCCACTTTTTCCGCACAAATGACTCAATTTCAGCAGGCATGAACATTGTCTGCTATGCTCCTCGTCCTTTCTTTTTCTTACCCTCTTTTTCAGTTTCAAGATATGCCACAGAAAACGCATATGGAACGGGTGACTCCGTCCTGCGCCGTAATTAATGCCTCACATGTTTCAGAGGGATAT